TTTAGGGCTTTAAAGGCCAGCACCAAATAAAATCAAAAGTTTAAAAATATTCATTATAAAATAATACATGAAAATATATGCCAACTTTACATATCTCTAGGTGTGCTTGCCTAAACCAAAATAGCTTTTAGTCGGGGTGAAAGCTGCACAGCCTTTTCCACCCCATTTGTCGCCTGCAAAAGTCTAATTTGTTTGCCCCCACTTTAGTGCTGATGGGGAAACCCCAGCTTCTTTTTGATGTGGTTTTCACTTGTTGAAATCTGACTCTTGAGATCATTACATTACTGGAAAGCCCTGAGAGGGGACTCCTGTTCTTCCTCAGCACCCTTCTTCCTTCCAGCCTTTGGGTTTTGTGATCCATCATGGGGCATTTAGCATGTGCCCCAAATTCAAATGGCAAGTGAGCCCATGTGATTTAGCAGTGCTCTAGAAAGCCGTGGGAAAGTAGTGGGGGAAATGGGGAAACCAGCCTCGTGACTGAAGCGTTATCGCCTGCAACCCATTTGTGGGCACCTTTTTGACAGGGCAGCACTGCAAGTGAGAAGAAGGATTTCCAAACAACAGCATGAAGAGAGGGCATGTGAGTTCTGACAGTTAAGCGAGGGGTTTCCCAATAGCAGCAAGAAGTGAGGGCACCTGACTTCTTGCTTGTGGAATCCTATGAACTTGAATGGATCCCCACTTGTTAAAATAAGTCGTTCCTGTTGGCTAATCTTTCCATACATAATTTTGTCAACGTATGCTCAGTATCTTTATTTCTTATTTATGGCACAGTGTTTCTAGAGTGAAACATAATCGAAAGGGATGGGTCTCTGCCACACAGGTGCTACAGTCTGAAGTTTTGAGTGAGGAAGAGGCCAAGAAAGAGAGGTCAACAGACTCTGAGGTTATCAGTGGAAGAACACAGTTGCATAAGTGGATAGAAATCAAAGATGAGCCCAAAAACCTCTAAAGAGGGGCGAAGGGAAGCAGACAGTTGGGTCCAAGCTAGTGATCCACACAAGTTTGCTATCTTTGGCTCTGTGAGGAATTGAGGGGCCTGTGCTTACAAACTGATGCTTAAGCAGACATCAGGATAGACAGGATGCAGTACTGAGGGAGGCAGGGATGAGACTGTGAAATCCCGCTACAGTCAAACCTTGGTTGTCAAACATAATCCGTTCCGGAAGCCTGTTCAGCTTCCAAAATGTTCAACAACCGAGGTTCGGCTTCCAATTGGTTGCAGGAGCTTCCTGCACTCAAGCAGAAGCTGTATCGTACGTTCGGTTTCCAAAAAATGTTCAAAAATCAGAGCATTTACTTCCGGGTTATCAGTGTTTGGGAGCTGAAACGTTCCAAAACAGAGGTGTATTTGGGGTTGTTGGGTTCTTAATGTCTTAAGTAGAGAAGAAAGTGCTGTTGACTTTTTAGAAAGCCACGTGCACACCTAATAACTGGCAAGTTGAGGAAACTTCTATTTTAGTCTTGATCAGAGAAAGTGAAGAGCCCAACCAAGAAGCTGGCAAGTGATATGGGTTTGCATTAACCATGGTTTCCATTGATGCACGTGTGACATGAGATTAATCTTGCAAAGGGAGCTGGGTTCACTTCGGGGACAGGACGGGGGAGGGAGGGAGCGCACATCTCCACGACTGACTCCCAGTTTGCTGATGCGCTTGGCAAGGTGCCAGCATTGCACCTCCACTGGTCCCACAAATGAACTACATCTGGGTGGGAACAGTGCTCCAGGATGATTAGAAGATATACAATGAGCTTCTGATATGTTGCATGAGTGAACAGTTAAAAGACCAGGTTTTGCTTAGCAAAAAAGTGATGGTGCATTCTGAGTCGCTAATGTCTAAAGTTTCACTGACATGCTTTCATATCAAATGATTTGCATTCATTGATGGCAGTAGAGGCTTGGAAAATTCCTGTTGCCAACATTGCAGCAGCAAGAAAATTTCCCACACCCACAAATACTCTATTTTTATGTGCCAATCAAAGTGAGAATGTCTTCTGAAATTTATGAAAAATGTGAAGTTTCATTCTGATACTGGGGTAGGGAAAGCAAGCAGTAGGCTGCATTCATTACTAACATCTAGCCAATTTCTATACAGGCTCTATCACCTTGTGAAACAATGTTATGTATGATCTGCTTTTAGTTTTGCCCACAAACGCCATTTTGAAGGTAGCTGTATTGAACAATGCCCCTGTTTCTCATCAAGTCAGTATTGCAAGGAGTTTATTATTCTGACGAAGTTATCTTGGCCTTAATGAATGAGAAAGCAATCCAGCCAGATTGCTTTATGATGTGCAGGGGGTTGGACTTGGGGGACGTTATCAACTCCATAATTCTATGATTCCCTACCAGGGATCTCAAGAAACCAAAGCTGTTGCAGTCCAGCAGACACAGATAATACAGAGAGGGATTCTTGTGGCTTCATCCTCCATCTCTAAAGCATCCTTCTTCTGAATATCTGTCAAGAAATTATGAAAGCTTTTCTCCCGGTTGTTGACAATTACATGCAGAATAATCCTTATGCAATGGTTTCATCAACTCCTTAGTGAGCATATTTGCACATGACGTACTTCTTGATGCACGGACACAGTGTGAGATGGTCACACATCCAAGATATGTGGTGAATAAATAGAAAGAATCGAGTGGATCCAAACTCTTGCACCAATTTAAATTCCCATGCTAGCACCGGGGGGGGGGGGGGGGCAAAGACTGGGTGAAAGGGAAGGTTAGAGAACAGAGGACATCACACACCTCATGCAAACATTCGTCCGCACTGTTCCAAACCTGTACTGGAAATCTAGTATTGACCAAGTCTAGTACTACTGAATGCAGTTGTTTGTTTATTTCAAGGAATGTGTGTTTTCTCCGAGTGTCAAATTGAAACATCACGTTTCCCATCAAACTGGGTACACATTTTTGCTTTAGTTATCTTCTGTGACATAATCTGTAAACCTTGGGATGGCTCAACCTTTGGTTACATAACATTTCCCAGACCTGCACATCCGCTTTGGTTGATTCCCACAGGAAACTGGAAGCTTGCCAGCAAGGAGCTGAATCTTAATCTCAGATGGGGGTGGATTTGGTTTGGATTTGCATTTTAATGTGAATCTACCTAATTTGCACTTCCTGAAACAATTCAGAAACCAAAACACTGCAATGTTTCATATTTGCACTTCTTTGAATTTTGTGGCGCAGGCCTCCAGCCAAAAGTGTGTACGAGAATGCATGTATTGATGCATTATATTAGGCAAAACTGTATATAAAAATCAATTTTAGGAGAAATGTGATGTAAGATGCTGACAAACTTTTGTGAAGACTTATTTTTTATAACAACAACAACAACAACAACAACATATTTATTCCCCACCCATCTGGCTGGGTTTCCCCAGCCACTCTGGGCGGCTCCCAATAGAATATTAAAAACACGATAAATACATCAAACATTAAAAACTTCCCTAAACAGAGCTGCCTTCAGATGTTTTCTAAAAGTTAGGTAGTTGTTTATTTCATTGACATCTGTTGGGAGGGCGTTCCACAGGGCGGGTGCCACTACCGAGAAGGCCCTCTGCCTGGTTTCCTGTAACCTCACTTTTCGCAGAAGGCCCTTGGCGCTGGACCTCAGTGTCCGGGCTGAACGATGGGGGTGGTGACACTTCTTCAGGTATACCGGGCCAAGGCTGTTTAGGGCTTTAAAAAGCACAAACTGCTGCAGAAATGTAGAGAGCTGAATTTGAGGTTGGAAACATAAGCAACTGCACGAAAGCTGGTTTGACAGATCTGTCCACCTTAACTCTCAGCATGTTAACCACTGCTGTATATTTGCACCCCAGGAAGCCGTAGAGTCTTTGATCACACCTGTGTGCATTGCAAACGGGGTCAGGGTGGAGATTGTGGGGCCAGAATGGGAGGGGGAGGCAGCCCCAAGAAACAGTGTACAAATCTCGTTCCCATTGCACTGATGTTGTCATTCCATGCACAGTCTGTATGGTTGACTCAGACTGGAACCAGACAGATTTCTATTTATTTGTAAAAGCTGCCTACAGCTTCCGTAAACTTACTGCTGGTGTCTGGTGGGGCTAATGGAAGGATGCCCTTTGACAGTGGGTGGGGAGTTAAAACGTGGGCTCCTGGTTCCAAGTTATTCCAAGACTGGGCATGGTTGACATGTTATGAAAGAAGCTGAAGTGTGTTTTTGGAAGGAAAAAACTCACCTCTTGGATGCATCCCTCAGTCTGAGGTTCTCGGCATGAGAAGGACTGCCCTGATGGAGCAGAGTTGAGGAGCCTCCAGCCCTATGAACTGAAGGGAGCCCCTGGGAGCAGAATTTCCAACCTGGTGATTTCCAGATGTTTTGAACTACAGCTCCCAGTAACCCCCACCCAGCACAGCTTTGCTAGCTGAGGCTGATGGGGGTTGTAGTCCAAAACATCTGGAGGGAACTGGGTTGGGGAAGGCTAAACTATACTGACAGCGTAATTCTTTATATGCCTCCTCAGAAGCAAAGTTGTGTTGAGATTCAGTGAGAGGAAAGTTGGTGTACCTGAGGAAAAGCCCTGTGGAACTCAGTGGATCCCATTTCTGTGGTGACATGTTTAGGATTTCAGGGTCAGTTCATAAAATTAACCCTCTGCATGCATTAAACACGCATCTATATTATAGTGCCACACACCCCTGCTTCCATGGAAACGTTAAGCACCCAGTGTCAGTGGGGATTGAAAGCACTTAACTGCAGATTGTGCCGGTGAAGCTACCAAGAGCATCATTTTAAAAGGGTGTAGGTAATTCCAGAACTGTAGGTAATTCCAGAACCCAGAACTCTTTACAATGTTCCCTTCCCTTTGCAGACTCGGGACAATGAGTTTTTAACTACCACGATTGCTGGCACTTCCAGCTGGGCTGAGGAAGACAAGAGTGTTCATGGGGCCGCATGGAGAAGCTTGAGGGGAGCCCTCTGTCGTTGTAAGACCTTGACTGTGAAATAAGCTCTTCAGAATCGCTCAGAATGCTGTTCTTCTTGTTGCCTCTCCTCTTCCAGTCCCAAGGTAATGTATATGTCTTGTTACCACTATTCATGGAAAAATCAGGCCGCACCCCCTGTCTTCACAGTAAAATGGTTCCCTGCATTTACCACCTTGTGTCAGGGTTCCTCCTGGGATTCTGAGGCTTCTTCCAATGCTGCTATTTTGGAGGTGGGGGGTTCAATCACATCCCAGCAAATTCAGGTTGTGTCAGTTAAAAATAGATAAGGGACGCTGGGGCAACAAACTTGCTCCCTCCACCAAATCAGGTGTGGGTTTTTTTGTGATCAGGAAATGCACTGGAAAGTGCTTAATGCAACATCATATAACCTTTTCTTTAATAAAAATCAGAAGGAATGCTGGAAAAAAATCTGACATTTTCTAACCTCCCCACAAACTTGGTGCAAAGAAATCGGGATGAAGGCTCGATAAACAGGTCATCTGGAAGTGTCCTAAATTGCTAATGCAGAAGGTCCTCTACAGAGTGCTACTGGTTGATGTAACTGAGGGCTTATCCAGACTTCCTTTTGTGCTGTGTTTCTAGGCACAGGTCTGTGTTTGAAAGTGCCAAGTGTCCCCACCCATGGCGCTTTCCCCATAAAAACCCACTCTTTACTGATGAATCTGAGCAAACAGCATTCCACAGAAAACCCGAATTGCTGTTTGTTCCAATTCAGCGTCAAAGAGTGGCTTTTGTGGAGCAAACAACAAAACACTTGGACGTGGCACTTTAAATCATGGACTTATACCTAGAAAGTGCTGGGGAGAAGCTAAGTGTGGATGAGCCCTAAGAATCCCTTGTAGGGCTGGTCGATATCTGGCTTTCAGCATCGTCATATGTCACTGGCTAAACATTGCAATATACTGATATATCATGATGTCTGGAATAAGGATGTAGAAGCATTGACTGGCTTCACCGTCTTTCCCACATTGTGATTTTTGCATAGCATACATACACATCATGATTCATGATAAGCTGCCAGGTCAAAAATTATGAAACTGATGTCACAATATGGACTTCAAACTGGTTTTGGATGATAAATGGATATATTGCCCAGCCCTAATCCCTTCCACATTCCTATATAACCTAGGACTTCTGTTTTAATAATACAGTCAGTGCAAATACTTCTGGGTGTTTTTCTCATGTCCTGATACAATGTCTTGTGTTGTTTGGGGGATGCAGGTATTTGTGGGATCAGCGGCGATGAAGGAGACTTCCAGTTTTGTGCAACCAGGAATCAAACAAAGAAAAGCAATATAAGCTATGAAATCCAGAGCGACGGCATCAGCATTGTAAACAGTGCAGAGAAACTGATCCTAAGAGCACCTTTCAGTCCAGAAATTCAGTGTGGACGTTTTACAGGATCCAAGGAGTGTCCTCTGCCACAACAATTGGGGCCTTATCGCATCTGTTTGCACTGGTTTCAGCATGACAGTCTTTTGACGATCACCTATGGGAAGTCCCAAACGAATTTCAGCCTGACTAACCAGGCATATACCCTGTACTGTCCCATTACAACTGAAAATTCTTCTCAACATGGCCCCAATGTGCTTTATAGGGTCTCCTATGCCTTTAATAGGGGTGTCCACAACACATCCCTTCCGGACATGTCTGCATATCATTTCTACTTCATAGGTAAGCTTGCTTCTTTTTAGAAGATGTAATTATGGAACCCAAAGGTCCAGCAGGCCCAGGGCCATTCTTGTGTGGCAGCACCTCCTCCCCAGAAAGCCAACTTTGCAGCCCAGAGCACAGTGGGCCACAAGCTGGTGTGCAGCTGAAAATTTCTTGGTGTCTCCAGACTGCCAATATTTTCTGGGAGGGATTCCAAGTATTGGAACTTCAGGTTTGCACAGTTAAAGTGGATTATCCCTAGTGTAACAAGCCACTTAAGAAAACAACAACAATTTTGTTGTTGTTTGGAAAGTAATTCATTGAAAAGTGAGGAATGAAGGGGTGATTAACTGAGAAACTTATAAACAGCCTTACAAAGCAAATTGGGTTGAATTCAGGATGAATGCTCACTGTCGTATAACTGCATCATGAACAAATGAGAATGCTCAGTGAAGACCAGATATAGTCTCACTGTCACATAAGCTTTGTATAATCAAATTGGGGTGAATGCTGAATAAACCAGCCATCTGGAGGAACCCACCAATAAGCAAGCTGGGTTATATAGCCATATTTCATAGAGCCACCTGTTCACCAATTCCTCGCTTTGCCAAAGCCTTGGCTATAAGCTAACCCATCCATGTCTGGAGGGCAGGAGGGCATGGAGCCCTGAAAGATCTTATATGGGGAATCATAGGTGGAAGTACTCATTTCCCCTAATTCAAATTCCTCCCCCCCCCCACTCCCTCTATCATCTCATGGTCCAGTGGCTTCTCCTCTGGGTATACCAGACCTGTGCGTGGAACAAACGCTGAGGGCAGGTGGTGGGCTGTTGTATGTACCTAGAGGGGGGAGAGAGGAGGAAAGAGGTGGGGGTGCATGTGCAGGGACGTGCATCGAGCAGTCCTATGGCAGGAAGTGGAAGGGGAAGAAGCTAACCAAATAGGACAAAATGATGAGTTTGTTAACCAAGGAGAAGTGGCGGTGGAGGTTTGTCTTAAGACACACAATGATCAAAGCTGTCTAATGAGCTACTATAACCAGGGCTATATGCACTGCAAAAAGAAAATTCACATGCCCTTCCCCCAAAGTAAGTAACCATTCCCAATTATCCAGAGAAACCAGCTATTCTGTGGAGGCCCTGCCTCCCTTGACAACTGGAAACCTTCTTGGACCCCTTTGCCAGCTCCTGAGAGTTTGTGAGGTACAGGTTATGTTTCTGGACATATGTTTACGATTATGAAAGCTAGGACCTTATTTTTAAAAAACTAAACCTGAGTTTATCTGGATGCTGAATCTGTGCCTTTTCTGCTCCTTTGATAGTGTGAGTAAGGAGTCCTGTAGCCTGGAATATAATCCCTAATGAGACTGTTCCTTTTTTGCTTCCTTTTTGTGTTTGATTATGGGACAGGTGATCAAGGAAAGACGCCTGTTCGAGTATGTGATATGGAAGGAAAAGTTAGGAGCGTAGAAGAAAAGCTGAAGACCCTGGAAAAAGGCGGGAAGCTTGGCAAGAGTGGCAGGAACGGCCTTCGGCCAAACCCATTTGAGTAAGTATTCATGAGCCAGTCAACACTTTCTGCTGGTGAACTATTTATTTAAGAAATCTGTATGCCATCCTTTGTCAAAAAGCTCCAGGGCAGTTTACAGTGCCGCAGCATAATAAACAATGTAACATACATACACCGCACAATAGCCATAAAATACAAAATAATATAAAACAACAGTGTCAGATTATTCGCAGTGTCAACCCAGCAATAAACTTTGCAGCTCAGCCCCTGGGAAATGCAACAGTCTAGAAACCTGTTATCATCTACTCCTGTCAGGTGCAACTATAAAAAAAATTCTGTGTGACTCTGTGAATCCTCGCTACCGCTTCTCTGTGGCAAAGTGGGGGTGGTGGGGGAACAATGTGTACAAGCCACAGGAAATGTACGTGTGTGTCTGTGTTACTCTTCCCACACTTGAGGAGGCTTTGTATTGTCTGCATTTTTAAGCAAGCAGACCCTGATTCACACTTCTGGAGTACACAGAGCAAAACGCCATTCTCCTTAGCTTTTGCACATCTCCAAATGTTGTGATACCAATGCTCATTTCTGAAAATTCACAAAATGTGTATTTTTAGGTTAAAATGCCTACACAAATACACATGTAGAAAAATGCAGTTCCAATACTTTCCCAAAAAAATGTATTTTTTCAAAAAATAATAAATCTTGGGGACATCAAACTCTGCACTAAGGCATCCAAAACAGACCTGGGCAGGAAATATCCACCTGTCACTCCTGTTGCTCACTGTGGCTCCCTCTCCATCCCCAACATAGAAGATGTACACCTGGGAATTCCAGGTGCAGGAAGAGGCTAAGCCATCTCCACCTGCTGCTCCTCTTCAGGAATGGTCCCTCTTCTCCTTACGCCCAGCTGCTTTGAAGGGAGAATTGGTGAAGACTGGATTCCAAGATGTGTGTTTGCCACCGGATGCAGAGATCCACTTTGAGTAAATCCCACTTCCCCAGCTCAGCACACTTTTCCAGCTGGTCACTGTAGCTGTGTCCCACCCTTCCCATGATCTTCATCAGATGCCCCTCACCCACTGTTTACACTGGAAGCACAGCTTTACCTTGGAGCTTTTCATCTGATACGCGTAGCAAGTGCAAGGCCCCAGACTGTGATTTGTTCAGTATGGAAAAAGGTTACTGCCCCCTACTCCCTGGCAGGGTCTGATCTGGCATGGGCTCCCTGCACCTGCAGGCTCAGTGAGCAACAGGTGTGATGTAGCAATATTACAACCAGACCTCAAAGTAGCACCTACAAATATTGGAAATGTGCCAGCATTGCATAGGCAGTCTGCTCTCTACTGCTGCGTCATCTTGTTCAATATTGCTTATGTTTATGTTCACCTTCACTAATCTGGCGCTGTCCAAGTGTTTTGGACTACAGCTCCCATCATCCCTGACCAGCTTGGTGATGGCTGGGTTTCCTATATGGGTTTTTCACCTATCTAAAGGAGCCAAAGACTGAACCTGGGGACCTTCTGCATGCGCAGATCCTGCCTATGTCCAGATACTCTGAATATTGTGGCTTGCCAACTATGAAACATATCAGTGACTCAATACAGTTCCATGCTTCCTAGCGGGTACAGTCAATTCTGAAACAGTGTCGCATGCCATTATGCAAATATCGAAACCATACCTTAGCAGCTTTCATTCACTGATACCAAATATTAGCTGAATATTAATCAAAATGCAAACATTCAGAAAAATAGCCTGTGATTATTTGACAGCAGCCTCTGACAAGGCTTCTTGGAAGCAAATTTGTTCTAAAAGCAAAAGTCCACAATACCAAACATACTTGAAGGCTAATAAATGACCAACTTGTATCAGCTTCTTTCCTTGGCACATACAGTTACCCAGGATGTAGCTGTGTGGACCCTGGTATCTCCAGCCATACTCAGTTAACCTTTTCCTGACAGGTTGCTCCAGCGTTTGGAGTCAGAGTTGGGAGAAGCAGAATTCCAAGGGAAGAACAAGACTTTTGGGAAGGGAGCACTGCTACATGCAAGCGTCTGGAATTTCCAGTCCTTGAGTCATCAGAATATAACTTTTGGACCCAAGCTGGAGGTGAGTAAAGGGAGAAAGGGCCATTTAAAATTACCTGCCATACAAATTATTGCTCCATCCTTACCTCCCCATTGCAAGAAGTTTCCTTCTCTGTAGGGGAGAAATTCAGTTCAGTTAACACCAAACTTACCTCATTCACATTTTCTGACGCAGCATGAAAACTGAAAGGCTGCCATCCTTCACAGCCCACACTTTTCCAATTTTTGCCAAGTAATGTGTACAAAAGTGCATATACCAGGGCAAAGTGTTCATAAAAATGTCTGTCTTAGTGAAAATAGCACACACCAACATATTGCGGAAATTGCTTTGCAATAAGTTCACATTAAGCAAAAACGCATACAAACGTGTACATCGGGATAAATTAGCACTAAAATTCTGATTAGTTTTCATTATGATTTTTTAAAATTGCAAATTGATAGGTGGAGAACAGAACTTAAAGCTGGGAAAATGAGAAGCTGAGAGAAACCCAAATGGAACTGGACCACCTCCTTTTCCTCTTCTACAAAGCATTTTATTTTCTTTTTGCAGGAGGACAAAGAGGTTCGTGGCTTTGAAGTGATGCTGCCTAAAGCAGTCCTGGACAAAGTCGTCCTTGCAAAACCCAAACTCGGGCGCAGGCCTGCTACACCGAGGGCAGTGCTGCTGGTGGTTTCAAGCTCCACCCTCTTTCAGGTAAGGATGTGCAGAGAGGCTGCGGGTACGTCCTCCAAGGAAACTCACCCATCAGGCACAGAGATGTGAAGCTCCTTCAGGGATGAGTTTCTGCAGCAAGAGCACCAGATGCTTCAGCACCATTTGGCAAAACAATCCCTGCCCAACTTATTGAGGTCTTTCGTGAACTAGATGGTGGCATCTTTAAACTATAGGGTTTCTTTTTGGGGTGGGGTGGGGAATCAGTCTGTATGATGCCCTGAATGCCTTCCAATTCTTTGGTTTCTGTGAGGGTAGACAGTATGGGAACAAGCCTGCTAAACCAGCCCCTTTCTCTAGGAAACTGTAAGACAATGGCTGTAGCTGACTGCTTAAACACCATGATGAGCACAACAGATGAAGTCTGTGCCAAAGGGCAAATGGGTGGGCCTTTCCCCTCAGCTGCCTGGTACTTAGAAACCAGGGTAGTTGTGCGAGAGCTGAGCAGCAAGAAAGCAGGCTGAGGAGCTGGACACAGACCCATGCTTGATTTGTGCTTGCATCCAAGGCAGTAACGAAGGGAGAAGCAAATTCTCTTAGGGTGTAAATACACTTCCATCTTAGGCTCAGGTTGTATATATGTGTAAATAAACCATATATCCAGTGCTTTTTTTCCAGAAGGTACTCAAGGGTACACAGTACCGGCACCTCTCTTTTTGTTGTTGTTGTTAAAAAGTGTGGCACTTACTGTAACAACTTCATGGTGAGTACCGGCACCTATTTTTCTAGAAAAAAAAGCACTTCATATATCCTAAAGGCACCACAAATCTCAACCAACCCTCACTCAAAGGAAACCAAAGCTGGGTAAGTGCCTGGAACCCCAGGAGTCTCTCACTGCTCAGAGATGGGGGTGGCGTGGAACACAATGAAATTTCACCCCCCTCTTGTTCTGTTATATCTCATCCTGGCCCTCCAGATTACTTTTGCAAATTATCTGCTGGTGCGACAAGGAAAGCAGTTGCTGCTTTGAGATTCTGCATGATGCCCATGCTTATCTATGTGGGCTTTCGTTCTGCTTGGTTGGTTGTAAGTCACTTTGGGTTGTCTTGGGCTTGATAAAATGACTAACAAATTTAATAAATAATAACAAATAATAATAATAATAATATGTTGAGAGGGAGGATATGCTGGAGTACTTTTAAGTGGCTGTTTATGCACTTGTGGCCAGGGAGAGGCAGAGAGTGATTTTTTTCACCAGGTATTATAGTATTCACTGTATAATTCCCCTAGGGGGAATATAGACATTCTCCAGACAGTTTCTTCTTTTTGAACAGTAGGCTGAAAATCTGTTGCCTAATGGTTGATAGGGCTAAATATGTTGCATATAAGGTTTCTGTGACCTGATTTGCGCACACAGTAAGCCAGTCTATGGCTTAGCAAGACCACACAAACCTGCAAGCTATCAGGGACAAGTTCACAGCTACTTTGTTGCTTTCTAGTCTTTTTTTACTGTTGCACTGCACTGAACTAATAGCATGTTGTCCAATTTGGGATTCTCCTCACTAGCCAGGAACTGTAGCCAGAAACATGTCCTGCTTGCCTTGAAGTCTCTAGGCCCCATCCCCGGCTGATTTCCCTTGGGTCCAACTTGTATGCTCCTGGATGAAATATGGAGCACAGGAAGATCCAGACTACAAGGGCACAGACTGGTCCTGCCAATAAAGCATCACTTAACTGAAAACTGAGCAAATTAGCTTCCTCCTTTAGGGCATCAACTGAAACGTCTTCCAAGCCAGGGATAAATTCCACACTTGCTGAAACATCAGCTGCATTCCGACAAGCTCAGGTCATGGCATGAAGTTCTTGGGTTCTGCTGCTGTTGGGAGAAAGAGACTCAAATTCTGCATGTGATGGTGGTGACTGTGTACAGGCAGGATCAGGTCCGCATGGAGGGAAGGTTGGGCAGAACCAGGTTTCATGAAGCAATACTGCCCCAAAAGGACAGACATGCAGGTGGACTTTGGAATACCTTGGTATGCACAGACTACACAAATGGGCTGTAAAAATGAGGTGACTTGGGTGGTCTCAGATGCTCTGATCTTTATTTCCTGCAGGACCAAAATTCTTCTGACCAGATCCTGGGTGGGAAAGTGATTGGCCTCTCCATCTGGAACACTTCAGTCCATGGCCTGCTCAGAGAGGAGCGGGTGGCACTCACTTTCTGGCACAACAGTCTTCCGGTAGGCCCTGAAAACCTTCATTCCACTCAGAAGATCACGGCATCTGCTGGTGTCCCTTCTGACATGGCTAAATTCTCCCTAAAGCTGGGCTGTTTTCCAGTATGAATTTACAACTCAAGTTTTAGCATTGCATGTGGAACCTTCTGAAAATCTTGGCCTGGTCACTTTTTCAAAGAGAGAAACACCACCAAGTGACAACTTCCTGTGCTGAAATTATTCTATGGATGCTTGTTCTTGGAACCGAACCCCTATTTTCCAATCTCCTCTCTACAGTCAGGATTCTGTGCCCACTAAGCATGCCCAGTCCTCACAGAGCTATTTTTACTCCTCACCCTAAACATTTCTTGCACTCTTGCAAAAACTGCAATGTAGGGAGTTGGACTAGATTGGTCCCTTCCAACTCTTTGATTCTGTGAAATCCTTCTGCACTTCTGTAACCTGCTAATTCCTGCCTCCTGTGCAGATTTTGCCATTTGCTTCCATAAGGTTGCATACGGAACTGAGGTTGCTATCACTAGGAACATAGGGGGCTGCCTTATACTGAGTTAGATCATTGATCTATTTAGCTCAGTGTTTCCTACACTGACTGGCAGCAGCTGTCTATGTTTTCAGGCAGGAGTCTCTCCCAACCCTACCAGGAGATGATGATAATGATGATGATGATGATGATATTATATTATTTCTACCCTGCCCATCTGGCTGGGTTTCCCCAGCCGCTCTGGGCAGCTCCCAACAATAAAAACACGATAAAATATCAAACATTAAAAACTTCCCATGGGGGACTGAAACTAAGACTTTCTGCACGCAAAGCAGATGCTCTTACTGCCTGTTTCCCAAAGCATATTGCTCCTGTCTTTCTATCTCTGCTTCACTGGGTGGAAGTATATTTAAGAGAATGTGTAGTTGTGAGAAAGCTGTAGGGACATCTCACTTAACAGCCATGTTTCCCTGTTTTGGCTTTTAAATTAAATCACCTGTGTTAAATTCACCCTCTGGTATTTGTTCTTTCAGTCGAACGTGACTCCCCAGTGTGTGTTCTGGGACACTGGCTCTGAAGGTAAGTTCCTACAGTAGCTGGGGTGGGTGAGATGCTTGGAAGGAATTCCCCTGAGACCTCCTTCCACATTCCCTGTACAGTATTTGGTTGCTCCTTGAGAGCATGCGAAACCAGGTGTGTAAATCACACCCCTCCCCCTGCAGTAGCCCACATTAAGGACGGACTATTTGCACCAGAGCTTTTCAAATTTCTGAGAGCTGAAGCAGACTTTTCTCTTGTTAAAATTGGAGGGGCCCTTTTTCCACCTGAAATGATGTACGTTGGCAGCATGTATGAATTATCACTGTCTGGAGTTTCTGCATGAGTCACAGTTCTGGACATACCTCTTGGTTGGAAACAGGTTGGGACAAAAGCAGTTCAAGTTTCAGAGGCCTGCCTGAATAAAAAAACTTCTTGGGAGACATCTAGGAGCAGGCAGGGACGATTCCTAAGAAGACTCCACTGTCACGAGTTCCACAGGACAGCGGTCCTGCCCACAAAACCCTCGGTCCCTAGTAAAGGCCGACTGAATCTTACAGGTGCAGAGAACTTTCTGTCTGGATTAGTAGAACCCAACAGACCTCTCCCACACTGTATATGTTGTAGAACCATAGAACTGTAGAGTTGTAAACGACCCAAAGGGTCCTCTAGCTCAACCCCTTGCAATGTATAGCCTTGCTCACTTCCTTTACATGGGGACACCCACCTGCAGTGAGGCTTCTCCTTTTCACCCCTATCTGGCCACCCAGGCAAGTGGAATTCGTCTGGCTGTGAAGCAGAACAACGAGCGGACCGAACCATCTGCCGCTGTGACCATCTCACCTTTTTTGCTGTGTTAATGGTGAGTACTGGTGGCTCCCATGCCAGGTAGACCTGTGCAAAGATTTTCCTGCCCCACCCCCCATTCTCTGTCCCTTTTAAACCATCTCCTTCCACCTTCAGATGTCCTCCCCAGAAATCGACCGCAGCCACCAGGTCTACCTGACCTTGATCACTTACATTGGGTGTATTGTTTCGGCCGTGGCATCGTTCTTCACCATCTTCTTCTTCCTCTGCACAAAGTAAGGCAGAACCAAAAAATTGCTTCAAATATAGCAGAAGTCCTAGGGGATTGGGGAGACAGCCCAGGAGGAAGACTTGCTAGATTCTAGAAGGAGATCCAAAAGGAAATCATGAACTGAGGGGTGGGGGCAAGAATAATCAACAGAGGATGGAGGAGAGATGCAGTGAAGGTGAAAAGTCAGAACAGGCTTCCACAACCTGGTGCCCTCCAGATGTTTTGCACTGCAACTCCCAACAGCCCCATAGTTCAAGGAACCATGGCTTTGTGCTATGTGCGAGCCAGGCCATTGTCTCACTAGTGAGCTCGGTTGTGTTTTTTACTACACCAAAATAGAAGCATGGAAGAGGAGTATCCCAGGAAAAGGCGAGTAGGTCTTTCCTTGGGAATACCTAGCTTATGGCAGTCTTATTCTGGCCACCAGCTGCCACATCTGTGGAGGGGAACAGCATGGAGAAAAGCCTATGGACTGCTGAAGCCAGGTGTGCATGTGACAGACATGTGTGGCTTGTATTGAGAAAGAGTAAGGCACTGATTATCAAAACATTGATTGAAGCCATATCCTGGGAGACTTAGTGTATGGTTTGACTGAAGCTTTGGGTGGGGATCCCACACACAATTGGGAAAGAAATATCACACTCTCTTTTCTCCCCAGGAGAAAGCAAGGGGACAACATTGTCTACGTTCACATGAACCTCCTCTGGGCCATCTTCCTCCTCGACATGAGCTTCCTCATCGCAGTGCCTCTGGCCCCTACCAGTGGTGACGTAGCTTGCAAATCTGGCGCCATGTTTCTGCATTTTGGGGTGCTGGCCTGCCTGACCTGGATGGGTATCGAGGGCTACAGCCTGTACCTCCTTGTGATCAGAGTCTTCAATTCCAACATCAAGCACATGCTCCTTAAGCTTTGCCTGGTGGGCTGGGGTGAGTGGCCAGGGGTCGCTGGGAGTGGTGCAGGTCTCTTGTGGACATAGCCAAAGAAGTTTGTGACTAGGTCCATTAGGAAGCTGGGCTGCAAGAGAAGAAGATCGATAAGCAGAAAGAAAGCATCTGATGCAGTGGAGTGGCTCAGAGTGTGGTCAGATTGCTGGGAAGCCCCCAGTTCAAATCTGGCCTCTATCACAAAAGGAAGCTACTTTATTCCAAGTCAAACAGCTGGTCCATTTGGCTCAGCATTGTCTATGCTGACTGGGTGTGGGTCTCCAGGGGCTGGTATTCAGCTGAGTGCTACTCAGAGTAAACCCACTGAAATTAATGAGCTGAAGGTAATGTTGGCCATTAACTTCAGTGGGTCTATTCTGAGCAGGACTAATGTTAAATGCCACTCAGGGTCTTCCCTATCTCTACCTGGGGATGCCTTTCGGTATTGAACCTGGGACCTGATCCAGCCATTGGCCTAATCCAGCAGGACTCTTCTTAGGTCAATTGACAGGAAGTAGCTCTTTTTTTTTTTTTTTACACATAGGGGAATATTCAGAAGTGGTATCCTCTCCCTCTGCTTTGAACTGGAAACTTTTATCTATGGTAAAAAATAAATAAATTCAGGTATAGTGCCTGAAGTTGGGGTGGGAGTGACCTCATAGAGCAGGGATGGGGAGCCATTTTCAACCCCAGGGAACCCTTCCAGGGAACTTCGCAGGGAACCCATGTCAGTGGCAGATGGGACTGGGGGCAAAAGTGGGCAGAGCCAGAAATGTGCATTTTGCCTTTCTGCAATCTGCTGGCTTCCACGCACAGCCCTCCCTTTCCTCCATTCAGTCTAGCAGAGTTGAAGGACACATCCCTGCCAGGCCAAGCCACTGTGGAAGGGTGTGGCTTGGGGAGAGTCTTGAGGGCCAGTTAAGAGAGGCTTCAAGGGCAACATTTGGCCCCCGAGAAGACTGAGGCTTCCCATACCTCTTCTCAAGCTTGGGGAGCAGCTGCTGCCCCTTTTCCTTGCTCCACCCCAAGATACATTTCTGAGTTGTGGGACATGGGAGGGCAACATGTCTTTCCAACTCTGTTCCTGTTGACCACTCACAAAAAGAACATTTGGCCCCCTTCAGAACTCCTTGGGTCCAACAGGAGGGCAGAATCCATCCTCATTTTGGATCCACTCATTTTCCTGTCTGCTGTTCAGAGTGATTTCATTCTGCTGCTTGTGGTTGTGTTCCTTTTTTTGCTTTTTTACTGGTTTGAAATTTTTATCTAGCATAGTTCACTTTTGCCAGCTTTGGAGATTTTTGTACGTGACTTGCAAATACTTAGAAGTAAAATGCATGTGTGCATGGGGAGGCAGGGGGGTGGATGCAGGTGCCAAGGACCACCCAGGGAAGTGGGGTATAAACATTAATGCATATTGTCCTCTGCCTTGCAGGTCTTCCCCTATTCATTGTTCTGCTGATCTACGTGATCAACCAGTCGCATTATGGACATTTCCCCATTAAAGTGTATGAATCCTCTGGGGAATATACCAATACAACAATGTAAGTGGCTTTTTTCTGGGGGGTGCAAGTCCTCTCACAGCCAAGTTGATTCAGGTAGCTGCATTCACAGTTTAGCCATAACATAGAAGTATAGAAGCCTTTTCCTGGTAGTGGGCAGGGCAGAGACAGGAGTGGGTTCTCTCTCTCTCTCTCTCTCTCTCTCTCTCTCTCTCTCTCTCTGTGCCACCCTATTTCTCCACATTTCCAACCCCTGCGTGCTCTGCTCCTGATGGTTCCTCTGCAGACACAATGTGCATTCAGCCCATTTAAATTTAGTGCCGCTTGGGCCCGGGGTGGGATCCACCTATCAGATGTGGCCTGTGGAGGGTTGGCCACCATTTGATCTGGCCCCAGGTGGTTTTCCTACTCCTGCCATCCATGTTCCTGCTCCACACAGGTTTCACACCAGCAAGGTTCCAGCAAGCACCAGGCAGCTTTGTCCCTAAGGGGTGTCAGGTAGTTGGCCTGCCTGCAGCTCTCTTCCCGGTGGCAGCACTGGGTGGGTGGGCGGGCGGAGAGGGTGTAAAATGAGCTTTCTTCTGCCTTGAGATGTTCAATTAACTTTGAAAGTCCCATAATGGATTGACAAAAGGGTATCCTTTTGTTGTGTCCCTCACCCAAACGGATGTGCTACAGTCTGTCCCCAAAGTTTTCTGACAAACAGACCTCACTCAAATTTTTGATTAGCCACCTTCCAAAATGCAAGCATGGGTGCCCCTATTTCAGTCATTTCTGATCTCAGAAGAAGGGGAAAAGAACATTCTAAAGTTCTTGATTCTTCTGGCCGGCCACTGTGAGGTCAGGATGCTGGAGTACATGGGCCACTGGCCTGATCCAACAGGGATCTTTAGATGTCCTTATGAACATGCTTTGGGACACTGTGCCACATCCCTCATGCCTGCTCCCTCCCTCTTCTTTTCCAGCTGCTGGATCACCAAAAAAGAGATCAACAACTTCCTGAATCTGGGCTTTCTAAGCCTGGTGCTCTTCTTCAACACCATCATGCTGGGCGCGATGGTGCAAGCGGTCCTCAAGCTGCGATGTCAGTGGGGATATGCCGTGATGCTCCTGGGGCTCAGCTGTGTGCTGGGCATCCCTTGGGGGCTGGCCTTCTTCTCCTTCGCCTCTGGGACCTTCAACCTGGTGTCTGTGTACCTTTTCACCATCATCAACTCACTCCAAGGTCAGTGGGTGGCAGCTGTTTCCTCCCTTCACTTATTTGGGTTGTCATTTTGTCACTGTTTCTTCTCTCCACTGGAATTTGGTCTATTAGGGTGAACAGGCCACTGCCCCACCAACCTTAGTCTCTACCTGGCTGCCGCCTTCATTTCAACCAGTCCAAGGGGTGGCTCTCCTTGTCGTTGGCTCTAGCGCCACCTACTGTTGACCCCCTCGCCTATTGCCCTATACCAGTCCCAAAGGGGAACCAGCCGCCATCAGTGCCGGATTTACATAAAAGCTAAACAAGCTATAGCTTAGGGCCCCACTCTCTTGGCCCCCCCCAAAAAATTTTCACAATATACTACTTCTTAATTGTATTTCAGTTCAACAATTACTTTGATAAAATACATATTTTGTTATGTGCAAATGGCTTTAGATACCTATGAGGTCCATAAATTACCATATGGCATACATTCACCACAAAAAACAGCGACAATTTGTTGTTGACAAAGGACAGCTGGACATATAAAGGGCCCCATTACCTTCAGTAGCTTAGGGCCTCATCAAACCTAAATCCGGCCCTGGCTGCCATTGAAATCACCTTCTTCGGCTTGCAGTTTATTTATTACCAGGGCAGCATCTTCAGAATCAGCCCAAGGGCGAAACTACATGTGACATTAGTCAATAGGGCTGTGGGTTTTGTTTTGGTTTTTTGACATGGGGCAGGGAGACAGATCCTAATATGGAGGCTTAGGGTTTTTAGCCCTTTTCCTCCCTTGCTACAGTACTGATGCAGATTGGGGCCTTCACGCTTGCAGTTTGCACTGCAAAAAAGAAAAAAAGTCCCCCTCATTTCAGTGGGATCTTGTTTTACCACAAAATTGCAGGGTGTGGGTGGGTGGGTGGGTGGGTGTGTACAATCCAAAGCAACTCCACCAAAAGAAGCAGAGGGCTTCTTAAAGTCCCCTCTACCCTCCATGTTAGGGTTCACATTAGTAGGAGCAGAGGAAGCTGCCTCATTCTGAGCCCTAGAGCATTGCTGCAACCATCACAGCATCATCAGCACTGACTGGCAGAGGCTGCACAGGTTTTCAGGCAGGGACTTATTCTCAGCCCTACCTGAAGATGCCATCAGCGATTGAACCTGGGACATTTTGCATGCAAAGCGGTCCTTTAGCCCACCTCTGCTCCACACTGACTGGCAGTGGCTCTTGGGGGCTCTCCAACACAGAGTCCTTCTCAACCCTACCTGGACCTTGTACCTGGGACCTTTTGCCCTCTGGTGGCTGGTCCATTGTGATGCATGGGGCTCCCTTGGAAGGTGGTGGACGATCCTTCCTTTGAGATTTTTAAGCAGAGGTTGGGTGTTGTTGAAGTTGTGATTCCTGCATTGCAGGGGGTTGGGCTAGATGACCCTTGGGGTCCCTCCCAACTTTATAGTTCTATGTTTCTAACCTTAGCTTTCCCCTCACTTGCCTGCACTCTTGCAACCAGTTGTCTCCACCTCTTGCTGGCCTCCCTGCCTCTCACTAAGCAGACACCACCCACTGCTGCTTTTGCATGCAGAGTGTGGGCTCTGTTGCTGAGCTGTGTTCTTCCCTGGCACTGCCACAGGGGAGGTGCACACAGGAGGACAAGTCTTGGCATGCTCTCCAAGTCCTCCTTTCATGTTTCCTTCTCCTTCTTCTCTCCCCACAGGGTTCCTCATCTTCCTTTGGTACTTGGCAAAAACCCTCCAGTCCCGCAGGTCTTCCTCCTACTTCTACAGCACAAATTCCAGCAGCATCAAGCTACAGCCGAGCAGCACCAGCATATGACCCAGTGAGGAGTCACATTCTGCTTGGATGTCCTGCCTTGCCTCCTGTGGAACCAAAGGCCTCATCCCTACCTGCATCGGAAATCCAGGCTTTCAGGGATCACTTTGTCCTTGCACTGCTCATAGCTGAGTGGTTGGCGTACAGGCTATCTTAAAACCTGGAACCCTCCATGCCTATCTCTCCCCTATTTATCAGGGGTAGCCTCACCTCTAACCTCCGTCTCCGTGGAAAGTGCTCATACCTGTTGAGCATGCGCAAGGGAACTGTTGCAAAGAGGAAACCATGTCCACAAACGGTTTAAATGCAGTATTTCGTTCTATATATATTTATGTAATTTTTTTAAAGGGGAACTCTTTTTTGACTCCTTTTCCTAACAAAAAAGGACTGCTCTCCTTTTCTGTCATCGGTTATGAGGCATGTCGGGGTATGTGATGGCAAAAAAAAATTGGATAGGTATTGAGCATGGATAAAAAAAGACCCTGCAGAAATACAATGGAAACAAGTTAGAAATTATTCTGTTGCCCAATCTCCGAGCACTGCGAAGTTCCAGGCACTTACCCAGGATTCATGTTTCCTTCACAATGGGCCTCAGTGGAGACTGTGGTGTCTTTGTGATATACGGTTTATTTACACACATCTATACAATCTGATCCCATGATGGAGGTGCTCACAGCATTAACATCCCAAAAGGATCTTGGATTCAAACAGACATCAAACATTGCTCTCTGCCCCTCTTCTGGTTTACATCACAGCCCCCAAACTCTACTCCAGACTCTGGCATTTGTCCTTCTCACTATCTGCAAGTTGAAGGAGGAGCCCTGCCTGTTTGTCGTCTCGCACAGAGCTTCAGTCTCTTAATCTGGAAGCCTCATCTAGAAACTAGCCTGGCATATATTTTAACACATGCTGGATCCAGGCATTAGAGGGGTCTGGTACCTCCGAACTCATAACAATACTATAATTTCCAGAAAGAAAGAAAAAAATCCTTTAAAACAACTTTAACTCTCACTAACAAAGCAGAAGCGGCCAAGTTCACTGCCGAACTTGCAAATAGGATCAAAGGACCTAGCAGAAGGCGTGGAAAACTGGAAGGAGTGAAAACAACCACTTTGGAAAAACAAATGCAAGAAGGCCACAGGACTGCTGAGTGGGCTGACTCTCTTTGGATTTTCCTGAGCATAGAGAAAGTCTAGATTTATGGAGGATAAAGTGTGGGACAAAAGTAGCTGAAGGAGAATGTTGCATGGACGAGGCGGAATTAAACGGATCACAAGGGGTGCAAAATCCACATTCTGCCAAGGTGTGGACAGACCCCGAACAGTCCTTTCTGTGTGTATAAGAACAGCAGCCCTGTGGTGTGTCCAACCATACAGGCATTTTCATCCTGAAACAGTAGCTCTTTCTCTCTCTTTTTTTAAACTGTAGTGTGGAAAGCTGATAAAACTCTTTTTGTAATTCAAAATGCATTTGTTAGAAATCCTTTGCGGCAGATGCTTTGCTTGACTTCACCTGGATCAAGTAACTCTTTCAAGGGTGGGGTCCCTCCGATGCATTCCGCCCTGGGGGCTGCTCTTTGAAAACACCAGCTGCTGCAGAACTAGCCCAGCAACACGCCCCCCCCCCCGCCGTTCCCTTGCTGGCTGTGCCCCACCCAGAGCAAGTCCCAGCAGCACACTCTCACCAGCTTGCAGGCTTCCTGTTCCCTTCTGGGCACAATTCAGAGAACAATAAAGCCATTTCTTCGGGATCAGAAAGTACTGACCAAAAATAATCGTCGTTCCGTGCCATTTGGCAGGATAAAGGAGGAGAGGTGGGGAAAGCAGGCATCAACTTACGTCACAGGACTCCAGAATGATCACACTTGTTTTTAGTACCAAGATCACACAATATATTGGGGGGGGGGCCACCCTTCATTTTTGCTTTCTCCCAGCCTTCCCTAACCAGATGCCCTCCAGTTGTTTTGAACTACAACTCCCATCAGCCCCAACAAGGGGCTGATGGGAGTTGTAGTCCAGAACAGCTGGAAGACACCTGATTGGAGAAGGCTGCTTTTATCAGAATATAATGTGGTAGCCCAGCAGGCTTTTCTATAAAAGTAGGCCATACATTTTGACATCTTCAATGGGAGAGAACAGCTTCTCAACTAAGTCCCAGTACGTTTCTGAGCACAATTCAAAGTGTTGGTGCTGACCTTTAAAGCCCTAAATGGTCTCGGCCCAGTATACCTGAAGGAGCGTCTCCACCCCCATCATTCTGAGGTCTTCCTCCCAGGGTCTTCTGCTGGTTCCCTCCCTGCAAGAAGTGAGGTTACAGGGAACCAGGCAAAGGGCCTTCTCAGTAGATGTCAAGGAAATAAACTACTATCTGACTTTTAGAAAACATCTGAAAGCAGCCCTGTTTAGGGAAGTTTTTAGTGTTTGATCTTTTATCGTGTTTTTAATATTCTGTTGGGAGCCGCCCAGAGTGGCTGGGGAAACCCAGTCAGATGGTGGGGGTATAAATAATAAATTATTATTATTACTAAGAAAATAGAATTGAATGTATTGGTAAGGGAGACTCCAGCATGAAACAGTTGACCATTATTTATATGCTGTTGGAAAATTAGACTTGTAGTGGCAAAGCAGAGTCTACAACCAAATTTATGCCACAAAAATGTAAGCACATAGCAAACCCAATAGGCGTCTTAGGGCAAGACTCATACAGCTGCCCTGCTAGACAGTTTTGTTTTGTTTTTTAACATACAAAAATTATATTTATTGACCCATTCATAACTAGGGGCTGTGCCCCAGCTCGCACCACTTGCCAGCCCCCAGCCATTTCCCTCACAGATTGACCCACTAGATCTTCCCACCACATTTCTGGAGCTACTTTTCCATTCTGCACCCCCATGCACTAGCCTCACCCCCCTTTTGTGAAACTGCACCTTGCACACAAACCACCCCATGGTAAGTTGTATCTCCCTCCCCCCTTAGAATAATAGAATAGTAAGTTGGAAGGGAATCAGAGGGTCATCTAGTCCAACTCCCTGCAATGCACAAATCCTGCCCATAGCTGTCCCTGGATGGGCTCCAAGCATCAACCTTCTGGTCAACGGTGACCCATTGCACCAGCAACCAAGCACCCTTTTCACCTTCTGCCCAATTTTGAAGGCACCACCTCTCCTGTTCTTTTGTCCATGCTTTCATCTTCAACCCCATTTCCATGCCTCCTACTCCTTTTTTTAGCCCTCTTCGAGCCCTCAATCCCCCCCATTACTTTTCTCAACTCTTCCTTGCACACAGACCCTCCTCCTCATTCCCATGCTGCTTTTTCTCCAATTCCACAGCCCCTTTTTTCACGCTCACCAATTCCCCCATGCTGATACATGCTACTGTATCTTTAAGACAAATAGACTCAAGAGCAAGCTTGTCAGTTAGTGTGTTCAATTACAGAAGATTAAGCTCTGTTAGATGGCTGGTGTACACCTATGGATGCTTGGTTGTTAAAAAAAGAAAAGTATTAACAATTGTTTGATTGTTTTTGTGTGTGAAAAAAAATCAAACAAGTTGATAAGGCACAGAGTATCTGAAAGGGGCCATTGGGGCCAGCAAACCATACAGTTTCATAAGGGGTATTCAAAGTGTGTACGATGAATGATTCCTAAATAAGCAGGACCAGCCTGTTGTACGGCAGTGCAGAAGGCGAGAGGAGCTATTGCCCCTGTTAGCACCTTGTATGAGAGGCTGCCGAGACTCAATAAAGCTATCCACCTGGACGATTCCTTGACAAAAGTCTATTTTGTTGTGTCAGTTTCTCTGAAAGAACCAAAGACCATGATCACTAACCACCTAGTGTGAAAAGCGAGTTGTGTTTCCCGTGGTGTAAAAGAAAGAGTAGAAGTGATATGTGAGTTAATTGTGGCAGGTCTTGTGGGGAAATAGATAATGTAGCTAACTGAGGAGAATGTGGAAAATCCTGGTCCAAAATGATGGTACAACTGGACATAGCCACCAGCACATACTGTATGGTAGACAGCCCCAACCAAACAGCACCCCCAGCAGCAGTCTTTGGATTGGGAAGGCTCCCTGTGTCCTAGTTTAAGAAGCTTCAAGTGCCACCCTTGGCCCTCTTTCAGCACAGATTCCAGCAGGGGAGGAGCTCAAGCTCAATTCTCCGGCTGCCATGTTGCTCCAGGAGTCACACCTGTGCTCTAACCTTGCGTTGCTGCAGCACTGCACATGCATAGCAAATGATGGGGAGAAACTGGGCAACCTGATGGCTTCCCCCACCACCTGTATTTGCCCTGCTCCCCTTTCAGACATTAATGGAGCAACATGCCAGGATCAAAGGACAGGCTCCCATGCCGCTGTTACAGCGCATAAGCCAGGCTGCAACGTGCAAAGGTTGGGTGTGTTTGTGAGATCTGCTTCCACTTGCATTATAATACTGCAGGGCCTATGCAGCCCTTACTTGTTGGATTACAACACCCAGCAGCCCCAGCCAGCGTCACCGCTGGTCAGGAAGTCAGAGTCGTGGTCCCAACAACATATGGGGACCCAGGTTGATGCTAATTGGATGGAGGGTAGCATATACATGGATCAAATAAATACATACGATGGTAAAATCACAAAATACCTGGTAGTGGCTTATCTACATAGTGAACTGGCCAAAAGATGATGCTGATTGATTTAAACTATGCTGTCTCATTTAACCTTAAGGTAGGAATGTCTCATTACCTTTCACCGCAAGCCTGTTGGACCAACCTCTCTTGCTATGTTGGCTAGAAGGCATCTGGGTCCCTGAAGCTCCCTTCTTGGCCCTGCAGCCTCCTGCCACCCAGGAGATAGTCCCACAGTAGTATCTCAACCCAAAGAAGTTCTTTCACCGCTTGCTTTGCGTGTGAAATGGGACAGCAAAGCTGAGAACAAAACAGTTCCATCATACATCGTATCTCTCACCCCTAAATTGACTCCCAGAGTAAAGCAAGCTAGTGAGTGAGACACCACATCTATCTGCAATTGTATTTATTTGGAATTCTGCTGCTGCCGCCATTTGTTTTTACAACTTGCTCATTTCTTCATGGCTTTTGCAACAGCAATCAAAATGATGACGACAGCAATACTTGCTGAAACCACGGCACCAGGGATCCACAGCTGCATTTCTGAGGGGAGGAAAGAGAGAGTCAGGCAGGTTAGTGTAACTGAGGATGGGGGCTGTGGCAGGAGAGAATGACCAAGACTGCGTGGGGATGATGGGAGATGGAGTCCAGCAGGGGCCCAAGGCCAAACACCAGTGGCCCAGATCAACCTTCCCCAAACTGGTGGTGCCTTCCAGATGTTTCAGACTACAACTCCCATCACCCCTGACCATTGACTGTGCCAGCTAGGACTGAGTGAAACTGTGGTCCAAAGTATCTGGAGGGCACCAGATTGGGAAAGGCTGCTCTGGGCCATTCATGACCTGATCCAGGAAAACAGGTACATACTCCAGATGAGCTGTTGGTCTTCAGCATCCCGCACTTCCAAGTGTGATGAGGCCAGGAAACGGATGGGACCATAGGAGATGATCTTCTGGTAGTCATCAACCAGCTCCCTCTTGCTTCTTTGCTTGCTGGGACATTGCTGCAGTCAAAAGCAAGAGGGAAAAGGTGTGAATCTTACTCCACTGCTGAATGTGTACAAAGATGCATCATCTTATATAACACAGAATTATAGCCACATAATGAGCCATCTCTGCAAGCCCATCAACCTGCGGTTTTCAAAGACCATTTAAATAAATTAAAACAGATCTCCTCTTCTCTCCCAAGAGCCACAAGGAAGGATACAATACACAAGGATCTCATTTGATCTTTTGCAACAAGTCTTGGGAAAGGGAAGAATCTAAAAAAATTGTTGTGCTGGATCAGCACATGGGTTACTGTAGTCCAACATTTCAGTTTCCAGCAGCAGACAGATCAGCCAAGCTCTGCTCTGGGTCACTTTCACATGTTCAATCGTTAGTCTGTCCTGCCCTGTTTGTGCATTACTCTATTACAAATGACTGTGCAGATTTTTATTTTATTTTTTAAAAGGTTGAAAGAAAGACTATATACACATCACACATTTAAAGCACAAGACTTCCCTGCTGCAAGAATCCTGGGAGCTGTAGTTTGCCAAGGATGCTAAGAATTGTAGCTCTATGAGGGGGTAAATTACAGTTTCCAGGAATCTTGGGAGGGGTGGGTGCTTTAAATGTATGGCATACCTGCAGCCAAAGTACGTTTAAATGTTTATTAAATTATTATTTTTGTTTAATTGCCATTTTTCAGATCATTAGTCTCACAAAGCGGTTTACAAGCACTAAAATATATCAAAAATGATTCTTAAAATTTATTTTCCTCCCCCCCCCCCAGAAACAGTTGTTTGTTGGGCTACTAATATCTTAAAAATTGATTATTTTATTACTTAACTAATGCATAAAACATAAGAAGATAAGAAGAGTCTGCTGGATCAAGCTAATGGCCCAAGAAGTTCCCTTTTCACAGTAGCCAACCCGATGCCCATTACGGGAAAGCCACAAGCAGAAGCTAAGCACAACATCACTCTCCACCTTTGCAACTTCCAACAACTGGGATTCAGAAACATTACTGCCTCTAGCCATTGTAGTTAATAGCCACTGATAGCCTTCTCCTCTATGAATTTGCCAAGCCTCTTTTAAAGCCATCCAAGTTGGTGGCTATTACTGCCTCATGCACGAGAGAGTTCCATATACTTTAACTTTGCAGTGTGTGAAGAAGTCCTTTACTTGTCTGGAATCTTTGAACATTCAGCTTCACTGGATGTCATCATCCCACTCCACCACCACCACCTCCCCGCCCTGCAACCTTGACCTTAGTATTTAGCTTTGTATGTGCACACATGCTCCTAAATCCATTCCTTCTCATTCCAGGAGTTTAAATTCCCAGCCCTTTCTTTTCTCATCCTTCCTACCCTTCTACAAAATTGTTTGTTGTTCTTTAATAGTTAGGTAAAAGGTAAAAAAAGAAAAAGTAAAGGACTTCCCACCACAGGAGTACCTATTTATCTACTTGCACTGGTGTGCTTTCAAACTGCTAGGTTGGCAGGAGTTGGGACAGAGCAATGGGAGCTCATTCCATCATGCGGATTTGAACCGCCAACCTTCTGATCGGCAAGCCCAAGGGGCTCAGTGGTTTAGATCACAGCGCCACCCATGTCCCTATTAGTTAAGTACAATACCCTTGTCCCCACCCATCAAGGGGCATTAGCTGTCTTCTTTTCTCTGAAGCAGTGGCCGAGTTTTATACCGTCGCCTCTCCATCCTTTCATAATATTTTGCTAAATTATATTTTAAAAAATTGTATCTACTTTTAGCATATACCTCTGCTGCTTCAGTGGCACATCCTTGTAGCTGTTTGCTCACTACTGTACTGGGCATCAACAGCAGCTTCATAGCTTACAATTTATTTTTAATTTCCAGTCATTGGTAAGCAAATATCTCACCTCTAGCAGCCTCACCCTTGCCAGTGGGTTTGCTCTGCTTCTACCCACTAAGCAAGTGCATTTCAGAATTTCCAACCACTCTATCTCACCTTTGCACCAGCAACCCCACCCTGACAATGGTTTGCTATACTTCTATATACAGCTGCAGCAGCAACCACCAACTAGTGGGTACAGTTCTATTTTTTACAATACTTCATCCTTAAGAGTTGCACCCTTATATGCACATATTTTTTGCTATACCTCTGGGCATTAGCTGCAGCCTAGTGGACAAATGTTTGTTTTTAATTCCCCAACAACTAGATCTCTCAAATTTAGTATGCCACCAGCAATTATTCCTTTATTATCAAAATTGTGGAGTCAGACCACTACCCCTGCAATGCAGGATTATTACTCGCTTGCTATACTTTTATATACCGGGCATAGCAGCAGCCTAGCAGATTACACAGTTCTATTTTTAAATTACAGTGTCAAGTTTAGTACACCAGTAGCAATCCCCTTATTCCAGTTTACAATCCTTTGTTTTGCTCTTCTACATTTCTTTGGTGTGATTGTACACACAAAAACACGCATACCCATCATTATAAAAGAGAGGCACTCATTATAAAACGATTTCACTGGTGGCGGCGGGGGACAGCCTTCCATTGACTAAGGAATATATTTTTTCAGCACAAGGATGAGGAAGGTCAATGGGATCCTGCTACCATCTGAGGATACATGCGAGCCCAGGAGCACCACAGTGGTGACCTACACCCTACAGAGATGCAGAAGAGTGGCCAATATCCTAAAGACACACAGAGAGAGGTTACCTTGGCGCAGGGCTCTTTGTTCTCCGGTACACAAAGGCGCACTTGGCAGTGCAGGTACACCTCCTGGAAGTTTTTGAACTGGAACATCTGAAAGCTAAACTTTGCCACGGTGCTGTTACCAACGGCATTGAGGAAAGTCAGCGTCTTGTCGTGCGGGCACCTGGAAGAGACCAAGCACAAGCTTAAATGTTCAGGCTCCCAACTTAACCCAGGCTGTAAGAATTCAGTCCTGGAACACAATTTTTTTAGAAAAAAGAGTGCATTTGATAATGTGCAAAGTGCCTTTCACCCCACTGGTAACCACAGGCAGCTTTAGGAGCATCGTTGGTCATACCCTGCACTGGCAAGGCTCATTTGACAACAGTGAGAAACTGAGCCTCCAGTGTCATTGGCTCAGTCCAGTGGAACTCTCTGCCAATGGAGATTCAATAGGCGCTTTCTGTGCCAGCTTTTATTTTTACTTTTTATAAATGATTTTTATTGGTTTTACATATAATCACATTACATAACATCGTATCCTCTTGTTTTATCTCTTTGGATCGACTGAGCCTAACGACTTCCCTCCCTCCCATCTGATGGTTTACAAAATTAAACTTTACATCTTTACATTTCGCTTCAATTCCTATCCTTGTTGTATCATTACCTAAAATATTATATTACTCATCCTGAATAGGTAGCAATTTCACCTTACAAATCCTCAGATAATTCTGTGCCAGCTTTTAAATGGCTGCCGGAAACATTCCCCCCACCCCACCAGGCCTACGCAGGCAGTTAAGAATACATCTTTCCCCAATAGTTAACTGATGCCTGCTTTTAATTTTTTTTTATTGTATGGTTTTATGTTTTCATTGCTGTAAACCATTTTGATATTCTTGTTTATGATATAGTGGTATGAAAATATATTTTTTATAAATAAATAATGGGGGGGGGAGTTTACTTGTAAAGCCCGCAACTCACTTGCAGAGGCTTTGCAACCCACAGGTTGGGGAAAGCGGATATACAGGATCAAACCCCTCAACAAATGCCATGCCAGACTCTCACCCCTTCATGATCAGGAAGTGCTTTGTGCTGTCCAGTGGGTCACCTGTCGGAGTGCCCCAGCAGTCCTCCATGCCGAGGAAGAAGTACTTCGCCTGATCCTGCCCTTCTATTTTCACGAGGACGTAGAGCATGTCTGTTACGAGGAACGTCAGTTGTGACTTGGGATAGGCACGCACATAGCTGGCGTTTTCATACAGCTGCATGTTGACTCTGAAGTCCCCTTCCTTGACCGTAAACTGGACAATCCTAGGAAAAGAGGCAGCCACACACAAACCCCGCCAGAGTCAGTCAGGGATTCACATGGACAAACCTAACCCACCTGCCCATGCTTATCCGCTCTCCCACAATCACCACCTTTCCCCACCCAATTCTGGAGTCCCAGAACAAGATACAAGGAAGTATATCTAATAGCAAACTCAGGTGATGAATGCCAGAAGAAGCAAAGACAAAATGAGAAGAGGGAGATTCCAGCATGCCTAGGGAGAACCCATTTTCAGAAGTACCAAATCAGACTATTGGTCCATCTAATTGGCCCACTTCCAGACCAGATTGTCACAATAATCTCCATGTGGGGCTGCCCTTGAAGACTGCTTGGAAACTTCAACTAGTCCAAAATTCAGTGGCCAGATTACAACTGGGGATCCATTTAGATCTCATATAATCTGGTACACTGGTTTCCAGGCCCAATTCAACATTGGTGTTTAAAGCCCTAAACAACTCAGGTCCCAGATACCTGAAAGACCCCCTCCTTCCCTATAGACCCCCTCAGGCATTAAGATCCAATTCACTTCCAGCAGGGTTTAAAATATCCTCATGAAAATTCACAGCATTTTAGTATGATTTTCTAATATACATGTATGGAATTGTGTCTCATATACACATTGTTTTCGAAAACATTTTCTCATTATGTATTTTTGTTTCATATTTTCACTTTCCATTTCTACGCACACTTTACCCTAGTGCATGTGCTTTTGTACACATTACTTGGCTGGAGAACTGCATTGCAAAATTCGGAGAAGTGTGAATTTTGGGGGACGGCTGTGCTTTGGTTTGCGTCTTGCTTCAGGAAGTGAAAATTAGATGGGTTTGCCTTTAAACTGAACCAAAGTTCTCCCCCACCCCCCTTGGCCAGCCCTGCAGCACATGCCACAATGGAGCAAGGATGGGGGAACAGGCCAAAGGCTGTGGCTATCAGAGGAAAGCCCCTGGCCAGAGTCATCACAACAACAACAACAACCTACTTGTCCACAGGCCTGAGTCCATAGCCCAGGCCAACCACCTGCTTGGAGGCATAGATGCAGGAGAAGTGCAAGCGGATCTGGACGCTCCTGGTGATGATACTCTGATCGTTGTCACTGCCGGACTCAATCACATTGGTGTAGGACACATGAGTCTCATTGATCTGAAAATGGACCAGAAACTGGATTAGGGGGTTCAAAACCACATGTGGATAAAGAGGACAACAATATAAAATCTTGCCACAGTACTTCATGCATTGGTTACTTCAAGATTGAATTTCTGTAATGTAATGGATGGGAGGAGGAAGAGGAAAACGAACACGAAGAAGAAGAGAAGGAGGAGGAAGACTATCAATGGCAGTGAGCATGTCTATATATTTTTTGTGAAATTGCTCCAGATTTGTATATGAAATAAAAATAAGTAGTTGCACACTTGTGTGGATCTTCTTCTTTACGAACTGCTCCAGAGCACTTACATTAGTGGTGGAGCCACAGGTGGTGTGGTTCTCCCCGGTCAGCTTTGCACCAAAGTAACTGACTCCGTCTTGCCATTGCTCGGAGACCAGGCAGGCACGGCTACTCAGGTGGAGAGAGGACAGGGGGATCTTCAGCATTTCAAATGCTTCCTTCCTCACCAGCATCCTCATGAACTCTTCCATGCATTCCAGTTTCACCACAATTTCTGGGGGAGAAAATCCATCAATTAGAGCAAGTGGGGAACCTCCCTACCTCTGAGCCGTGCATGCAGTGGTGGATGGGTGCTTGTGGGTGCATGCCAGTGGGCGTGGCCAGTGCTGGAGATAGGAGGGGCCATTAAGACCCCATCCACACTGTACATTTAAACCAGTATCATACCACTTTAATTCTAATGGCTTCCCCCAGAGAATCAGGAGAACTGTAGTTGTTCGGAGCTAAAATTCTCATAGTGGTTTAACGGTAAATTCCTTTTTGCAGGGAACTACAGTGGTACCTCGGGTTAAGAACTTAATTCGTTCCGGAGGTCCGTTCTTAACCTGAAGCACCACTTTAGCTAATGGGGCCTCCTGCTGCCACTGCACCGCTGGAGCACGATTTCTGTTCTCATCCTGAAGCAAAGTTCTTAACCCGAGGTACTATTTCTGGGTTAGCGGAATCTGTATCCTGAAGCGTATGTAACCTGAAGCGTATGTAACCCGAGGTACCACTGTATGGGAATTGTACCTCTCTGAGGGGAATATGGCATCTCCTAACAACTCTCAGCACCCTGAACAAACAACAATTCCCAGAATTCTTCGGGTGAAAGTGCTTCAAAGTGGTTCAAAGTGATATGAAACCATGGTGTGCTTTAATTTTATAGTGCAAATGGGGCCTAAAACACACACACACACACACACACACACACACACACACACACACACAGAGTTTTATCAGGTTGCTAGGGTGGGCGGTTAAGCACTTCAAACAATTCCAATGCAGCCCAAATTTGCTGTCCTGTTGCTGCAGGGAACTCTCTAGAGTAGCAGGGCTCTGTATGTGCACATCTGTGGGCTGAAAAGGTTTGGGTGCATGAAAGAGTGTAGACAGAGCCCTGTCCTATTACAGCTCTGGCCCCACCCACTACTGGCATGTGGCCCCACAGAAGGCTGGTCTTAAGTGACCATGGCCCTCAGGCTGAAAAAGGTTCCCCACCTCTGCTTCAGAAATACCCCGGAATCCTTCGTAATGTAAAATATGATTTGGCAGATCCTTCAGGAGTTTTTTTGGCAAAGTGCTGTGAAAGGAAGGAACTTTGAAAGCCTACCTCAGAAGGCAGTGGACTCTCCTTCACTGGAAGCTTTTAAACAGAGGTTGGGTGGCCATCTGTCAGGGATTCTCTAGTTGCAATTTTCGCGTTGCAGGGGCTTGGACTAGATTGCCTTCGGGACCCTTTCCAACTCTACCATTCTATAATTGGGACCAACCACACCCAGGGATGCAAGGGGGACGGGGAGAGAAAGAAATACACTTCCCCACAGCACAGCAGACCTGTGTTACCTTTACAGCGCAAGCCAGTGAACCCTGGCTTACAAGAGCAGCTGGCATTGTTCCCAACTGCAGTGCAGTCTCCCTGGTTCCAGCATGGGTTTGGGAAGCAAGGCTCTCCCAGATTCCTCCGAGGACGTGGGGCAGCTTCTCCTCTTGCACTGGGAAGCTCCGTCAGATGACCTACAGCAGAGGAAAGCCGTCATTCTGTTGGCCAGTGGAGGGGTGGGAGGTCAGGTAACCTACTTTGCAGAGGACAGTCCTCAGTTGGACGGGCTGCCCTGTCCCCAGTCTGGTCCTGAATGGGGTAACTGTGCGAAGGACCAGGTGCGAAGGACCAGGTGCGCAGACTGGGAGAAATTTTGGACTCATAGCTGTCCATGGAGGCACAGGTCAATTCTGTGTCCAGGGCAGCTGTCTACCAGCTCCATGTGGTATGCAGGCTGACAGGGCCGTCTTAAGCATATCCGGCACTGTGGTTCAAAGATCTCTCAGGATCCCCCTTTCCCAGAGTTGTCGACCTTTCCCCAAGCCTCTGTGGGGATCACTCTCCTCCCACGGAGGCTTGGGAAGGAAGCTGCATGCCTGCCAGCCATATAGTTGGTGGGGCGCAGCTTCCATCCTAAGCCTCTGCAGGGATCGCTCACCTCCCGCGGAGGCTTGGGAGGCAAGCTGCATGCCCACCAGCCATATGGTTGATGGGGCACAGTTGGCAAACTGTAAACTCAGTTTTCAATGACACATCTGTGGCCATCTTATCTATTGCCCTGATGACGTTCCAGCAGCCTCTTTGTTTTCCAGGAAGGCCATTAGGAAACTTACTGTGATAAGTTGTCTCAGTAGCAGGCAGGAGGAGGACCAGAACTAGGAGCAACAAGCACTTCATGGCCATTTCTAAGGGGCAAAGAGAAAGAGAGAGAGACCTTGGAGTCATAGGCGATATTGCGAATATGTCAACCCAGTGTGCAGTGACCATGGGAAAAAAAAAGCAAATTCCATGCTAGAAATCATTAGAAAATGAATTGAAAATAAAACTGCCAGTATCATACTGCCATTATGCAAGTATATGGTGCGACTGCATTTGGAATATTTTGTGCGGTTCTGGACGTCTCACCTCAAAATGGATATTGTGTAGTTGTGAAAGGTTTAGAAGGCAGCCCTGTTTAGGGAAGTTTTTAATGTGTGAAGTTTTATTCTGTTTTTAGTGTTCTGTCGGGAGCCGCCCAGAGTCTGGGGCCTAGCAAGGGGGGTGCGGTAGAGTGTCCCACTGAGGGGGGTGACAAAATGGTGGGCAGCACTCACCGCGGGGCCTGCAGTGCTCCTGAGCCACATGTTTCTCCGAGGAGTGACACGGTGGCTTGGGCACCCGCAGGCTCCGCACTGCCCCAAACGGTCCACCTGCCACCTCACCCTCAGCGGTAGGGCGGCTGAGTGGGAAGAGGCAGGCAGACTCCTCAGAGGCCCCTCTGTGCCCCTGTGGGTGGCTGGCCCAGTCCCTGGGTGCAGGGCAGGCGCGCCACCCCAAGTGCCTGATCGGCTTGCTCCGCCACTGCCCAGAGTGGCTAGGAAAACCCAGCCAGATGGGCGGGCTTTAAATAATAAAATGATGATGATGATGATGATGATGATGATGATATAATGAAAAGGGCAAACCAAATGGACAACTCCCCTGTGAAAAAAGACTGCAATATATGGGACTTTTTAGTTTAAAGGTGAGGAAGAGGCAACATTATAGAAGGGTATAAAATTATGCATAGCATTGAGAAAGTGGACAGAGAAATATTTATCTCCCTCTCTTATAGCACTGGAACTCAGGTACACCGACGAAGCTGATTGTTGGAAGATTCAGGACAGATAATAGAAAGGACTTGTTCATGCAGTGCAGAGTTAAACCCTGGAATGCTACACCTTGATGGGGCTTGTTGCATTTTTAAGGTTGGTTGTTATCATGCTGAACAGGTGTGAGCAGAAGGATTTAAAAAACCCTTGGCTAATTTTAAAGTCAGCCAATGACCAGGGATGAAGATTGCAGTCCAACAAGGTCTGGGGAACTGAAGTTGAAGATGGAAGGGCTGTTCAGTGTGGTAGAAAGTCTGGTTTAAAAATAAGGAATCCTAAGGAGGAAAGCATGGATGGAGGGGTGTCTTGAAATAGCCAACCAGCTGTGAGCAACAGGACCCGAGCAGGTACTCAGGTCAAGAGTCTTCCCCTCTATGGTTAGATATATGCATTTCTATTTAAAATACAGTAAATATTTCTAAATTTGAAAACATTATGGAATTCTATGTCCCCTTTTGTCCCCATTTCTGATGACACCTCTCCTGGTTTGGCAATGTGTGCATGCCCCCCCCCCCCCCAAAAAAATCTACCCACCAACAAACTGCAGCAGCTTGTTGTAGCAATTGTGATGTGCAGTGCTAGGTGCTGTATGATTTCAGTGGCACTTTATTGATGCTTCTATTTCTCATACATTGCATTTTATTGCATTCAGTATAATTTATAACACAATATATAAGGAATAAAGGAGACACATTAAAATACTATTAAAAAATGAATATGCTATGGATGTGCCATCTTCCATCTTCAACCACAAATCCAAAGACACCATGCAGATAACCTGAATGAAGCTAAGGGAAGACAGTTTGGGAACCCCTGGGAAATATTAATGGGTGGGGAGTGGGAAGCAATGAAGGAGCTCTCCAATACTGAGGGGCTGTAGAGTTGGAGAAAGTGCCACACAGGTACCAGAAAACCAAAATGGCATTGAGGGATGGATGGGAGACTGTCTTAAGGGTAGCAAGAAAGAATTGTAGTAAATAATACAATAGGGTTATCCACAGAACTGGTTCTACAATTATTGTTTTTAAAAATAAATGATTAACCAAGCAGTTAAACTTCCACAGTCTCCTTCATATTATAAAGGGGGAAACAGACTGTTTTGCCTAGCAGTGAATAGAACCTTTACCCAATTGTTTGCAAAATTAGCAACTTCAGAGAACTTGAGGTTCAAGCTTAGATAGGATTGCCAACTTTGTTTTTTGCAGGTAAGATACCTATGCCTTTAAGAGCTGCATCTCACAGGCAGATGTTGGGTGGATCTAACTTTCTCAACTAAAATGTGTTTCAGGCACCTGTTAAGGCATAGGATCCCTGACAGGAAAAAAAATTGCAAGCAGACATGGGAACAATTATATTCTACATTTAGAATGTCAGTTTCCAAAGTTGTATCACACCAGCATACTTTGGGGGGAAAGCAAAACAAATTAGCTATCAGTATCACCATTTAAACACCAGCATCTCAAAGACATTTCCCAAGCCTTTTGACTGCTCATTGCTTGGGAATACATATTAGGGTTGTCATATGTCTGGAATTTCCTAGACATAGCCGGAATACGGCAGTCAGAAGCAGTGCCCAGGTGGAACTCGCTAAAATGTCTGGGAAAATCCAGACGTATGGCAACCCATGTCAGAAGTCAACAACTTTGTCCCCCACAAAAAAAAACAAAAAAACCCTCAACAAACTCACATTTTGAAATACAGCAACTCTCATATATATTTATATAACATTGCCTTCTAACCTTGCAGCTTGAGAGAAAAGAAAAGAGAATTGGGACTCTTTTCCGAAGGGAGCACTTGAAGACAGAGATAGGATACTGCCAAAACTAGTTAGAGCTCTGTGCATTCGGCCTAAAATGACAAAACAATGATAATACAACGCATCCCTTTCCAAAGCTTTTAAGGGTACAAGCCACTGCACACTTACTTGGAAGTAGGCCCCTTTGGCTAGAGATGGATAAAGGATACCAGGCTGCATCCACAACTTCGCTGCTCAGTCTCTTACTCGCTTTAGCCAGCTTCTTGCAACCTTGCAGCTCCTCCTCAGCTGCCACACAGACCTCCCTTTCACCCACCCAGCTCCTTATATTATCTCTCAGCACCTGACCCTCTTCCTATCCCACCATGGGTTCCCTAGTGACTGTTTTTGTGCCGTTTCAAGGACTTCTCATTGCAGCTGCCAACAGAAAGTTTCATCTTCCTGCTTTTAATTTCAGGTCTCCATCAACCGTCACCCAAGGTCCAAAACAACTGTCCGGTTTTGCTCTTTATGTTATTTTATTATTTTCTGCTACACATTTAGAGAATTATTGGTATCCTCCCTCTCCTCAACTGTGCTTTGAGAAAAGTGCTTTCTTTGTGTGTGGGGGGGGGTGTTCCAGATGTTCCTCATAACGATCATCGAATGGAAACATTGCAGGTGTTTAACTACATCTCTGCTTTTATATCTAAAGGGCACAAGCAGACACAGATAAGATTTCTGCATGAGTTTTCCTCCCCAAAGCAGTCAGAAAAATCTCACGCTTGTACTGAACTGGGGGAAGAGGCAAGAGAAAGGTTCCTTATGAAACTGATTCCAAGAGCAGCAGTTGGCCATTATCTTTATTAAGACCAACTGGAAATCTCAAAACAGTTAGTTACCTTTCATTCTGCACACCTGTGGTCCCCAGTAAATGGTATTCAGTAGCAGATGAGGCTGGTGGAAGTTCCACAGGGCTGTGGTTCAGTAGTAGAGCACATGACCATTGGGAGAAGCGCAGAAAGAAGATTTGCCATGGTATATCCAGGGGCGCAGGAAGAGGGCGGTGGGGGCAGACGGCCCCAGGTGTCAGCCGGGGTGTGTGTGACAAAATGCCTCCTAGGTGAATCGCTGCTGTGCCAATCGCCGCCCCCCAGTGCATCGCCACCACGCCGATCTGCCCCCTGCTGCGGTGCCCCTGTGCGTGAATTGCTGCAGTACCCCCATGGGCAGATCGCCCTGCCCCTGGTGCTCCGGGTGCCGGAACAGCAAGCTACACCCCTGGGTGTATCTGTAGCAGCACAATCAGATGCCTTCATCTGCCCCAGCTGCAGCAAAACATCTCTCTCCTGCATTGGTCTCTACAGTCACAGCAGGCGCTGCAACTGTCCAACTGCTTGACCTCACCCGCAAAGGCACACTCCTCCATTGTCTCCCAAGACAGATGGATGCCAACCATTCCATGTTTTGCATGTAGCAAGACCCAGGTACAACCCCTGATTCCCTGGCACCTCCAGATAGACATGGGAACATCTCCTGCCTGATATCCTGGTATTCAGTGCTAGTCCTACTACTCAGAGTAGTTCCATTGAGATCAATGGACATGACTAACTTGGGTTCATTAATTTCAGTGGGTCTACTTTGAGTCGAATACCACCCACACTCTTCAGCTTCATCGTGGCTTCCGTTTTCTAATTGGATGAAGACTGGTTTGAGGGGAAGCAAATAAAACTGGAGTGTTTCTCAAGAAGCTGGAGGATACCAGTGGACTGTGGCTAACACCACTGGTACTCGGCTTCAAATACCAGAGGTGGGAGCTAGGGGTGGGGAAGAAGTTCGGCTCACATTTAAAGCCTAATTTATCAAATTCACACTTTCCAAAATAATGAGAAAACGAAACACAGCAAAATTCACACTTATCTAAATTTTGTTATGCTGTTCTCCAACCAAATAGTATTTACAAAAATGCATAAGATATACATAAAATGAATATATTAATGAAAACACAAAAATGCACATTATTAGGAGGAATTGCTTGCCACACAAATATGCTTAATAGGAGAAATTTGCACTAAAATGCTGAAGAAGTTTCACAAGGAAGCTAGAATAAGTGGTAATGTGTGCACAGTCCAGCTTCCCACAATATTGCAACTGGCTTCTGCAAGTTCCTTGGGAAAAGGTGCCATCTTGTCTTGCACCTCAGGCAGCAAAATATACTGAGCTGGCCCTGCTCCTGCTTGACTCTTAATGATAATTAACACCACTTGAAATAATAGCAGCAGCTTTCCATTGAAAAGCACCCAGTACAGATTATGTGACCGGCAGAAATTCAATTTATAAGGTATCAGGATCAAGAGTGTTACAGTTTTGTAGGAGCAAGGAGTAGCTGGTTTGCATTGATCATGTTTGTATCTGTGAAATGAACTTGTAACTTTTCTTCAGGAAACAATAAAAGTTATTAACCAGGGGGGGGGAAAAGAAAATCAAACCAATATCACTTTCCCCCATGAGTGCATCTCTGTTTTGGGCATGCTGTATTTATTCATTTATTTAACAAAGTTTGCTTGATGGAAAGAAAACCTCAAAGCTGTTTACAGAAATATGAAAGAAGACATTATTTTTTAAAATATATATAGAGAGAGAGAGAGAGAGAGTTTTACAAAACATATTTAAATTCAAACAAAACATCCGCCTCATCATTTAGGATTCCCAGAATCCTTTGACTCCCTTCCACCCTTCCATGGTTACCATTATCAATCTTCCCCCCCCACCCAACTGCTTCCCTTATTTTCTTTTTCTTCTTTTTTAAGAAAAACAATCCATTTTTACCAGTTTTTCGTACATTACAAGCATTACTCAAATCCTGCCAAAATTTTTAGCTGTTTACAGTGTTCTCTTAAATACATTATAAATTTTTCCCACTCCTTCTTAAAATTATTCTCTTCCTGATTTCTGATTTTCCCAGTCAATTTCGCCATTTCGGCATAGTCCATCATCTTCATCAGCCATTTATCTCTCATCAGAACTTTGTCTTCTTTCCATGTCTGGGCCAGTAGTATCTGTGCTGCTGTCGTTGCGTACATCAATAAAAACAGGTATTTAAAATATGGGAAAGTTGATGAAAAACAACAGTAGCTAAAAAGAGATTAAACACCTGTTATATTCTGCATGTCTGGATAGGCTGGCCTAAAGAAAAATGTTTTAGGTGCTGAAAGGGATAAGGTGAAGATGCCTGCCTGCAGGGAGTTCCTAGAGCTGGAATTGTGGGATGAAGTGGCCGGGGGAGGGGGCTTCAATGTAACCAAAAAGCCCCACTGCCTGACTTTCCCCAGTTGTAGCTTAATCTTAAAAATAAAAACGCAGCTAAGGGAACCATCAGGCCCCCCAATAAATTATGCACTGGGACAGCTGCACCAGCTGGGTTTCTGCCTGTTAGGTTTTGCATTCTTCCAGAACTGAAAAACATGGTTCCCACCGGAAGCTAAATTGTTGGGGTGGCATTGCCCGTCGCAAATGTGCTCTTTCTTTGCAAACTTGGGAAGAGAAGACAACTCAGACCTCGTTTGTGAACGAGGAAATGGACACACACGACTACAACTCCCAGAAGCCTCAGCTTCCCAGGAGGTGGTTGCCATGGAGACAGAAATCAACAGACCCAGGAGAACCTGGCGAGGTGAGTAAGTGGGAAGGGCGACCGGTCTGTGCGGCTGCTGCGTGTGCAGCTTCAGAAAGGGAAGAGAAAGAAAGTGTGCGCACAAAAGCTCATCTACACAAACAGGACGTTTTGGTAGATATTCTATCCCTGGCTTAGCTCCCCAAAGAGGCCGGGGTGTGTGTGTGTGGAGGGGGGGAATGTTACCTTGAATTCTGTGCGTAATGCGCACTCTAAACCTCCTCTCCTGGGCTCCCCTTCAACTGCTTTTCCAGTGTCATTTACATTTGGCAGCCAGGACAAAGCACTAAAGCAGTGGAGCAGATCGTTTAATGGCTGCTCAGTGGATAGAACAGATAACTGACTTGAAATGAAACCACTTCCGATCTTAACCACCTGGCCAGCAGTATTTCGTTGGGCCAAGATTGTGCCATTGTTTCTAACTCAGCTCCCCAGAGCCCCTGGGTTTACCCTGGAAAGGTAAATCATCTGAAATAAAAATGAGGTGAAATAAAGTTAAATGGGGCAGGTTTCAAAATGCTGAGTGTTCAGTTGGGATCTAGGTTTGTATGATGGAGAGGAGGTTCAAGCGGGACGCAGTCATGAAATCAGAAACCATTATGTGACATTACGGATGAACTGCCTTTGTGTGTGAGAGAGACACAGAGAGAGAGAGCGCACACTACATTACCAATTCTTGGTCAGATGATGGTTGTGTGTGCACAAAGCATTTTCCTTTGCCTGTTACATACTTTTTATATTTTCTGGCAGTATTTAAACTTTGTTTGTTTGTTTAAATTCACTCTAATTTCTATTAAATTGTCAAACTTTTATATAATCAATGTACATCAAGCAAATATCTTGCTGTTGGTTAACTTCTATTTTGTCAAGACCATGTTAATCAAGTAAATAAATTCTGCAGCCATTAAAATAAACACCACACATTGCCAGTTCTTTGGCTCAGTTCTGAGCAATACTAGATGTCCTCCACCTACCCACGCAAAGCATTTCAGGGGGCAATCCAGACGGCCTTCTGTCTTGGTAGGGCTTGGTTGAAGGAACGAACACTGATATGTCCTTGCATTTATCTGTATGCATAATTCTCATTCTTTCCCCCAAAACAAGTGGAAGTAAAGGGGATGTACAAGGTCTTATTGTCATTTGGTTATCTCTGCTGAGCACAAAAACAAAATCAGAGAGCAGTTTGCCTTGTCAGCCCTTCTCTTCTTTCTCTTCTGCTCATTACCCATTTTGTTTACATTCTTGGAATTGCCTCTCTAATAAGAATAATTTTTTTGGAGAGAATGGTGACAGGGGCAGGGGGATCAGCATTCACATAGTTCCAGGGCTGAAAAAGTGCCTTTTCAACTCAGTTTCTAATTTAGGGCTGAGGAATTTCCATTTCACAATCTGTCCAGGGATGTTTGGGGAAGGATATGGGGAACATCCCCCTTCTCCCCAATTGTAGGCCATGCATGATGGAGCCCCTCTGATCCTGGCCAGCTCATCAGTGCAATTCATGATGGTTTGAAACAATTAAATGGACCAAGGTAAAGCAGAAACTCCATTGACCTCTGCTGACAACCTTCTCATGTTGCACTGTAAAGATGTATGAAAGCAACCACAGCAGATGTTCATAAACGAATGCACTCTGTTCACAGTGCAATCATATGAAATCTACTCAGAAGCAAGTCCCATTAATTTCAATTGGGTACATTCCTAGGTAAGCAGGTATAGAATTCCAGCAGATGTCACCAACTTTTTGGAGCACATTTGTGGACCAGAGAAACTGTTGTGGACCTCACACACACAAGCACACCCTGTAATCTCTTCTATTGGCTACATCAGAATGCTTTTTTCCAGCCCAGTTTCAGCAGGAGTGTGTGCCAGAGGACCCAAAGAAGGCCTCTGTGGGAGTATGTATGCCACAGCTCACAGGCGGAGGAACAGGGGTGCAGGGGGAGCGCACCGCCCCCGGCGGCACAATCTCGGTGGGGCACCACACCCCCAAGATGCGCACCATGCCCCTGTGGGCGGCGCACCATTTACCCAGGACGCATGCCACGCCCCTGCGGGCAGCATGCTACACCCCAGGACTCACACCAGCCATGCCCCTGCCTGCTCTCCACCCCACCCCCCGCCGGAGCTCGAAGCTCCACCACTGCCACAGCTGCCACGTTGATGACCCCTGGTGCAGAACATGCTGAGCTAGATGAACCCATGACATAGCCCTGGGTAAAGAGAGCATTCATCAGGCCATGCCAGCCTGAAGCTCTGATGTCCTTCAGTGGGTCTTACACAGGACATGTCTAATGGGCTGCACTCATTGGATGGAATCCAAATGAAGTTGGACTTGTCCAGACAAGTCAGCAAGACTTGTCTAAGGCTAAGTTAAGCCCTGTGGATTTCACTGCAGTGTTAACCCCATTGATCCTCAATAGGATTGACTTCTGACTAGACATGGTTAGGCTTGGACTCTAAAGCAGCACTAAGAACCTCTCGATCCAGCGTGTTGGCCTGCAGACATTTTGTATTAAGTGGCAGATAAATAGAAATAATATCGGTAATAATGCAAGAGGTAAATTATTTTTAAACACTTCCCTTCATTACTGCCCTAGGTCTTCTAAACGCTGACGTGTGCAGCCTCTAGGAGCAGGATGGAGAGCAGTGAGGGGAGCTACGTCTCATCAGGAGAGGAGGAGGAGGAAGAGCTCGCCTCTTTCCAGCTCAGCGATGAACTTCAAGATCTAGAGAAGCAGCTGTCCCACATCCAAGTCCATATTCCTGAAGTTGTATTGTAAGGCGGGTCTTAAAGTCCATCTCTGTGTGAACATGGAAACACCAGCTTCATCCACACCTTCCTGGCTTAGTCTTTGCTACAGAAACCCCAGCCCAAAGCAAAAGATTTTGCATTCTTCTAAAACAGATGGGGAGCCTGTGGTCCTCCAAATGTTGATGGACTCCAACTTCCATCATACCCAGGCATTTGGCTGGGGCTGATGGGAGTTGTAGTCCAGCAACATCTGGAGGGCACCAGGTTGGGTAGGACTGGAATATGTAGACAGTAACTGAGCTAGATGGTTCAATGGTCTGGCACAGTGTAATTCAGCTTCCTATGTTCTTAAAGCAGGAGAGGGGAACCTCTCACTATCTGGCCCTTAGGACTCACTCCAGGCAACACACCCTCTCCACCCACACCTCTCACCAGCCTTATTTCACATCCTCCTTGTGTGATTTTGCCTGGCTGGGATGTGTCCTTGTCGGTGAATGACTAAGGGACTTGGGAACAGTTGAGGGAACTGGCTGTGTTTAGCCTGGAGGAGAGGAGACTAAGAGGTGATATGACAGCCACCTTCAATTATCTGAAGGGCTGCCACATGGAAGATGGAGCAAGCTTGTCTACTCCTGCTCTAGAGGCAGGGGCCTGAGCTGTGGATTCAAGTGGCGAGAAAGGAGATTCCAACAAAACGTTAGGAAGAATTTTCTGAGGGTAAGAGTTCAACAGCAGATTGGACTCTCATGGAGGTTTGATGGCCATCTGTCAGGGATTCTTTAGCTATGGTTCCTGCATATCGGGGTTAGGCTAGATGACCCTTGGCGTTCCTTCCAACTCTGCAGTTCTATGATTCTATGAACTCCTATGATGCCTCTTGCTTGCCTGATGAAAGGATAGAGAGGGGTGTGCCAGTGTGTGTGAAACTAGAGTACTGTAGAAAGGAAAAATGTTCACTCTTGCTTCTGACCTCACCTGCCCACCCCACCCCCCCAAAGTTGCCCAGGAGGGAACATGGCCCATGAGCTGAAAAATGTTCCCTGCCTTTGTCCTAAAAGAAGGAGCTTGCTTGTACAGTGGTACCTCTGGTTACGAACTTAATTCGTTCTGGAGGCCTGTTCTTAACCTGAAACCATTCTTAACCTCAAGTACCACTTTAGCTAATGGGGCCTCCTGCTGCCACCGCGCCGCCAGCGCACGATTTCGGTTCTCATCGTGAGGTAAAGTTCTTAACCCGAGATACTACTTCTGGGTTAGCGGAGTCTGTAACCCTAAGCGTTTGTAACCCGAGGTGTTTGTAACCCGAGGTACCACTGTATTGAATGCTGCAAGGATGGTGCTAACCCATTGCTCTACAAATGGCCCATTTATCCACTTGTTCTTCTGCATACAGTGAATTTGACTGGAGTTCCGTTGACACCAGCAACCTACCCGAGTCCTACAAGACAAACTCTCCCAAGGAGCAAATGCTGTTGCAGGTGGCTGACAATTTTCACCGACAGTATGCGCATCTCTGCCCAGACCGCGAGCCTCTCTTCCTCCACCCTATAAACGAATGCCGTGTGGAAGTAAGTGGAAGGGCTGGGATTGGTCCAAGAGCTTTACTCAGCTTACAATTACAATTACATGGACAGAGTTTTGCATGAGGTAAGGCTCACCATGCCTTAGCTAACAAGCTCTTTTCAGAACCAGGCTCAGACTCTTACCTTCACTTACCATATACTTCACTGGGTGGCCTTCCAGATCTGGGACAAGGTTACTTTGCATTGTTTCTGCGTACATCCTCCCTGTGTAGATAATAAAACTCTGTTTAGACATTTTGAGTTCTCACAAGGAGTCCTGGGAAATGCAGTGTAGTGAGTTTCCCAATCACCCACCTTCACCAATTACAGTACTCCAGGAAGAATGACTCATAAGCCAGTTTAATACTGTAATGGAGATATGCACATATCTGTGCTATACCTAGTGCTGGTGCCAGGCAAATTTGCACCCTAGGCAAGGCTAACTACTTGCACCCAGGCTCAAAGATTGCTCACTTCAATTTTCAGAAACGTATGTCTTGTATAAAAAATGAAAAGGACATAACTTGAAGCTGCTAAATTTATTTTAAATTGCAAGAATAATTAAAACAACAATCTTTGATTGTCTTTCTCAAATACAAAAGAAAATGTAGCACGCAAATCATTTTGAATAATCCTGTAGAGTGTGGTGTTAAAATTTAAGGCTCTTAAAAGTCTCGGTTTCAGGCACGTCAAAATCTCACTTTACATGCCTTTTCCTATGCCAGTTTTGTCACCAATTCCTTCAGGTCGAGTGCTGATACCTGGGCATGTTCATTTGATATACAGGTGACTCCCCACTTATGTGGGGGCTACATTCTGAGCCCCACACACACATAAGCGAAATTGTATAAAGTGGGGAGCACCCTCTATACACCCTTTAAACGCCCTCTCTGCCACTCTCTTCCATCCATACCAAAAATACTGTGTCCAAAAATATCCACAACTAGAATTGAAACCCTGGAGCTGGCAAAATGCTGGAGGACATACAGGTAAGCTGCTACTACTGCTGTGCTACCCCCCACACCAGCTGTTAGGCAGGGAGGCTGGGCAGCATAAACAAAGCCCTGTTGCATCTCCAGTCTCTTTGGGGCTTCCTCTGCCCACAGTGACATCCTCTTCAGGCTCCGGGGAGGGTCTCCTTGCAAGCCACAAGGACTCTCCAGGTCTCTCCTACCATTTCCAAGTTTGAATTGAAGTACCGTATTTTTTGCTCTATAAGACTCACTTTTTCCCTCCTGAAAAGTAAGGGGAAATGTATGTGCGTCTTATGGAGCGAATGCAGGCTGCACAGCTATCCCAGAAGCCAGAACAGCAAGAGGGATTGTTGCTTTCACTGCACAGCGATCCCTCTTGCTGTTCTGGCTTCTGAGATTCAGAATATTTTTTTCTTGTTTTCCTCCTCCAAAAACTAGGTGCGTCTTGTGGTCTGGTGCATCTTATAGAGCGAAAAATATGGTATTTCATTGTTTTCCGGCGCTGCACATATATGCAGTGATGTGCGAGTCGATTGCACATAAGTGGGGGAACATCAGTAGCTGCTAAGTCAATTAGTCCCTTTTGCAGCCTTGTTGAGCGTATGTAAGTTTTTCATAAATTTCAGCTTTGAGAAATTGTGTTCACCACTCACCACTGACACTGGAAATGTGAGAAGGATCCTTACAGAAACAGAAAATAAAGGCACATTATCCAGGAGTTTTTGTACTTGTAGCAGCATAGACTTTGGTAGTCTTTGAGCTACTGCTATAAGTTCACACCATCAATATGTTTTGTTTCCACTGTGCATCAGTGATTTTTCCAATTTCTTGCAGGCCTTTAGTACATCTTCAGTAGATGTTTTGTTGATAGTGTATATATCATACAGGAAGCCAAACAGGGAATTGTGTTGTAGCAGTTGGAATCTCCCTTCAACAGATTGTATAGCCATGACCTAAGATAGCATAGTAGAAACCTACTTCGGATTTCTACTTTGAATTTCAGCTGTAGCTCACTAGAATAATGAATACATTTTCTAAATTAAATTAAGATGTGATAGTAAGATTTAAAATTAAATGAATTTTCACTTTTTATGTGGGTGTGTGGGTGTGTGGGTATGTGTGTGTGAGAGAGAATAAAGTTCTGTGCAATACATGGTGCAACAGTTGCACTAGCAGAAACTGGTTGTGCATAATCTGCATATCATTTGCACAAACGGAGCAAATCCCAAACAGCTGTTGGTGAGTATATGTTTGCTTTGCCAGATGGTCATTCGGAAATTATTGATCCAAATGGGGAATTCCTCAAATTAGTCTCCCCCCTCCTTTTTTTTTGGCTTTTAAATGATTGATTTATGTATTTATTATTTAAAGGACTTAATTGTTTTGCAGAGTGTGTTGTTTGTCATACCAACCACAAATGAAGAGAATATATTTTACTGAAATCAACATGCTTAGGTCTAGAATATAGAAACATTTTTTAAGTGAAAGCTATGATTTTCCCATGTGCAAAAGCAGCCACGCAGCTGTGCTTCCAGGGCCATAAGTAGCCCTCCGCGGGGAGCGGGGTTTGAATGTATTGCTCTCTGCTGAAGCCCAGACTCCTTCCTTGTGATCAACTTTTCTCCTTCCCTGATACATCCACAAACCGGTGCTATTTTCTTGCAGAAATTTGTGAGCACCACTGTGCGCCCAACTCTGCTTCCTTACTCAGAGTTGTACAACTGGGATGGCTGTGCCCGCTTTGTGGCAGACTATCTCACCATGGAGCCGCTTCCGTCTCCTATCGCGCCGGTAAGAAACAGGGCCTTTTTGCATTATTTTCTTCGCTCAGATTCTTTTAGGCCATGTTAGCCAACAATACTAGGGTGTGTGGGTTCTGCAGGAGAATTTCTCAAGGTCAGAGCAATGCAAAGAACAATTCCGGGTGCTGGTTTTGACTTGGGATCAAGTGAGACAGGATGCTAAGCATGTCATTAACAACCACACTTGCTTCTTCTGGAAAATTAATAGCAGGTATGGGGTGGGTGGGTGATTTTCACCAAGGCTGCAAGAAGAAGGAATGTTTAATCCTTTCCTCCAATGCTACAACCCCTTGCCAGCTTATATGAGCCCCAGGTAGCAGGAGGAATGGAAGAATCTGTCAGTTTCTCTCTGTTTCCCATTTCTTTCAGTCTTAAATTCAGTTCTACACATTTATCCAGCAATTTGCATTTATGAAAATATTCTCATGAAAATTCACCAGCATTTTAGCGTGAATTTATCCCCATGAACACATTTCATATGCAGTTTTGCCTCACATGCTCACTTTTGCAAAGCAACATCTCCTGATAGAATGGGTTTCTGTATGTTATTTTCATGAATCAATGCATTGTTATACGTACTTTCCCCCTCGTATATTGCATTTTTTGGTAGTCACTGTAGGATTGGCAAGCTGCATTCAAAAATTTGAAGAAGAGAGTTTCAAATGATATCTATGTTTCGGTTCTGACTTTGTTTCAGAAAGTGTGAATTTGACAAATTCAGCTTTAAATGTGAACCAAAAGACACTCCCTCCATTCCTGTTCAGTATACGGCAGCTTCCAACAACAACTTGTTGCTTGTAACCTGCCCATCTGACTGGGATGCCCCAGCCACTCTGGGCAGCTTCCAACAGAATATAAAAGAACACATAACACATCCTGTGTCCCTAACCCTTTCCATGACTATTTGGGCTGCAGGAATAATGCAGGGGGCTATTCCGTTGAAAACATGGTCTTTTGTCTACACAGCCCAGCTACCTGTACTCCCCGACTACGATCCTGCGCTACCAGCGGGGGAACTGCTTTGACTTCAGCATCCTGCTGTGCTCTCTGCTAATTGGTGCAGGTTATGATGCCTACTGCGTCAATGGCTATGCCACCCGGGAAATATGCATGATGGATGAGTCCAGGGAAGTGTGCCCACTCTTGAAGAAACCAGAAGAGGTGAGAGCTGTGGGTGTTTTCAGAGCCGAGCAGTGTGTGAGGGGCTTTAATTAGGACCAGGGGGTGGGATTTGAAGGGCAAAACATCAGTTGACTCCTTGGCCCTGGCTCAAGAAAGCTTTGCTAACTCTGTTCTGCTGATACTCTCCCAGCAGATGGCAACAGGAGCCACTAGGAGGCAGCAGAGGCATAATTTTAATGGGCATCAGAAAGATTTTTTCTCTCTCTCTCTTGTATATGTTGATTACTTCTCTATATTTCTTTTTTCTTTTTTCAAATTTATAAATTTTATTTAATCATCCATATACATCCCTGTATTTCAACTGCATATTCTTAGACATATCTAAGGTATCATACCACATTTATATGCTTATATAGAAACATGTAATTTGCACATGGTCTTTAATATATTCCGTGCATAAATACCACATGCTACTTACACATTTCATCGGTACGTTTGCTATACTATGAAATGCCTAAGATCCTATTTGAAAAGGTATAAAGGCTGAATATTGTGTATTATATAATAATATGTAAAGACTACATGCATGCATGCATGTTATGTATTAACTGTGGCATAATTAAGAAAGATCAATAAATAAACAAATGAATAGTGTATCTATGTTCATGTAAGAGCACACAAAATCATACTCATAATAACATTAAGTCAACCCCAATCCCAAAAAGTTTAGACTAATTTTTTTATATTGGTGTCTTGCCAAATGCAAGGGGGTTCTTTTAATGAGATTCAGAAGCAATACAAACAAAAGTGAGTGAGAAGATTAAAGATATATACATTACCAAGCAATATATACATTACCAAGCAATATATACAATATATACACTACCAAGCAAGCACTTCAATCTGCCACTGGGAAGCCCTCAAGAAGTGGCGAGGTGACCCCCAGGTAACCTCAGGTTGCACGAACCTGCAATCGATCAGTCCATGCATGAGCTTCTCAGAACTATGCCCCCAAACCATCTGATTTCTTGATAGCTAACTTGTTAGCCTACATGCATTGCCCAACTAGCTAGCGCAGATTATTAATTGGCTATCCTCCTCTTCCAATACCACTCATTCCTCCAAACAATGTCTAACAGAATGTACCCTGCATTATCACTGGCCTAAGAAGGTCAGAATGTACCCTGCGTTATCACTTCCTTCCAACAAATTAAAGGCTGTTCTCAGCCATCAAAGAGCAGAACCAAGAGATAAAGAGGGGAAGTAAACAGAGGCAGGAAGAAATGACGATTTCAGATCACTAAATTCCTCGAAATACAAATATCTTCCGGAAAAGATTGCCCCTACAATCGGTCCAATGACTGGAGGAATTCTGGGAGCTTCTGTGGGCGAGGACCCTTCTCCTTGTGGAATGGAAGTGGTTTCATTTCTCCAAGGGTGGGTTGGCCACCCCTTCCCCCAACGTTTTAGTCCCATAGGTTACTGCATCAGCTGATGAGAAGCAATTTTCATCTTGGGAGTCTAAGCATCTGCTTGCTTGCTTGCTTGCTTGCTTGCTTCTTCTGCTTCCCTTTTAAACATACCTCTGCGTCCTTCCTTCCCATTGGCCTTCCAGCAGCCCTGCAAGATAGGTGAGGCTGAACAATTCTGGCAGGGTTGCCCAGGTGAGCAAAGATTTAAACCCAGATCTCTCCAGACTAAGTCGAACATTCCCTTTCCAGTACACCACATTGGCTTATACAGCAAGATATTTGCTCATAGTATGGCAAGTCCCATTCCTGTCCACCCCCACTTCTGGCTCATTCATGAACTGTAATAAGCCCACACTCTTCACACTGCCAGAGGCTGCCAAATAAACACACACAACCTTGCCCAACTGCATACAGGCACCCTCTGCTTAATGGCAGTTCATTTAATCTGAAGGTAGACAGAATGTGATTGTAATATTCTGGCAGATGAAAGGCAGTGTAAATGAATGAATGAATGAATGAATGATGTAGCAGCTCAGTGGAGGCTGCTGTGATTGGCACGGGTAGGACGGAAGGCAGGGAGTCCAACAGTAGGTAGTGCCAGAGCCAATGATAGACAGAGACAACTAATTCTGGTCTTGTCCCCATCCTCCTCCCTGCTGAGTTCTATAAGGGCAACACAGACTGAGGAGCATAGCTGTCAATGTTTCCCTTTTTTTAAGGGAAATTCCCTTATTCCGAATAGGATTCCTCACAAGAAAAGGGAAAAGTTGACAGCTCTGCTGAGGAGGAGGAAGTGCCTTCATCAGAACTCAATGTAGTAAGAAGGCAAGGAGTGTGGGGCTGGCCAGGAGGAGGGTCAACACGAAGGGTCAGCACCCTACTTAACTGAAAGGACTTGCCTCCGCTGGAACAGCTTTCTTTTTGATTTATGACTACAGGTCGCAGTAGAGGCTACAAAACAGAAGCCCAAGAAGTACGCCATCAAGCCCCCCCGGGATTTAAGCAGCAAATTTGAGCTGCGCCAGGAAGCCAAGCAGGAGGCAATTGTGCAGGCTGCTCTGGAGAAGAAGCGGAAGGAGGAAGAGGAAAAGAGACTGGTGAGCAAGGCTTGCAGAATTCTGTCTTGCTGCAGGCACACAGCCTGGATGCGGAGAAGAACACCCACCCACCCCCTGGGAAGAATCCTGGGAGCTGAAACATAGTTCCCCCAAAACGTTTTCACTTGTGCAAAAACCACTCTGCACGCGCACACACACACACACACACACACACACACATTTGTGCATTCATTAGGATTGCCCTTCACTTGATCTTACTCAAAATTGCCTTCAGTGACATAATCCTCATTTAGCGACAGCATGGTTTGTCTGAGCATCTGACCTCAGCCCAGCCAACTAACCATGGTTAGTTTTCTGACAACAAACCATGATGTGAAGCCATGGGGTTTTTTGCCAACTTACAAACCATGGCTAAGTTTACCCAACAGCCCAACAGCCTTGTTCAGCTGTGATGATTTCTTTGGCCACCTCAAACATTCATCAGACTGCGGTGGCACAAAGCAAGAACAGCTAGAAAACAAACCAGGTTTTGGAGAAACAAACAATGGCTTGTTTTTTCATCTCTTGAACAAACCTTGATTAAAGTAAACCATGGCTCAGTGATGTGCGCAAAGGGGAAGAACAATTTCTTTTAGTTGTATTATAGTCATTGCTCTTCTTTGTTTCTGTGTGGCAGGAAGCTGAGAAGCCCCCGCCAGACAATCTGTATGGTCTCCGGGTCCATGCCTGGGTTCTGGTTCTTTCAGGCAAGCGTGAAGTGCCAGAGAGTTTCTTTATCGACCCATTTACAGGGAAAAGCTACAGTACCACAGACGATTACTTCCTTGGTATTGAGAGTGTCTGGAACCACCGGAATTACTGGGTCAATATGCAGGACTGTTGGAATGCCTGTAGGGTAAGCCAACGGAATGACTGGCTGGGTCTGAGTGTGGAACAATTAATTGACTTCTGGCTAGAGGGGAAATGTTTCTCTTCACCAGATCTAGCCTGAGTGATACCCTCTAGTTGTTGTTAGACTACAACTCCCATCAGGCTCAGCCCACATGAGTGATGGCCAAGGATGATGGGAGTTGTAGTCCAATAGCATCTGGATTTGTAGTGGTTGGCTATGTAAGCTTGGGGCCACTGACAAATGGGAGCTATCATGCAGTCTAGGAGTGTTGAGTAGTGGGATGGGGAACCCTGCAGGCTCTCCAGATGTTGTTGGACTCCAACTCCCAACAGCCACAGCCAGCAGACCAATGGTTGGAGATGATGGGATGCGTAGCTCCTGGAGCCCTCTTTGGATCCATCACAAGGCACATGCCTCTCCAAAATAGTCCTGCCTTTGGCACACTCTTCCCATTCTAAATCAGGGATGGCCAAATCGTGGGTTGTGAACATCGCCAAATGCAATTTGACCATGACACACAGGTGGCTGCCCTCTCTTTCCACCCTGGCAAAACAGAAGGGGTGTTCACACATTACATCCAATGATTGTACAATCCATTGAGCTGCACCCCCTTGCAGTGATTCGTTCAACAAGTGTTCCGTCTGCGTAACTGTGAGCATGGTAGCGGAGCTGCCCAAATCAGAATGCGTCCATGCATAGAAACAGCTTATTATACCTGTCTTTGCTGCAATGTGTGAAGGAGCCTCCAGGGAAGGAAAGGGACAGAGGTGGGAAAGAGCAAATGGAGGACAGGGTGGGGGCGCAGCGGCAGCGTCTCTGAATGATCTGGACTCAGAGCATCCCTTGCAAAGTTCCTGAGATCTGATTCCTTTGGCAACTGATTGTTTTTCCAGGATCTCCAGTTTGACCTCGGGGACCCCGTGCGGTGGGAATTCATGTTGCTCGGCACTGACAAGCCCCTCCTGTCCCTGCCAGAAATGGAGGAGGAAGAGGACCTTGCGGAGGACGAGGTGGATGACATGGTGAGCCATCCCGCCTTCTTCCTTGCAGTGCCAGAGGATTCTGTGCTGTGCACTAGCTCTTCCTGAGGATGGGCTCATGCCTTCCAGCAGCTTCCCCAACCTGGTACCCTCCATATGTTTTGGACTACAAAGACCATCAGCTCCAGTTAGCAGGACTGTGCTGACTGGGGCTAATGGGAGCTGTAGTCTATTGACATGATGTCACCTATTTACATAGGATCAGAAGTCACTTGAGCAGCAAAAGATCCTAAGAATGCCCTCAACCCCCCCAGTTCATTGTCCCCATGACATGGACTCAGCTTATCACCGAACTTTCATCGTCCCAGTTTCCAAGAGCTGACACTCCTGGCCTGACCAGAAGTAAATGGGGTGGCAGGTTGGACCTGAAGTGATGTTACATAGCTGTGGTTGATCCCAGGAAATGTTCTTTCCTTCCTTGTTGGACCAGACAGCAGGTGGGTGGCAAAGGGGAAAGAAGAGAACCTGAAATAGCATTTGGCGTTCAGCAGCAGAGGATCAAATAGAGCAATGCAGGAGATCAGGAAGAGGCTGGCTGACTCAGTGGCAAGTCAAGACAGTGATTCCTTGCCATATCAGATATGGAAAGTAGATGGGGTTTGCCCAGATGAATATGGGGGCAGGTGTTTTGGGCAGAGCAGGATTCAGCCTCCTAACGGCTTCTTCTCCTGGGTCTTCTTGATAGATGAAGGAAGAGGAAGCAAAGGGCTTTGACATGCCTGCATCTTGGGTGGAGCAGATCCAGATATCTCCAAGAGGTATTCTCCCCACCATCACCACCTTGACTGTGTTGTGAGTGGCCAAAGTGTAGATCACTGATGCAGCTCCTTGGTGCTTCAGGGATTGCTTCTGGAGAATTTAAGAGTGAGGCCATTCAAAACTGTATTGTCCTCTTCCTCCTCCCTATTCTTCCTGGGGCTGAGAGAGCTTGGGAGAAGACAAAGGTCAATGTCAATAAAGACCTTCCTTGGATGCTTTTAAACAGAGGTTGGATGGCCACCTGTCAGGGATTTTTTTAGTTGTGATTCCTTCATTGCAAGGGGTTAGACAGGTCTTGGGGTTCCTTCCAGCTCTATGATTCTGTAGGTCGTGCTGGCCTCAGTGACCAGTTGGAAGCTCATGGGTTGGGGAAGGAAAGGAGCCGGAGGATCAGTTGTGGATCAGGAAGCAACGAAGGATGAAAGGACTATAGAAGGCTCAGACCAGGCAGAATACAGCAGGCACTTCAGGCAGCAAATGAAGGGGCCGAAGAGCAGCAGCAAAACATTGGAGGATGAAGCTGTGTATATCCATGGCCTGACACCCCTCCCCACTCAAAGACAGCTGCTTGCACTGTAGTCAGGTGCAGCTGTCTGTCCATTTGGCTTCTGTACATGGGAATGGGAGGGCCGCCATCTTTGCTTCAGGCAGCAGAATGTCTTGGGCTGGCCCTGTGAGGGGGCTCAAAGGAGCCACAGCAATGTCTAGGCTGGTCTCTGGTGAGCATGTGAAGATGTGAAATCCAAGGACGTTGATCAGCTGACTGTTGAGGCCTGCGTAGCACCTTGCATGGAACATTAGAATTATAGAAATGCAGAGCTGGAAGGGACCCCAAGGGGCCCTGTAATGCAGGCAGAACTAAAAGACTTCAAAACTTTAACACCAGCACTTGGACCACCTAATGTAACACTACAGATAGTGTATTCCAGTGAGAAGTTTAAATGGGGATTTGTTTATTTATTTAGAGCATTTGTGCCTCACTTTTCAGCCCAAAAAGGCTCCCAGAGTGGTTTACAGGCCGTCAGTTAAAACTAGACAGTCCCTGCCCCTTCAGGCTTACAACCTAAATGACATCCAAGGAGAAAGTGAGAGAAGGAGGCAGGGAGACAAGCTCAGGTGCCAGTTCTTAAATACTTACTTGTTCTTATGATGACTGGTTTGCAGAGCATTTTGTACCATTAAAATGCATGCTCCATGGCCAATGGTCATCTTTGTTCGTCTTCTTGCTCCTAGAATTCGAGACACGTTGCCCCCAAGGCAAGAAGGTGATTCAGTACAAGAACGCCAAGCTGGAGAAATGGGCGCCGTATCTGAATAGCAACGGACTGGTCACCCGCCTCACCCTCTTTGAAGATCCAGACCGTGAGCCAGCTCTCTGGGGTTCTGGACAGGGGTCTCTCCCAAGCCCACCTAGAGATGCTGCCAGCGATTGCACCTGCTGGGGGACATCTGCATGCAAAGCAGATGCTCTACCCACTGAGCCACCATCTTGGCATTGCCGAAAGTTGCCTGAGTTTATGGGGCTGATAGGAATTGCAGCCCAACACCACCTGGAGGGCATCATGCTGGGGAAAGCTGGTTTTCACAACGCAATCATTTACACCAATCTTTCATTGGGTTCTCATTTACTGTAGTCAAGGTCTGATTGCTCCCAACACCCTTCTAGCATAGTCCACAAATGAGTGGAGGGGTTCATTTATTATTGCACTTATATCCTGCCTTTCTCAAGCAGCAAAACATCCAGGGCCACCCCATGTGTAAGCCGCCATTGCCATGGATTGTTCTCTTCTCCTCCTAAGGCACCAAAGTGCTGGAAGTGAAGGAATGGTACAAGAACCGGGAAGACGTGTTGGATACAAGAGAGCTGAATAAGAAAACGGAAGTGACGAAGGAGTTCTTCATGCCTGGGCATGTGCAAGGCCTCAAAGGTGTGTGTTTTTGTATTGTAATTTTATGTTGTGAACTGCCCTGAGATCTACGGGTATAGGGCGCCATACAAATGTGAATGATAACAATAACAACGGTAGCCAAGCCTTTTCTCAATGTCCTGGTTCAGGCACTGAAGTCTGGGGCTGTTTCTCCAGCAGCATCTCATTCCTGAGTCTCAGCTTCCTTGGTTCTCTGCCAGGCCCTGATCCAGGCAGGCACTTTCACAACCTTCTCCATCCTCTGAGTAGACTCACACACAGCTGGCAAGGCTCTTCACCAGCAGATCGAAAGCGCCTGCCTAGGGTCGCAGCTTCTCTGCTTGTGTGGCCCTGCAAGTGACTGGCAGGAGCATTACAATTCATGGAGGAGAGGGCTATCAATTGCTACTGGCAACAACTGCTATGCTCTGCTCCACAGCTGGAGGCAGCAATGCTGCTGAATACCAGTTGCTGAGAATCACAGGAGGGGAGAGGGCTCTTGTATTAGAATACTGCTTATGGGCTTTCCATTGGGGCATCTGGTTGGCCACGGTGAGAACAGGATGCAGGACTTGGTTGGCCTGATCCAGTGGGATCTGTTGATGTTCTTACTGGCAACAGAGCTATGCTTCCAGAGCAGTTGTGCTGCTGTGCCAGTGGAGGGGCCCTTTTGCCCCATCCAAAACTCTCTCAACAGGCTTGCTGTTAAGGTATGTATGCTTCAGCCCACCAATTGCAATAATCATGAATGTGTTTGCCGGTTAAGATATGCCCCAGAGGCTCTGATCTGGTTACCCATCAGTAGCCCTGGGGAGTTACTGAGATGGGGCATTTGCAGTGGAACTATAATAATTATAATAATTGTTTATTTATACCCCGCCCATCTGGCTGGGTTTCCCCAGCCACTCTGGGTGGCTTCCAACAAGAGATTAAAATACAATAGTCCTTCAGATATTAAAAGCTTCCCTAAACAGGGCTGCCTTCAGATGTCTTAAAAGTCTGGTAGTTTTTTTCTTTGACATCTGGTGGGAGGGTGTTCCACAGGGCGGGCGCCACTACCAAGAAGACCCTCCATCCCCAGATGTGTTTTGCTGGTGCCTTCTCTCTGCTATCCTTTAGGCTGTAGGAGAAAATCATCCCATCCTTTAATCAGATCATCTGTTGCTTCTCAATTGGGCTCTTAATTGCAGGTTTTATTATGCATAGAACTGTAGAGTTGGTAGGGAACCCAAGGACCATCTTTTCCAACTACCAACAATGCAGGAATCACAGCTCAAGAACCCCTGACAGATGGCCATCCAACCTCCGTTTAGAATTCTCCAATGAAGGAAGAGTCCACCACCTTCCAAGGTTCCACTGTGGAATAGCTTATATTGTCAGAAAATTCTTACTAATATTTAATCAGGATCTCCTTTCTTTTAACTTAAGTTCATTGGTTTGGGACCTCTCCTCTAGAGCTGGAGCAGGAGAAGACAAGCTTGCTCCATCTTCCATACGACAGGCCTATGAATGTGGCCATCATATCACCTCTCACCGTGCTATCTTGTATTTTGCAGGATATAAATGTAACACATCAAATAAATAAAAATAACATACCTTTTTTACCTGGCAATTCACCCTTCTATTTTGGGTTCCTAGCGCACGACTACTTGACGATGGACCCCGAAACAGATCGCACCATGGAGTTTTATAGCGAGACGCGGGTAGACGGCCTTCAGAAACGGGTTGAAACTCCCAATGAAATGGAGGAGTATTTTGAAGGACGGTCGGATTTCCTGTATTACCGGCACGCTGAGTTTGGCAAAAGAATAAAGAAACCAGGCAACGCTGCAGCCACCACTGAAAGCAATGCCCGACCTATACTGGTAAGTGGAGCACAGGGGCTCCGAGTACAGCTGGGGTAGCACGTTGCCCCCGAGAAACAGAGCTGCAGATCAGGAAGCCCTTGATTGGCTCTGGTGCCACCTACTGTTGGCCTCCTTGCCTTCTTCCCTAACAGTCCCAGTGGGCACCAGCCACCACTACCCACAGGTTAGCCCTCCCAACTCTTTGCCATTGCTCCCAGCATCCACTGACTCACTCTGTCTAATGCTAGAGCCAGCTCAATGTGTGGCATAACATCGCCAACTGCTGCTGTGCCAAAAACTTGAATCTCCTCCTCTCCCTCGCTCTCTCTCTCTCCCTCCACCCACCCACTCCCTCCTGTTAACTTGGTGGCTAGGAGTTTGATCCCAGCTGACACCCCCTTTTTCTCTCCACACGCTCTTCCCAGAAAATCACTGAGAGGTTCCACAGGAACCCAGAAAAACCAGCTGATGAAGATGTGGCAGAGCGCATCTTTTCGATAGTGGAGGAGAAGATCTTCTTGACCTACCACTGCAAGGAGAACTACATCACCCCCTCGAAGAGGGACTTCAACAAGCGGGCAGATGTGGACAGCATGGGGAATAAGATCATCATGACCCCTGAGATGTGCATCAGTTACCAGGTAAAAAATAGATGGGGAGATCTGCATGTTGCAGAGAGCAACTGGAGTCGCAGCTGAGATGGGGCAGAGAACTTAATGGGTTGTGGCTGGCAAGGAAGCCACTGGCAACAAACCTCAAGGCCTGGTCTTGTTTTTGTCATAGAATTAACTTCAGTGTGTGCATTTGGGGACATGCATTTTAACAGATTTCTTTTTTAAAAAATATGGCAGCTAATTAGCTGGGTAAGAGCCACGTGGACTACTACTCACCATACCTAACAGCAGGGCTGGCTTTGGTCCTCACATACTTCTTCCTCCCCTTCCCTTAATGCACTGTGATTCCCTCCCTCTTTCCTCATACGAGGCAATCCATGGTTTGGCGTTGCATTCAAATAAGGGAAACAATGGTTTGTGATCATTATTATGATTACTTTGATTTCTTACCCCTTGTTCACCAGAAGACCCTAGGGCAGGTTTCAACCATTTAAAACGCAATATTAACAACAGTTCAAAACAAGTGACAGTCACAGGAATAGAGTGAGTCCTGAAAATAGGTCGCCCTTAAAATCAGCATTGGAAATCATGGTTGGGTCGTGGTTTGCAACTGATAGTTTGTCTGCTTGGGACGTGTGTGTAGCAATCTCAGGTTTCTCTCAAAACAGGAAGCAGAGGAAGAGAGAAGAAATCAGTGTGTGAGGGGAGGTGTGAGCTTGAGGCTTCTGGCAAGTTTATGCTCTTAGTGCCCAGCTGTGGTTTGGTGGTGTATCTCAGTGGTGTATCTCAGCTGAACTTGTGTGCTGTAGCAGATTGCCTGTTGAATGGCTGCCGGCTGGGCTATGAAATCCCAGGTGGGTTATGAAGCCCTACAAGTGAGCTTGGGCCAGCCAACCATTTCTCAGCCCATCCTGCCTTACAGGGTTGTTGTGGGGAGAAAATGAAGGTGACCCTCCGTCCCCCACAGCTACTGCAGCTTCTTGAAGGAAGGGCACTGTGGAAAACTAAGTAGTAATAGGAGTATATTTTAATGCTGCCACTGGCTGACCATTTTTTGTATGGATATCGATGACTAACTTTTAGGTTAACTTTAAGCTCGTTAGCATCCTGTTCTTACAGTGGCAAACCAAACACCCCAAAGGGAAGCCTGCAAAGAGCTCCTGAGTGCAACAGCACCCTCTTTACTTGTGAGTCTCACAACTGGTATTCTGAGGCATACTGCCTCCCACAGTGGAGGGAGAACATAGACATCATGACCAGTCACCAGGAAATTGTCTGATCCTCTTTCAAAACCAGTGAAGCTGCCTTTTTGAGGATCCTGGACATATGTGCAAGTTGATGTGCAATGCCAGAATCATGTGCCTTCAATGCCTCTAAGAGTGACCCTACACTGTTTTGAGGCGGGTGGTGGGGGTTTACAATCAAGTGGTCTATACATTTTATGAAAGAAATAACTCTGAAATTAGCTGTGATTCCCGCATTGTGGGGGCAGGGGGCCAGATGTTGCATTGGGTCTCTTCCAGCACTGTGGTTCTGTGATTCTGTGTGCCATCTACACCTCTGAGAGTGACCCTCCCTTAAACCCAAGATGTCTTATGTGTTTTGGAAGGGCTGGCCATTCCTTCCCCTCCTCTTCCCCCTTCCTCACAGGCTCCTTTGCCTTTAGGCAGGGTCCACAGAGAAGGAAAAGAAGCTGTTCCACCTGTATGAAATGATGATGCACCTGATAGAGGATGAGAAGAAATCCCGGCACCTAGTGTGGGAGTCAGAGATGGAGGTAATGGGAAAGGAGTGGAAGGCGGGTCATAGCTTAATAGTGGCCAAAGGCTTTGTCTACAAGCAAAATAGCTCACAGAGCAGATTTGGGAAAGACCCCTTCCTGAGGCCCTGCAAAGCTGCTGCTAGTTTGAGGAGGCAGAGTTGAGATTTTAATGCATTGCATTCATTGTTCTACTCACCACTGGCATATGGCCCTCAAAAGATTGCCTAGAAGGAAATGTGGCACTCAGGATGAAAAAGACTCTCCCTGCCTCTATTCCAAAATATAATGTGTGCCATTAACTATCACATTTGCTAAACACAAAACCACCTACTCTCCTTTTTCAGATGTGGTGGATCTTTTGTTTTTGTGTGTGTTTTTTTTAAAGTTTTCTGAGTCTTTCTAAGCTCCAGCAATCTCTCATGCACAGAGTGTGCTATGCACACTGGCCGAAGGGGTGTGTTGGCAACAAGGTTATTGCTAACATTTCTATCCCATCAAAGGTCCTGGATATTCTGAGGATTCGAGAGGAAGAAGAAGCAGCCAGCAAGTTGACCGTGTCTATTTATGACACCGAGAGGAATGAGAAGAGCAAGGAACAGCGAGAGGCAATGGTAGGTGATGAGGGTCATCTTTAAACTCAGGAACATTCATTCATTCTTTACATTTATATCCCACCTTCCCTACAAGGAGCTCAAGGTGGTGTACAAAATTCTCCCCATTTTATTCTCACAACAACCCTGTGAGGTAGGTTAGGCTGAGAGGCAGTGACTAGCTCAAGGTCACCCAATGAGCTTCATGGCCAAGAGACGATTTGAACTCTGGTCTCCCAGGTCCTGGTCTGGCATTCTTAACCACTGCATTCCCTCTTCCCAGGGAACCCTCCCTCTGCTAGTGGTGGGTGGGGCCAGAGGCCAAAGTGGGTGGAGCAATGGATGCCGCCGTGCTAGGCTCATTCCGGCCATGCAAAAGTAAAAGGTTTCTGCACACACAAACCCCTCCATCCAGGCAAGCAATTCTGACAGTTCCAGCTGGCCAAAGCACTCGAGGTGGTTGTGGAGCAGGGCTGGGTGGGGGGGAGTGTGGCTTGGGGAGCATCCAAGGGCCAGAAGGAGAGCTCTGAATGCTTGAATTCTGTCCCCAGGCCCCTGACATGGAACATACAAAAGGCCCCACTGAACCAGGTCCTGTTCTCAGGGTAGCTGTGAGAATCAAACTCATAAGAAAATAAAAGAGCTTTCTGGGTCAGGCCAGTGGGCCATCTACTCCAGCATCCTGTTCTCACAGTGGGAAACCAGCAAGCAGGATTCAAGCACAGAAGCCCTCTCCCTGTCCTGCGGTTTCCAGCAACTGGTGTTCAGAAGCATTGTTGCCTCCAACTGTGGAGACAGAGCCCAGCCGTGGCAGCAAGCGTAGTACCCACAGGCTTTCTCTTTTTATCCCCTCCTCCAGGAGCGCCAGCTGCAAGAGGAGCGCCAGCGGCAAGTGGAGCAGGATCTGGACTACCTGGCGCCTTTCCTGATCCAGATTGGTGGCATCGAGAAGATGACCAAGTGGCTGGCTTTGCGCCTGAAGGAGGACTGCCTCACCGATTTCAAGCACCGTCTCGTTGACAAGGCCAACCTCATCCAAGCGCGTTTCGAGAAGGTGCCTCCTCTTTCCTCCACCCTTTGGCTTTCTTGGGGGGAGGGCCAAAGCATGATGAGCTTTTACTGCCTCTTTGGGGCAGAGAAATTCAACTCAGTTCACTTTTAAAGGCGAAGGTACGTAATCCACAATTTCCAAAACAACCGAACCAGCACAGCTGGTTATGGACCACACCTCAGCTTTTGTTCCAAATGGAATGACAGCCAGCTCCTTCTCCTCCAGACCTAAGCTGCCCAGTGCCTGACCCTTGCTAAGCCCTGGTCCAATGCCCCTCCTTCCCCTCTCTCCACAATCCTTTCTCTGCCTCTTTCTCCCTGCACAGGAAACCCAGGAGCTCCAGAAGAAGCAGCAATGGTACCAGCAGAACCAGCTCAACATGACCCTAGAGGATGAGGATGCCTACCTGACTTACTGCTCAGATGCCATGTTCCGCATACGCATCCTGGAGCTCCGCCTCAGCAGGTACAGCAAGCAAATTTTTATAGATGAGTTGTATGAACCTGCCCAATGGTTAAGGCCTACCTCAGAGTCCCTGCAGGTGTGCCTGCCTGCTAGCTCTATGCTGTTGGCAGGCACAAGGGCCGGGGGCTTTTCTGTGGTGGCTCCCAGGCCTGTAGAACTCCCTCCCTGAAGATGGGTGCATGGCTCTGATGCTGCAGGCTTTAAATCAGGCACAGCATCCCAAAGAGCATAAATGTCTGCAATGTAGAGGATATGCCTCTATTTTCCTCATCTTTTTCTTCTTCTTCCCTTCTCAGGCACAAAGAGAGAGCTCCGCTAAAATACATAGCGTTGGAAGAGAAACTATGCAAAGACCCTCGCCTGTCTGAACATCTCAGATTTTATATGTGACTTTGCTCCAAATTTGCACAACCGTAGCTGGGAATGACCCCTTGATACCTCTTGACGGCTTCCTTGATCTGCCAGTGCAAAGTATAATGACCAAAGAAGACTTTTGTTCTATATTGTGTACCATTGGCCTTCCTTTTCTTCCTCCTCCTCCTCCTCTTCCTCCTCTCACTCTCACTCTATCCCTTTCTCCCTCTCCCCCCCCTCTCCCCCCTCTCTCCCTCCCTCCCTCCCCAGAAAACACTGGGAGCTTCCAGCCATGCAAACACCCAGTGAATTGTTTTTTTTTCTTTGGGTGTAACTACAGCTAGCAATTCTCAGTTTGGTCAGGTGAGCACAGCTGCCCCTCCACACCAATCACCGCTGACCACAGCTTACAGGCCCATGTCTGTCACAAAAGCCCACTAGCGGCAGTCTGGCTCTTCTTACATCTGTATTCATGTGAAGTGTCTATAGGCTCCCTTCATGCCTGTTTCATTTGCCAAATGTGCTCCCAGTAAATGTCTTCCTCTGGCATCTTTTGTTCCACATCATATAATTGTAGAGTTGGAAGGGGGCACTGAGGGCCATCTAGTCCAGCCTCCTGCAATGCAGGAATCTAAAAGACCATACGGTACTATTGTTTAAAGGTTTCACAACTCTTCGCTGAACCCCTAGCTGAGGGCTCAGGGTGCTGGTCTCAGCTCCACTTTGCAACCCTCAGGACCCATCTATGTATTGCAGTCCAGAAGACCTCATAGTGGTGAGCAGAAACTTCAGAGCAACAGGAATCTCCTCTCTGCCCTCCACATGCCTCCAACTCACACAGAAGAGATAAGTGAGAAAGTGGTCAGGGCCAATGACAAGAAGGCAATGCATGGGCATATTTGCGTTGTGTCTAGGGCAGTTGTAGGAATCTTGAGCAGCCTTGGGACCAGGTCGAGGAGGAGAAGAGTGGAGAGGGGTGGGGAAATTTCTTTGTCCCCCTGCCAGTAAAAACAACCTCTCAGAAGCTCCTATTTGCATTTCAAGAGAAGCCTCAGTTACCACCACTGGAGAGGCTTCCCTCCAAATGCAAATAGCAGCCTGTGAGAGGCAATTTTTACTGGCAGGGGGGCAGGAAGTTAAATTTTCCCACCTCACTCTCCACAGCTGCTCTATAACTAACAACAGTCATGCATAGTAATTGCATTCAAGCAATTAACATCACAGCAACTTCGACCCTGAGTCTGCTGCAAATTATCCTGCCCTTCTACTTGTCCATATCATCGAACCAAATTTAAAGGTCCTTGGGTTGATGGCATTATGGGGGCGTTGCGGTAGATGAAGAGTACAGGCTTAAACCAGACAGAATAAAATCAGTCAGACCTGATCAGCCAGACAGTGCAAAGGATGTGTGGTTCTGTGGCTTGATCAGGCTAGGAGATAGGCACACACAGAAGCTTCTAGGGCTGCATGTGTCATTCCTCTCCTCTTGTTCGAACAGCCAGGGCTGCACCAGGTTCACAGACCTTGAAAGAGAGCACTCAGCTGTGCAAGAGGGCTTCCTCCACTTTCCCTGTCTCACCCCCCCTCCCTCGTTTCCTGCCAAGAAGTTGATAGGTGAAGCATCTGTGTACACAATCTCAGCTACTCCAAATGAACCTGGATAGGTGGGGGTCATGGGGTGCAGATTATCTATATGGGGGGGGGGGATTCCAAAAGAAGGCAAAAAGGATCTCCTGGACTGGGTGGTGCAATTGGGTGTAATTTCAGACTATGGACTTGGTGGGTTTTTTTTCTTTTTGGAGGGGATCTAAATAGGGTGCTACTTCAAATGTGTTGAGCCAGCCTTGCTACATTTGAAGACCCTGCTTCTCATTCTCCTCTGCAGGCCCTGGATGTCTGCCTCAAAACTCTGCCCTGAAGGCAAAATGGTCTGGGGGAGGGGGGCAGGCAGGGTGTTGTCAAATATTTGAATACTCCCCTCTGGAAAATAGTGTACAGTGGTACCTCAGGTTACATACACTTCAGGTTACATACGCTTCAGGTTACAGACTCCGCTAACCCAGAAATAGTACCTTGGGTTAAGAACTTTGCTTCAGGATGAGAACAGAAATCGTGCAGTGGCAGCACAGCAGCAGGAGGCCTCATTAGCTAAAGTGGTGATTCAGGTTAAGAACAGTTTCGGGTTAAGAACGGACCTCTGGAATGAACTAAGTACTTAACCCGAGGTACCACTGTATGTACATTAAAAGACTGGATGAAGCTGAAGCATACCCTGGCCTTGACACACTATGTGTGAGGAAGGGTCGCTGTTGGTTTTCTAACATGAGGAAGCAATGAAATATGTGGTTTTCCCTAACTGCAGTCTTCAGTGTTTACAGTCCTATGAATTCTGGGTAATGTACAGTTACTGTGGCATGAATATGCACAATATATTATGACAGCAGAAGGGCTTCTTATGAACCAAGGTAAGACACTTAGGTGCTTGGCATTAATAAAACTGCAGCATTTAAACACTTTTATTGCAAATGAAGAGGACAGGGAGAGAACCGGACAAGTGGAGGCCACACAACTTGTATCCCAGCAGAGAAGCAACTGTGCCCCTTCTGAACCAAAGGAAAACATTTTCCAGTTTAGTTAGGTGCTAACGATCTGTAAAACAGCAATGCTTAAGTGTCCACAATATCTTTGCAAGGGAGGGAGATGGGGAGAGCACACCAGAACTTGGCCATGTCCATGACCTCTAGGCGGCAACACCCCATGTCTTTGTGGCCCTACTAGATCCAATAAGCGCCAGCTGCCACTGGCTGTACCACACAGTTGTCCATTGTCTGAATGTGTACTTTAGTGCATGGCTCTGGCAAATGAGAAGCAGAGAGCTGGTAGAATCATACAAGTGTTGAATTAGAAGGCACCCCAAGGGCCATCGAGTCCAACCGTGGCAATGCAAGGAATCATTGCTCATTTGACATGACCCACAAATCCAAGCCTCTTCTAGCTGATTGCTCGCTGGCCTTGGGGATGGAAGCTCTTGAGAGTAAGAGGGGAAAGATTATATACGGAGAATTTCAGCTGAGATCTCCAGTTGCTTGACAAAGGCTGTCGCACTCATTTACAGCACTGCAGCCACTTCTCTGCAACCAGATCAGATGCACGGTCTCTCTCACACACCCAGTTGTTACATTTGCTTGTGGCAGTTGTGGGAGTATGATCCACACAATTGGCCCCCTCCCACATGGTAAATGTATTCACAAATCCACACGGCAGCCATGTGGGGAAGTGGCTTCTCAGCAGCTGCAGGTGGGAATGAAGGAAAGCCAGCAGCTCTTGGAAGCAAGTGCATTCATTCCAAATGTTGGCTCTGGAGGACACCCAGCCAAGGGACCTCGCCCTATTCAGTCACCCTCTTTGCAGCAGCAGCCACCACATGCTTCCTACACCTGCTCCTTTGGAAGGAGGGAGATGGCTGAGATGGCAAGGGTCAGTGATGGTGAGGGCCAGTGATGGCTTCAGCAGCATCCCAAGAGGCGGACATCATGACCATTGATTCAGGCTGCCCAGCAAAAGATGAGGAAGAAAGGGGGATGAGGGCGTCAGAAATCTTCCAGAATGTGGGTCTTCAAGGCAACAGCTCCGTTTTTTCTGAAGGGACCAGGAACAGTGTCATAGAGAATGGGGGTCCAAGGGCTTTTGAAAGGTGGCTCATGCCTCGCTCCCATCCTGTTTCATTTCCTCTAGTGCAAGTGGCTGGTTTGGAGGCTAGATCTGGCTGTTGCCAGCTCGCTGTTTCGGTTTTGTTCGCACTTCCGCATAGATCACCCCAGCATCTGGTTCCACTTCCTTTTTGTTGAAACGAAGGCTGGCATAGGTCAACTCTTTCTGCTGGCTGGTTAAAGGAAGATGCTGTTAAGAGAAAGAGAGAGGGCAGGGAACAGAAAGTTTGTTTCATTCTCTCTGTGGTGGTCTTGAAAGCATATTGTTTGCAGGTGGCAAAAGAAGCTGCAGAAATAAATATATACATTGGGAGCTTTGGAGCAGGCAAGAGGGGAAATGGATACAGTAAGCAAACTTTTGACAACCTGGTGCCCTCTGGATGTTGTTGGACTGCAACATCTGGAAGGTACCAGGTTGGCAAAGGCTGCAAGAGATGCGATCCAACCCTTCCTCAAAGAAAGAGAAAGAGACAATTGCACCATCCTGGGGAGGCAGCACCACAACAGGTGCATCACCGTTTTACTCCCCCTCTAATAGTGAACTCGTGTGATAAGAAGAAGAAGAAGAGTTTGGATTTGATATCCCGCTTTATCACTACCCGAAGGAGTCTCAAAGTGGCTAACATTCTCCTTTCCCTTCCTCCCCCACAACACTCTGTGAGGTGAGTGGGGCTGAGAGACTTCAGAGAAGTGTGACTAGCCCAAGGTCACCCAGCAGCTGCATGTGGAGGAGCGGAGACACGAACCCAGTTCCCCAAGTGCAAACAGAACTAGAATCAAAACCAGGCCACTAAGAAACAAGAGGGGAGGGGAAAGGTATCAATCAGCATGTTTGGGGAAAACCCAAGGTTTGCAGAAATACATTTCGGGGTAATGTATCAACATCCTAAGGGAGATATAGCTATAGCTATAGCTATAGCTATAGATATAGATATAGATATAGATGATTAGATATAGATATAGATATAGATATAGATATAGATATAGATATAGATATATATTTAAAAGACTTAACACAAATCACAGTCCAGTGATGACTAACCACAGTGGGTTTTGGGGTTTTTTAAAAAAAATAGTTGCCAGTACTCATATCTTGATTAAAGTGTCATGGGTGACAACTTAAAATGGCTGCCCTGGGCAGGAAAAAAAGTGACGGTACTCCATAGCAGTGAATAATGTCACTCCCCGAAAAAACCACTGACTAAAAATATTCAATAGCTACAGAACACTGAATCTTAATTGAGAGAGAAAAATGAAAGTTGGGGGAATAGAATGGTGAGGTTGAGGACAGCATGAATGGGCTGATGAGCTCTCTGGTGGAAGAAGGAGACCCAGCGGCCAGCCAGATGCCTGTGGGAAAACTGAAAGCAGGATTTGAGCAGTTTCCCCTCCTGCCGTTTCCAGCAACTGGTACTCAGACGTTATTACCTCCAGCTCTATAGGCAGCATAGGTGCCAACTCCCTGGGGCCCTGGGTGCCTGAGCACCCACAAAATTCCCCATGAAGGGCCCGGGCACCCACAAATTTCAGTACCAGGGCCAGTCATGCTGCATGTCACCCATGGCCCCAGGCACCCACGGTTGCGGGGCCAAGTTGGCACTCCTGGTAGGCAGAGCAGTTATCATGGCTAGTAGTCATTGACAGCCATCTTTGTGGGAAATTAGTAGCCAAATCTAACAATGCATATTCTTGCTAGTTAGCATGTGAAGGGGTTAAGACCACAGAGCTGTACTGCTGATAGGCAGACCCAGGCCATAAAAATGTATTGGTAATTGGTAGAGAAGGCTCAGTGTGATGTCATTTCCCTGCCTCTCTTGAGTAGGAAGGAGCAAAGAGTATTTCCTGTTCCTTTCTCTCCCTCCTTTTCTCTTTGACCAGTAATGGAAGCAGATGGATATCCAATTGCCCCGGTTGAGGCACATGCATGAGGCTGCTTTTACTGTAAATTCAGTATTTTGCCTGCATTTATTTTACTGCTGTTGCTGCTGAGAACAAATGTGTGACTATGAGTGAGTAACTCATATTTTAAACTTACTTTTCAGTCTGTTTTCTGATTCTTTGCTAAGTGGGGTAAGAAAGGGGTGCCAGCTTATTTTGCAACTGAATTTCAATAAAAGAAGGCTTCACAGCCTAATTCCTATGCTTCATTTTTCTTCTTCTACGGATGGGGCTGCATTTTAAACAAAGCAGTAAGCTGATCTCTTTCTATGTCCAACCCAACCATGTGAGCACCTAAATTGCAATTATTATGTCTTCTCCTACCTATTTAAACCATCCAGAGTTCCAGAGTTTAGCTATCTCCCAGTTGGGAAGTGATAGGATGGTAGGGAAATGCAGGAGTAAATAAAGATGAGCAGGGGTGAAACAGACTTGTCCAGGAGTGGGATGAACCCATTCTATTCCAACCAAACTCTAGAGTGGATAGCAACATGTGGAAAAGATCTATGATCCCTTTTAGGGATGTTAGGCTGCCCTGCACAAGAAAGTGACACCTAGTGCTCCCCACTGTGAACAGAAGGCCATTTGGGCAGACAAGATGACACTCAGGGTGGACCAGAGTGGACATCCCAATGCACCAGATACCTCAGAGCAGGTGCGGGGAGAAGCCTAGAGTGGCCCCGGCAAAGCCTAGCACAGCCTGGGAATTTATAGGAGCAGGATATGCGTGTTCATTATGTAACAATAATCCCTCTTACCGTTCCTGCTTCTTTGGTTGAAGCACCTTCTGTCTCTGTTGTGCTTTCTGGAATGGAATGATGAAGAGAAATTTGAAAGTGGTTAAGCATTAAAGAATCCCAAGAGTGAATGAGTCAAGAACACATGTGATTGATGGCACATTCCACAGAAATTCCTTGTTAACCATCCTGGGTGGAGATGGGCACTAATTTGCATTTCTGAGACTTCTGGGGGATGGCTGTAGTCAGTGCTTTTTTTCTGGGGGGACGCAGGGGTACGCATACCCCTAAACATTTTGTGAATCTAAGTTTGGGTACTGTCCTTCATCATAAGATCTCAGGGCAGTTCACTCAATGAAGGACTCTATCTGTGGAACATTGTAACTCATGGTCATTTATTTTTTCCTCCTCCCAAGCTATTCCTTTTTTGTGTTGTGTCTTTTAGAATTGCAGTTCTTCCCTATCACAGTTTGCAACACCTCCCTGGCATGCCCAGGGAAGCATTTGCAAATGCACATTGTGGGAGCTAATCCGTCTACCTCCCAGAAGACCTCTCCAAGGTGCTTGGCTTAGATCTGTCAGGGGAGAGAGCCTTACCTTTAGCCCTCTTCTTGTATCTCCATGCTAAGACACTGAGCAGCAAAAAGAGGAGGAGGATTCCTGCTGCAGCTCCAGCTCCAGCTCCAATTCCAGCTCCAATTCCAGGTCCAATTCCAGCTCCAGGACTTCCACTATCAGTTTCTGGCTGCTTGTCACGTTCTGGTTTAAAAGGAATAGGAAAAGGAAGACCCCCTTGGTGGTCTGTGGAATGAAACAGGCAGGCAAGATTCTGCTGCTGCACAGGGCTTCATTTGAGGGTATGGCTGACACCCCAAACTTTTGCTCATGCCCAAGTTCCAATTTCAAGAAAATTAGCATGGATATAGGACCAGTGGGTAGTGAATCATCAAGTTGTTTTGATAACTGGTCATTAAGTTGTTTTGTATTTTATGGCTTTGCTAGCCACTTTGAGACTTGTGGGAAATGATGGAGGTTTTATACCTAGAAAGTGGAAGTGGGAGCAGTGGAGACACATTCACTGTCCCTCAGTCTTTCAAAACATCCATCAACTCATCAGCGATAACAGAGCTGAGTCCCCAGAAACAGCTATTTATTTGTTATGTATGAAACTGAAAATAGAACTTGCAACCTGCTGAGAAATGTTCTCTGCTCCCCCACAACAGTGGGGACTTTGAGCAAGAAGGGGGAGGGCAGAGGATGGAGCAATTGGAAGCTCTTAACATCTGGTTTGGGTCAAAAGTGACCCAGAATTTCTATCTTTCTACAACTGCTAAATTTTCTTTTCATTTTCTTTTATACCCCTGTACATTTCACACCTATCAGTTCCAAACACCTTTGTATCTCATTCCCTGTAGAAAGGAAATCAGGGGGGAAAAATGATTCTGTTTACCAGAGATTGTCACCATGGTCCCATTTCCTCGGCCATTACTACCGACAGCACATCGGTACATTCCAGAGTCATTCCTTTGGACACTGGGCAGAATGAGAGAAGCCAGGCCTGTGGTTGTGCTCAGAGTCCTGCCTGCACCTGTCACCTCCTCCTCACGTCCATCAGTGCCATTTTTATACCAGGTGACACTGTACGGGAGGAGTCGCACATTCTTGGCAACTGCAATGCTACAGTTTATAATGAGTGTTTGCCCTTCCATTCCTTGGATGAAAGCAGGTGACTGGATAACTGACAGATTAGCCGCTGTGGAAAGAGCAGAAAAAGCATTTGACAACTTCAGTGTGCAACCTTCAAATTGCCAGAGGAGATAAAGTCTGCATCTGTGAGACTGGGCAAATAATGCCAGATTTTGTGGCTTTGAGTTAAATACGCAGCCATGGAACTTGTGCATGAACGATTGACTTCTTTGAAGTTTGCGTTCTTTGCTTTTCTCTGTTAGGCTGAGTACTGAGGGTGCCAAATGGCTTTAGGAGCGGCTGTGAATGCAGCCTTCAGTGTGGGACAGGGAACAGCCCTCCAGTTGTTTAGGACTACAATTTCCATCATCCCCAGCTAGCACGGCTGCATAGCGTTGGAGCTGATGGGAGTACAGTTGCGCAGGCTGGGGTTCCGGAGAGTTGTAGTCCAAAACATAATGGAGGTCAGCAGGTAGACAAATGGAGAATGAACCTGTTGGAGTGCTATTGCTGAAGTCTGAAGCTACATGAGGCAGACAGAGAGAGATTCAGATCTGTTTCATCACAACTGAATGCAAACCACATTTGCACTTCCCCCAAATATATACAAACCTAAATGCAGCTACATGTTGAAATTCACACGACCCCAAATTTGGCAAAGCAGTGCTCTAGCGATATAGTGTCTACAAAAATGTGAACATTAAGGGGGAAGTGTATATAAAGATGCATATATGTGTGAAAATAGCATACAAAAACTCATTAGGATAAATTGGCACTAAAATGCTGACAATTTTCGTGAGGACTTTAAAAAAAAAGTAAACTTGTGTGAAGATGTGGTGAACTGAACTAAAGACTGAAAAAATGAGACACCGAAAGAAACTGAAATTGAGGGATCCTCCTGCCTTTTAGCACAGAGCAGAGGATTTGATGGCCTGTGGTGGGCCAAGGAAGATCCAGTCTGTGCCTGATGACTGAGAAGTGTCAGCCTGCCAAACATAGGGTGGAGCTAAAAGCAAACACTCTATGGTCCACATGCTGCATTTAAAGCACATGGGTGTCCACCGCCGCCCCCAGAACCTTGGGAAGTGTAGTTTGTTAAGGGTGCTGGGAATTGTAGTTGTGCAAGGGGTAAACTACAATTGCCATTATTCTTTGGGGAAAGTCATGTGCTTTAAATGCACAGTGTGGCTGTGACCTATATGCTTCCCCCTTAAATCTGGACATTTACCCTGTGATTTTAATTTTTTCCCAGGAGACCATGTGAAAGGGATTGAATGACTGAAAAATTGTGTCAGCTTCTGACAGCTCAGGCTGTAAAAGGTTTCCTACCTCTGCATTATGGAGCAGAAATACAGACTTGGGTCTTGGAGGGACCTCCAAGGACCTCTGAGATGCTTCAAATGGAGAGTTACTATCCTCTGGGGTGCATTCCTATAACCTTCTCTGCTCATTGCTTAATAACCAGATAGAAAGTTCCCGGGGGGCCACTAGGTGGTGCGTTGGAAGATGGCCGGCAATAACATCTCTCTGACCCACACAAGGTAGTTTAGGGGCTGCTATGGGAAGTAGGCAGCCTTCCCTCCCCACCAGGATGTGGTGGGGCCCTGTCTTGCCAGCAGTGTTTACAATGCACCCCCTGATCCGAGAGATGGGGGTGCTGAACACTTGGCACGAGCCCTCGGTGAAATCAGCTCTTCCTGACGCCGATTCCAATTAGCGCGTGCTGGTTGCTTCAGCCCGGAATTATAATTGGAAACAGATGATTGGAAATGAGGTTGAAGCACATATATCAAGTAAAGCTCGACGATAAGGCTGCTGAATAATGGATCTCTGCGACCGAGAGTGACGGAAGGATAAGTAAATCTTTTGATGTGTCACCACCAAGAGACTGTATGTTTGGAACGAAGGGGGGGTGGAGGAAAAACTCTTTCTGCTTCTTTATATGATGTGACAAAAATAACCCTCCACCCCAGAAAGAAACAAGATCGTTGCGTTTTTTAAGAAACATAAGCAGGATTTTAAGAACTGTGTGGGAGGTGGAATACAATAGGAGAGAAGATTGATGAACGGTGAGGAATTTTTATGACACAGTTAAAAAATGGCGTCTCACCAAGACAGGCTGCCGGAGAAAGAGAGAAGGGGGAGGAGAATCAGGAATGTCGGAAAGAGAAGGAGAACGGAATTGAAAGTTTGACCTGACACAGCCCCCTGATCTATTTGATTTATTTGGCTTGCCTGGAAAAACAAAGGACAAATTGAAGATTAATTTTGTCTATGGAGGTGTCAAACAGAGGCTGTCCTGGGCTGATATAGCTTCTGAAGAGTATAAAACCCACACAGAGAAGCCAGCTTTCAGTCTGCTTGTGAGAATCATCAGAAATCGCAAAGAAAGGAATGTACAACTACAACAAGATGAAGAAAAATAATAAAGGACTATCCGGAGTAAACTGGATAGAACTGATTAATTAATGCAGTAAAATAAATGATGTCTGGACTTATCCGGAATTTTGGACTCGTGCGGAGCTTGATATATGGGTACCCCAAAAAAATTTAAAATTTGGCTGTATAATTTGGAACCAATGTGATTTGAACAATGTGATGTGATTGGCCTGTTAATAAAAATTATTTTTTTAAAAAAAAACAGATAGAAAGTTCCCAGCACTTACTTGTGATGACAACATGAGATGCAATTCCTGATGATTTTGTTTGATTTCTTGGTTCTCTCCCAACGTTACAGACGTACAACCCTGAATCGCTCACAGTAGCATTTGTGAGGGTGAGAGAAGCAAATCCTGCTCTCAGGTTCTGAGTGATCCTGTACGAGCCTGTCTTGTTAGCCTGCTCAACCGCAAGCCCATCTTTGTCCCAACTGACATACATGCTGCTGTTCCTGCCGACTGTCCTGAAGCGACACTCGATGGTGACATCCGCCCCTTCCACTTCATGGATGGATCCAGAAGTCTGGTTCACCTCAAAGTCGGTAATTTCTGCATGAAAGAGATATCATAATCTAGACCCCTACTGAAAGCATTGGACACTGAGAAGGTAGCTAGAGTGGAAGAAGAGGGATTGACGCATTCAGAAAAAGCACCTGGGACAGTCCTAGGACTGGACTGCTTTGAGGAAGAGATGGATATCTGTGTGTGTGTGTGTGTGTGTGTGTGTGTGTTCAATTAATTAATTATCTTTTTAATTAAGATAAAACAACTATGTACAGTCAGAGAATCATCTCTGGATACTCCAAAGAACTCTGCCAAAGTATATATGCTAAAATCATCACAATCTTAACAAACACAACATTATACATAATAACCTCCATTGCTTGGATTATTGCCCACAATTAAAAAGATATATTGCATCAGCAGCAGTCCTAGTCTGCAGAGTTTATATACAAAGGCAGGAGGAGAAAATAAAAATAAAATATGTGCTTCAAGAATGCCAAACTGTGCTGTAGACCATAGGCACCGTTCTGCTATATGTATCATTGTTTGTATGATCCATAAAGTTGCCTCAGATTGCATAAAAGTTATCATAGTTCCTCTAACCTCTTGCTGTCTTCAATTTCCATGTCAGTTTTTTCAATAATGCCACGTGCCAGATTGCACTATACCGCTGGTCCATGGTCAATAATTGCAATGATTTCCATGCCCTGGCAATGGCTGTTCTTGCTGTGGTTAACAGAGGAGTTATGAGTTCTTTGTTCCAAATTCATGGCATAACCTGACAGGTTAAGCAGAGCCTGTCCTGGGGTCATGGGTACTATCTGACTTGTGATCAAAGATATCTCTGTAAAAACATTTCCCCAGAACTTTTCAATTTTTGGACATGCTCACCACATGTGTCATTATGTCCTTATAGTGGGACACCCTCTCCAGCATATGGGAGAACTGGTTTATAAAGGCGAGTCAGCTAGGTGTTAAGTACCAACCATGTATGGTTTTAATGGATCTTTCTCTGTTTGTTGCTAATATAGATTTAGGTGTCTATGTGTTTGTGTGCTCTGCAACATAAGAGAGGCAATGGGAGAAAAGGGGCCTCTGCATCAGCTCTGCTGAAAACTGGCAACTTTTGACTGCTTTTCTCATTTTAAATAATCACAGTAAACAAGTTTATGGACCACAGTGCAGCACAAAATGATCAAAGCAGTGAGCACAGCAAAAACAGGATAAAACACAGGCATACGAGCTCTAAGAAAATTAAAATGAATTGATGAGAATAGGTATCAGATGAGTGAAAGTGTGGCAAGGCTGTGGCTCTGACTTTACCCCACACTTTGTTTCAGAAGACTTTTTACTTACATGGCGCCCCCTCAAATGTAATGTGTGAAGGACACTTTCAATTTGCACATTTCAGAAGAAAAATGGACCCCACTGATCAGTTACTCGAATATTCCTGGTGCTCCCATTAGACTAGAGAGGCACTGATTTTTATCTAAACTATTGTCTTACTTTGGAAAGCTAAAGTGGGTTTTCTGAAAAGTGTTGAGCAACCCCCACAAACATTCTCCAATCCACAAACTACACAAGTGGACTGAAGCTACCCTGTTAAAACAGATTTTGGAAAGAAATTCAAGTATTTACCAATGATGGTCACTTTTGTCCCATTACTGAGAGGTTGAAGAGCTGTATCGATGACAACGTTACACAGATAAGTTCCAGCATCCTTCAAATCCACAGATTTCAAAGTGAAATTACTTAATTTGTCTTTTAGATGTGTAAATATGTGAATTAGGCTTGAGTTAAGCAATTCCACCTGTTCATTGCCTTTAACTTTATACCATTTAATAGACCATTTGGTGCTGTCTCCACTGAACTTGCACTGCATATTCAGTGTTGATCCTTCCTCCACAGTCACGGTGGCAGGTGTTTGCATCACTGAAGAATGTGGAACAGCATTCATAATAGACCCTAAAATGGCAAGGAGAAAAACGGTGTAACAATATGAAAGATTAACCTAAAAGCACAATATCTGTCACTGAGCCACAAACTTCCCAATGCAATTGCATCCTGAAAATTGTATGCATGCAACTGCAAAGTGCATGTATGCATTCTGCATATCTGCAAGGAACACAAGTCTGTCTCTCTCCTGAGACATGTTCCCCTCTGCTTTGATCTTCTTGCAACAGCACATGGTTGGGCTAAATTCAAAATTCAAAATTGCAAACAGTTAAAACAAAATACCATCACAGGAATAGGGCAGTTCCTGAAATACACCTTCCAACTCTATGAGCCTATGAATACTGGAAATGGGCTGCTGAGGGGAAGGTCCTTAAAGTAATGGAAAGCGGCAAGATAAGGTTGGAGACAAATGAGAGGTCCCTACTTTCCACATTAGGTGTCACTAATGGAATCTGTGATTATTCCTTCCTTCCTCATTTGAGCAAGATTTCTATTTTTAAGGGGAGTTTTCTTGCCTTTTATAGCCGCCTTGGCTAGGCTCATTAGCCACACTGGCATGTTCTTGGACACTAGATACATTTAAGCTCAGCTTCTATAATTCTAGTTTTAAATAACCTCCAACCACCCTGAAGAGACCTGACTTTTCCAACTCCCTCTCAACTCCCTTCTAATGACTTCCTTGAAATTTGTTGAGATTTTTCAGCATTTGCTCTTGTGAAACAAACATGACCTTGCTGAACTTCCTGAGGAACCGGCCACATGCAGAATTGGTTAACATGAAGAGAACTGTGGCCACTGGTCCTGAAAGGTCAAAACGACTTACAACTTTCACAGGATCCTGGACACCACTCAAGATTAGGTACATTTTTGTGTGGGGTTTTTTCCCCCACTGGGGAGATACCACAGAGGGGAGAGTTTGGTTTATTGGATCTGGCTTGTGACAAAGAGCTTGTTACAGGCACACATGACAGGGGTGAAGAAGAATGGACAAAGGGCAGGCTGATCAACTTTCAACAGAAAACAGGGCAGGGGATTAGGTACAAAGTTGTACCTGATTAAGAAGAATGGGCAGAATTAAGAAGAATGGGGTGGGCAGAATGTCCTTGGCCAATCACTGTCTGGTTTGCAGTACAATGGAAATGATTCCCATCCAGTCATTTGCTGAGCATTCAGCTCTATGGATGAACACAGTGTGTGGAGCCAGATATACTGGCTTCGGTCCAGTATATCTGAAGGAGCGTCTCCACCCCCATCGTTCTACCCGGACGCTGAGGTCCAGCACCGAGGGCCTTCTGGCGGTTCCCTCACTGCGAGAAGCCAAGTTACAGGGAACCAGGCAGAGGGCCTTCTCGGTAATGGCACCCTCCCTGTGGAACGCCCTCCCACTAGATGTCAAAGAGAACAACTACCAGACTTTTAGAAGACATCTGAAGGCGCCCTTTTTAGGGAAGCTTTTAATGTTTGATGTATTACGGTATTTTAATATTTTTTGGGAAGCCGCCCAGAGTGGCTGGGGAAGCCCAGCCAGATGGGCGGAGTATAAATAATAAATTAGTATTATTATTATTTTCAAAAAATCTGTTATTACTATGCATATGACTGTTTCCCCGCCTATTTTCTTATTCTATTATCTATTTATGTAAAATATTTATTAACCCCGCCCCCTCCCCCAGCTCCCTTCACTAAAAACTCCAGGTCAGTGAACAAAAGTGTCAGAGGCACCAGCTTGCGCTGAAGATTCTCCTTCTCCTTCATTTTGTGGGCTTGCTTAACAGCCTAGGCCACATTGTCCTGGGCAGCTGGAGCTCTGGAAAGCCCTCCCCCAGAGGCTGCACAGGACAATTCCCCCTTCATGGGCTGGTTTGTGCTATGCCAAGAAGGCGCTCTTTCCAATTGCTTATGGACTCCTCTAGAATCATTCCAAAATGTTGCCCACACATTCCATGTGGGAAAGAAGTCTCGGAAAAAGAAACTTGCCCATACGCAATAAAAGCTATCTTGCGTACTTTTGTACGGCTGTTTCTACTACTAATATCACAAATGGCAGTAAGTTTTTGACCTGCTAGAGCAGCCTTTCCCAACCTTGGGTCCCCAAGAGTTGTTGGACTACAACTCCCATCATCTATAGCTAGCAGGGGAAGCAGTCAGGGATGATGAGAGCAGTAGTCCAACAACTTCTGGGAACCCAAGGATGGGAAAGGCTGAGCTAGAGACTCTCGTGGCCTACACCTTATCTGTCTACCTACCTGTCTATTTTATTCCATTTCCTCCAAGGACCTCAAGGTGGCATAGCCAGTTCTCCCTCATTTTATCCTCACAAACATGTTAGGCTGACAGGCAGCGACAGACCTAAGGTGAGTCCTGGTGGGCTTCTATGACCAAGTGGTGATTAAAACTCTGGTCTCCCAGGTTCTAGCCCGACATTTTAATCACTACACCACCCTGACTCCAATCTATCAAGCTAGCTATCTAAGAAGTCTTGTACCTGGCATTGCCAACAACACAGGAGTCACTGTAGCACCATTTTTTCATGAGTCACCAAGGCAATGTGAATATCCACTCTGCAAGCCAGGTAGCAGAGAATGGGGAGGTGGTCTGAACCCAGCCTGTCCCCTTTCAGGTTGTAGGGACAGGAATCATATTTCTGCCTCTGGAAAAGTTAGCAGGTCTGAGAGGGAATATTCAGCATCGTTCTCTGCTTCTAGCTTGCTACAGACAGGGATTTACATGAATATATATTTACACGGAGGTAGCATCCACCACTATGGTCCCCCCCCCCCCAATTACGATATGAAGAAAGCACAGCCCAGAATTCTACAACCTCAGTCTACTGCATCTTATTCTGCATAATGTGCCAATAGGCTGTTAGAGGACCCGGGTTTTCTGAAAGCAGGACAAAACATCTCTTGGAAAGGAAACTCACCCACATGCAGGAAAAGCAAAAACAGCAAGCATGGCAGCCACATTTTGCCCTGTTGGAGACTCCTCTTCTTGCAATCTACGGTATCTTTCCAAGCGGAGACCCAACTGCTAACTCCACAATGCCAGGAATCCACCATGTGTAGTTGGCCGGTGGTGATTTCCTCTCAGTCAGACCCACCCTGTAGGGAAAGAGAGGCTGCTGGATTGCTGAATAACCAGGTCTTTTTTTCCTCTTTCTGCTCCACCACTCCCACCCTCTGAACATAGTTCCTCTTTATTCTCTCTCTCTTTCGCTTTCTCTGTCTCCATTCCATCCATTTTGCAAACTGGTATCTGTTCCCTTTTACATTTGCCATTTGTTCAGCTTCAGGAACAAGATAACTACACAGAGGAGGCATGTTTAATAATAATAATACCTTTATTGTCAATGTACAACCTGTGTACAACTTCCTTAGGGATGTTTTTAATGTTTGATGTTTTATCGTGTTTTTAATATTCTGTTGGGAGCCGCCCAGAGTGGCTGGGGAAACCAAGCCAGATGGGCAGGGTATAAATACTTTGTTGTTGTTGTTACGGGGTTGATATTTTTCAGGGACACTCCCTGAAATAACCTCATGGTGGAGGAGATGGGGGCATTATCTTCCATACTTCGTAGTTTCATGCAGATTTTTGCTGATGCTTTTGAAAATCAAACCAGATGTGCACCGTTGCCTCAGGTTTGATTGACACAAAACAATCTATTTGCAGGCCTCCAACAGATCTTTGATTGGCCACAGTGAGAACAGGATACTGGAGTCGATTTGCCCCCTTTGGCCTGATCCAGCAGAGATGCACTTATGTTCTTACAAGTCTGAGGAAAGTCAATGAGAAGATTAGGGGAAAGAGGGAGGGAGATGACTCTCCAAAAGCAAGAGGCAATTAAAGTTGACTGTTCCTGACAGCACTAATAAAGCAGACAATAAATCAAGGGCTCACCCAGATTTCCTTTTGTGTCACATTCCTAGGCACAGATCTGCATTTTAAAGCTCTGTGTCTGAGCTAAAAAGTTGTAACATCACTTGGGAATTCAAAAAATATTTTTATTAAATCAATATAATTTATTATTGCTTGTTAAATAAAATTTGTGTGAAATTGCATAGAAATAATTAAAAATGATTGTCAAGTACTTGCAGTTATATTATATATTAACATTCTACACACACACACACACACACACACAGTGCTTTTTTCTATTAAAAATGTTTAGGGGTACTCTCATTTTCCTATTCATATTGAAATACTGCCCCTCGATGAGGCCAAACTTAGATTCAGAAAATGTTTAGGGGTATGCGTACCCCTGCATCCCCCCAGAAAAAAGCTATCTATCTATCTATCATCTATCTATCTAATACTTTAGATTACCTGACACTTTTAGAAGGCAAAATTAAAATTCTTCGGTTTTCTGAGAGTAATTTATTTGCTTCTTAATTAAAAAAAAAAGACTTACCAAGGTAAATGTTTTCCAATCACAAAAAATAATAGCAGATTTGAATTCCTCACTCCCAAAAACATATTCTTAAGACTCCTCGTTGAAGAAATTTGCAAAAATTAAGTTTCATCCTCTAAAATGACACACCCTAGTGGATGAGCGCTAAAGGAAGTCAAGTCGGATACACAAGTAAGCAGAGATAAGAAAAAAATTCAGCTCAAATTAGACACAGGAGTTGAAGTCCTCTCTACATATTCTTATATCCTCTTTTTTGATGTCACATTTGTGACAAAGCATAAGTGGCTACAGTTATATTGTTTCAAGCACTGTTTAAATGTTTCTGTGAGTAGTGGGGGAAAAAACATAAAAAGCAGGGGAAATGGAAAGGAGGATCTGGAAAGAGCAGGGAGTGGTTCTTTGTCTCCCTTCATGTCCAGGGGAGGCTTTTCTCTCAGTCTCCAAAATCGTTTCAACTATGATATTAAGTTTTACAGCACAGAGAGCAGCACAGATACATCCACCACTCTGCAAAGCGAATCTGTAGAGAAAAGCTCATTTCTAAACCAAGTTCCCTTATATCTTAGTATAAAGGTAAAGGGACCCCTGACCATTAGGTCCAGTCGTGGCCGACTCTGGGGTTGCGGCGCTCATCTCACTTTACTGGCCGAGGGAGCTGGCGTACAGCTTCCAGGTCATGTGGCCAGCATGAGTAAGCCGCTTCTGGCGAACCAGAGCAGCGCACGGAAATGCCATTTCCCTTCCTGCCAGAGCGGTACCTATTTATCTACTTGCACTTTGATGTGCTTTCGAACTGCTAGGTGGACAGGAGCAGGGACTGAGCAACGGGAGCTCACCCCGTCGCAGGGATTCGAACCACCGACCTTCTGATCGGCAAGTCCTAGGCTCTGTGGTTTAACCCACAGCGCCACCCGCGTCCCTCTGTATCTTAGTATAGGACTCCTTTAAATAAATTTCCCTTGCATACTGAGGAAATGGGTGGAGTGTGGGTTGTGCTGGAGACCCCACAGGATTCTCAGATTCAAATCTGCCATAAATGGTGGTAGTTCCATGAGTTCCTGGGGAAACCCAGCCAGGTGATGATGATGATGATGATGATGATATCTCTTCTGGGGTTCTCTCACCAAAGAGTACTTGCCCCAAACTAGGAGCTTGGCATCCAGGTATTTTCCTTTTTATATCTATTTTTATTCCTGCACCAACAGGAAGTTCTCCTTAGAAGGGAACTGAATTGCAATTCTCCCCCATCCCTGTTCACAATGCCCTCTCACTTGGCATACCTAGAGAAGTGTTTGTCAATCCATATTGAGTGAACTAATCCATTTACCTGCCACATGAACTCTCCAAAGTACTTGGCTTAGTTTTGTCAAGGGAGAGAGAGTTTTACCTTGGGCTATCTTCTTAATCTCCACACTAAGACACTGAGCAGCAACAAGAGGACAAGGATTCCTGATCTGGCTCCATTTCCAGCTCCAGGACATCCACTGTCAGTTTGTGGCTGCTTGTCACGTTCTGGCTGCGAAGTGAAAGGACATGCAAGGCAAAACCAAAGAGGAATTATATTTACCCACTTAGTGGTCTGTGGAATGAGGCAGGCAAGTAAGATTCTGCTACAGGACAGGGCATCATCTGAAGGTACGGCTGAGATCCCAGACTTTTGCTCAGGCCAGACTTCCATTTTCAGGAAAATTAGCATGGATTTAAGACCAGTGGGCAGTGGATTGTCAAATTGCTTTGGTAAGTGATCTTTAAGTTGCTTTGTATTTTATGGCTTTGCTAGCTGCTTTGAGACATCTTCTTGTGAAAAATGATAAATAAATGTAAATTATAATAATGATAACAACACAGAGAGAGCAACCTTCTGGGACTTCCTTTTCAGAGGAAGAGTCATTATACTTCCACGGTGGTTGGGGAGCTGACGGGAGCACAGCTGTGCTGGCTGGGGGCTGGGGGGGCGGAGTTTAAGTCCAAAACATTTGGCGGGCACCAAGCTGGAGAAAGCTGCCGTAGTGAATGCCTGGCACAATGAAATCACACTCAGCTTCTCTCTGCCCACTGCAAATAACAGCCTGGAAGGTGGAGTGAGAAAGTGTTCAGTGGGTCTGAGTTCCAGGGAGTGGAATGGATGTGTAGTCCAAGCATGGCAGCCACATTTTGCCCTGCTGGAGACTTCTCTTCTTCTTTCTGATGGGAGCCCCAGCTGCTAACTCCACAATTCCAGGAATCCACCATGTGTAGTTGGCAGGTGGTGGTTTCCTCTCAGTCAGAAGTGAGTTGCCCAACCCACCCTCCCTGTGGGGGACAGAGAGAGTGGTGGATCACTGAATAACCAGGTCTTTCCCCCTCTTTCTACCTGACCACTCCCATCCTCTGAACATACTGCAGATCCTCTTTTTATTCTTCCTTCCTTCCTTCCTTCCTTTCTTTCTTTCTTTCTTTCTTTCTTTCTTTCTCCATTCCATCCATTTTGCAAACTGGAATTTGTTCCCTTTTACATTTTGCTATGTGTTAAGCATTGGTAATATTGTGGAAATCAGAACACAAAATAATCATTTGAAACATATGCCAGCGGCATCACTTTATTTTTCTGAAATGCATATCAGGAGAGTCACCTTGAACATCTGTGCCATTGGTGCTCTGAACATTGTACAAAGTGCAAAACATTTATACAATAGTTGGCACACAATGAGCATGAGAGTTACTTCCTCAAATATACTGGAAGATTACAAAAATTGTAAGAAGATTTCAAGAAGTTACTAAAATAGGTTTGTCCTTTTAAATTAGCTTACATAGCAATTGTTTTGCTTTACTGGAAGTTTGAAGTGAGAACATTTTTGCTGATATCACTAATAGAGCAGACAAGGAACGAAAGGAAGTCAAGTCGGATATAAAAGTAAGCAGAGATAAGAAAACTGCCCAACTCACAGTAGGCACAGAAGTTGAAGTCTACACATTATCTGCAGTGCAGCCTTCAGCTAGATGGTTTACTTTTTGGCAATCGTGGCAAATCTTTCCTATAGGAACATAGGAATCTGCCTTATACAGAGTCAGACCAGGCTCTCCAGGCTGCAAATGAGGATGTCCTTCATTCAGATCTCACCTTTGCTGTGAACTCCCAAGGTGGCCTCAGGCTTGCCACCCTCTCCAGTCCTATATAAGGATGCTGCCTGTCTGCAAATCCTACATACAGGTAGGACAAAGAGAGAGAAGCATGCTACAAGTTGGAGGGTGGAAGTCTGATGTGGTGAGTACAATATGGGATTCAGCAAACAAACACATTGTTTTTTCTGTGTTGACCGTTTTTCAGTAGCACCCCATACCAGGTTGCAGAGTATCAGCCTTCAAAATCTCGTCTTTCTGCCATTTGACATTTCCTGCCAGCACACTGGAGCATGTATTCAACAATGTCAACACTAACTTCATTGGGTAAGAAATTTACAGGAATGAGCTCTGAGGATAGGAAATGCTTCAGTGACTCTGATGCATCTTGCCTGTGCAATGGCCCAGACTCATGAGACAACCCCAACACTCTGCAAATAAGTTTGTGTTGCTGGAAAAGATGACATTTGTGCATAGGTTCATTGCAGTTCAGAGAGGGGTGAAGAGGAAAAAGGTCATGAAGCAGACATGGTGTGCCTGCAGATCGGTGTCTTATAACAGCTGTATGCAATGACCATCCTTTTACTCTCACAGTGTGGATGGGGATGGATTTGTACCTGACCCTCTGCTGCTTCATCCACTAAACCAGAGATGTGTCATTTCTGCCCCATGGGCTCAAGCCACCCGGAGGAATGCCTGTTTGCTTGCCTGGTCTTGAGACTCCACCTGTTTGCCATGCTAAAGACTGTGCCCACCCCGTCCTTCAAAAACTTGGTGCAGGGGCCATGTCACTTGTTGGATCAACATCTTAAGCATGTGCTTACCCATATTTCTAATCCTTTTGCATAACTACTGTACCTTTCAACTGTTGCCTTGATTTTGTACCACTCTGATTTAAGTTTCTTTGGTGGAAACCAAGCTTTGAGTCTGAATTCTTCAGCTGACAGTGAGCGCCAAGACAAGTTTCCCCTGCAGCTATGTAGGATTTAGATCAGGGATTGAGAAACTGTGACTCTCCAGGTATTTATCGATTATGTATTTATCTCACCTTTCCTGCAAGGAGTTCAAGGTCGTGCACTTACTTCTCCTCGCCATTTTCTCCTCACAACAACCCCGTGAGGTAGGTTAGGCTGAGGGGCAGTGATCAGCCCGAGGTCACCCAGTGAGCTTCATGACTGAGTGGAGATTTGAACCCTGGTTCTCCCAGGTCCTTGTCCAGCACACTGACCACTACACCACTCTGGCTTTCTGTTTCTGGACTACAAGTTCCATCATCCTTGACATTGGCCATGCTGGCTGAGGCTCATGGGAGTTGGAGTCCAACAACATCTAGAGGGCAACAGATTCCCAATCCCTGATTTAGACCACATGCATATACTCGCCTTCCTTCCTCCTCCTATGAAGATTCCCTTTGGGAAGGCAACACCCAATAAATTTCCAGAATTTGGGCATTCTTTTGTTCCAAGGCTTCGCCAGTCATGCGATGCTGCAGTCACTGAGACGAACGAGATAAACGAGAGCCCGTTGTTGAGATGTTGTCCTGCGAATGGGACCTCAAGGTGCAGTACCAGAGGCAGATGAAAAGCCCTGTGAGCAAAGAGAGCAGCTTCAGTAGGCTTGGAGGGGCTGCAAATTGGAAAGCGTTAAGGGAGAGAAGCATTGGCTCCCAGCAACATGCTGAGCTCACAAACCTTGAAGTGAGTTGAGGACAGTGAACAGGAAGATCTGCGGGACCGAGAGCACCCCGAAGGAGAAGAAAACCGACGCCCAGGTGGCACCCAGGAGGCAAGTCAGCCCAAGAACGGTCACCATGTCCTTACAGGAATGCTCTTTCCACTGCCGAGGACTGGCTCGGAGCTGCCTGAGCCTCCAAACCACCAAGGTCAAGACAGCCATATTGAAGACTATGGTGCCACTGCAGTAAATCAGGTTGAAGTAATGCACTGTGGGAGAAGTGATCCAGCACCTGCAGGAGGAGAGAACTCAATGAGACACTTCCAGATTCTCTTTCTTCTTTTCATATGGGTGGGGGGAGAGAATACAAGAGGAGATTAGCCCCAACGCATCCCACAGCCCTCACAGGAGGAGGCCACAGTGCAGAAGGTCCTGTGTTCAAACCCCAGTATCTCCAGGTAGGGCTGAGAAGAAGCAGATTTAGGGGAGTGCAACCGTTTCAGTCACAACTGGGCACAGAGCCTCAGGGGCACCATAAAGGATGCCGCAACAATGATATATAATGGAAGATGGGAGGGACTCCATATTTTCAGTAGTTAGCTGGCTATCATGGCTCTCCTAGTTCGAATTAGGATCTTTATTCAGCACACACAAGGAACGAACGCACACATGCTTAAGGACAGGTATCCTCTTTTCTTTCTCTCTTGCTCACTCTCTCTCTACACATACACACAAACAAAACAAAAAACAAAACAAAACAAAACACTATTGCTTAACTTACTATTAGTATGGGTTCTCTGGCAAAATTGCCAGGCCCACATTGAAAATGGTTAGGGATTTTTCCACTCTTTAGATCAAGGTATGTGCATGTTGCTGTGGGATCTGCTGCCTGCTTAAATTGCAATTTTGCCGTCACAAGCAGCACTTATATATTCTGTCACTTTCATTCGTTCTTTCTTTATTCCTTTGTTTGTAAAATCTTCTTGTGGGCATAGAGTCAAGGGCAGACACATATTCATAAAAGGATGGACATCATAACTCCAAAAAAAGACCCCAAAGCTCTTGTAGGGGTGGGTTCAGGCACATACTGCAACAACTGCACAACTGAGGTAGGTGCTGACAGAGGCTCTAAAGTGCAGATGAGCTCCAGCCCTCCTCCTGAACCTGGAGATTTGTGGGGGGGGGGCAGAGCAGCAGGGGAGGATCACCACAGAGGCACTGCAAGTGAAACTAAGCCTAAGTGCCCATAACTGCATTTCCCCACTAGATATGTGGCTGGGAATGATAGCTGGAAACCCCCAAGTAGGATAAGACTGCTATATTTACTCACATGAATTCCATCACTTTTGCTTCTCCCTTCCCTCTCCTCATCACTTCCTCTCAGATTGTAAGCTTTGTGAGGCAGAAACCTGGTGTTACTAAATAAAGAATGGGTAGGCAAACTAAGGCCCGGGGGCTGGATCCAGCCCAATCGCCTTCTAAGTCCGGCCCACGGACGTTCCAGGAATCAGCATGTTTTTACATGAGTAGAATGTGCCCTTTTATTTAAAATGCATCTCTGGGTTATTTGTGGGGCATAGGAATTCGTTCTCCCCCCCTCCAAAATATAGTCCAGCCCCCCACAAGGTCTGAGGGACAGTGGACCAGCCCCCTGGTGAAAACGTTTGCTGACCCCTGAAATAAAGCGTCCCACTCACTGATGGCACTACATAAATCAACAATGCCCACATAATGAAATAATTTGCTACCAAGACCATTGGTCCACCCCGCCCCCCCCCGAAACTCACATGGTACTGTTGCGGTGAGCAGAGCTGGTTTTGATACCATAGCGGCCATAAATTTGGCTGTTGCTCAGGAAGATGATCACCACTGCTAAGCCAGGGAACCCTGTTGGATCCAAGAATGCACAGTGGTAAAGGCACAAAGAAGATTCATGAGCACTACCGTCCTAAGCACAACCACACATACAAGATAAAAGGCACACTCGTTGCATGTTCTACAGAGCTCAAGCCTATCCAGATCTCCTGCTACACAGCCTATGCCCGGAATAAATAATGTCATTTCAATGTCTGTAGCCATAAGAGATGCTCAAGGCCAATGTAAGTTAAACCAGCCTAAAGTTACACCAGATCCAAACTCTGCTCAGCAGCAGGGCTAATGCTGGGTGGGGGAAACAAGCCTTGAAAATAGTGTTTGGGTTACACCACCCTTTCTGCTGGTTTAACATACAGTACATGGAGTTGCCAGGTCATGTGGCCGAGATGAATGGGCTTAGGATCCAGCCTAAGTCTCCCACCCCTCTGGCCACGCCCTTGCTACACCCACAGAACGCTTGTGCCAGCTCAATCAATCAAATCTTTATTATGGTCATAGACCTGCATAGGTAGGATGGGGAAATCTAAAAAGTATTAAATCTAAAAAGTATTAAAACAGAAGGTATATTTAAAAGACGATAAGAATCTAAACGAAACTAAAAGACTCTAAAAGAAGGGCTAGGAGCATTAAACAAGATGTGGAAGAACATGAAAGGTTAGTATATAAAAGACTACAGCTTTCAATTTAGAGAGCACTCTGATGTGAGTGTTCACTAAATCTAGTTTGTGGCTCAGATCATCATCCGATGAATTTTGAACACTGCTGTGGAGAATCTGGCAACACTGTATGTTGTAGCAGGGCTGGTAATTGTCCCGGCTTAAGACCTGGTAGGCTCCGCTCAGCCAGCTGGGTGCCAGCTAAGTCAGGATGGAGGAGTTATATGCCAGAGTATCTCTGGGTAAACCAAGGATGAAGGAGTTAACTCAGCCAACCTGATCCACACTTTCCAGACTAATACACGGTTATCCTTCAGTTTTCACACCTCTCTGAATTTTATGAGGCAGTTCTTGCCTCAAACAATACACCAAAATTAATACTTGAGGTTAAAATGTGGTTTTTTTCTCTCTTTTTAAGTGTGTTTTAGGACAAAAGGCATTCAAAAAGTGTATTCTAGGGTAAAATGCTAAATCTTCCTTGTAGGTGTGGCATAGATTTCCGTCCTCAAGCTGCCACCTTAAACAAGAAAGGGGCCGCCTAGTGCAGGCCTAGACGCTTCAGTCGAATGCAAAGCAGAAGGTCATGCCCAGATTTTATGTTCAGGGAAGCACAGGGCAAAAATTAATAGGTTCTCATTTTTTCTGCAAACCTACCTAATTCACACTTCCTTAAGCAATGCACAAGCTGAAACACAGCAAGACTTCAAAATTTGCACTTCTTTGAATTTTGTGATCCAGTTCTCCAAGCAACATTTGTTGTTGTTGTTGTTTAGTCGTTTGGTCGTGTCCGACTCTTCGTGACCCCATGGACCAGAGCACGCCAGGCACTTCTGTCTTCCACTGTCTCCCGCAGTTTGGTCAGACTCATGTTTGTAGCTTCGAGAACACTGTCCAACCATCTCGTTCTCTGTCGTCCCCTTCTCCTTGTGCCCTCAATCTTTCCCAACATCAGGGTCTTTTCCAGGGAGTCTTCTTTTCTCATGAGGTGGCCAAAGTATTGGAGCCTCAGCTTCACGATCTGTCCTTCCAGTGAGCACTCAGGGCTAATTTCCTTAAGAATGGATGCGTTTGATCTTCTTGCAGTCCATGGGACTCTCAAGAGTCTCCTCCAGCACCATAATTCAAAAGCATCAATTCTTCGGCGATCAGCCTTCTTTATGGTCCAGCTCTCACTTCCATACATCACTACTGGGAAAACCATGGCTTTAACTATACGGACCTTTGTTGGCAAGGTGATGTCTCTGCTTTTTAAGATGCTGTCTAGGTTTGCCATCGCCTTTCTCCCAAGGAGCAGGCGTCTTTTAATTTCGTGACTGCTGTCACCATCTGCAGTGATCATGGAGCCCAAGAAAGTAAAATCTCTCACTGTTTCCATTTCTTCCCCTTCTATTTGCCAGGAGGTGATGGGCCCAGTGGCCATGATCTTCGTTTTTTTGATGTTGAGCTTCAGACCATATTTTGCGCTCTCCTCTTTCACCCTCATTAAAAGGTTCTTTAATTCCTCCTCACTTTCTGCCATCAAGGTTGTGTCATCTGCATATCTGAGGTTGTTGATATTTCTTCCGGCAGTCTTAATTCCGGCTTGGGATTCATCCAGCCCCGCCTTTCGCATGATGAATTCTGCATATAAGTTAAATAAGCAAGCAACATAGGCAAATACAAATGTGTATATCAGGCTTCCTCAACCTCAGCCCTCTGGATGTTTTTGGCCTACAACTCCCATGATCCCTAGCTAGCAGGACCAGTGGTCAGGGATGATGGGAATTGTAGTCTCAAAAAGATCTGAAGGGCCGAGGTTGAGGAAGCCTGGTGTATATTATGGGGGAAGCCTGCACACATTGCTGTTTTAATGTTTCGTTTGCTATTGTAAGCATACCAGAGATGGTTATTAAAAAGATATAACAGAAAAAAATCATATTGATCCTCACCCCAGCCAACTGAACACAGTTTAAGGAGGTAGCGCATGATGTATGAGTTGTAGACTCGGATCACGAGCAGGTAGAGGTGGAAGCCTTCGATGGCCATCCAGGTCAGGCAGCAGAGCAGAGAGTAATGGAGGAAAGCGGCTGTGGCTGTGCACGGCCACGAAAGGCTAGCTGATGCTGGGAAGCTGCTGCCCAGGAAGGACACGTTGAGAAGGAAGAGGGCTCCCAGAAGGTTCATGTGGATCTTTGTTGTGGAATCATGCTGGATTTTCCTGCAAAAAGGTGTTAAAATGGAATATAAACTGGAGAGTTTTGCTGACTCAGTAAACTGAGTTTTGCTGACTCAGTAAAAGACAGGGCAGACACTGTGCTGGTATACTCTTTCTAGTACTTAATGGGATCTCAAGGCTGTGGAAGTGGCTTTAGGCATGAGATCTTTGCATCCTTTACAGCAGAATGCGATGTGTATCTCCTGAGTTCAACGAGACCTACTCTCGGGAACGTGTGCATATAATTGCAGTCTTAAAATCGTAAGGATTTTGAGGGGTGTTTTTTTTTAAAAAAAGGTCAAGTTACTAGATCTCATGGGGTGAGTTAAATACAGAAGGAGGAATCTACAGACCAGATCTTGATCAAGGTGTCCTTCCTTTGGGAGGAAGGGTGGGATATAAATGTAATAAACAAAAATTTTAAAAAGAGAGTGTTTGCATGCATATGAGGGGAACCATCTACACAAATCTAGAGTGGAGTCCCTAAGACAGTTGGATGGCGCCTTGTATGTCTCCTTCCAGCAACTCCTGCAACCAAGCTGGTGCCAAATGTATTGCTCTGCTTTCCTTTGGACTGCATCAACAAAGCCAACAGGGGGGTCTTGTCATCTGGGCAGCCCAGGACTCCATACACATTGCCTAGGCTTGTGCCCCAGGGAGAACAGTTCAGTGCTGCTAACTCAGCAGTTTGACTTCACCCCAGAGGCGCACTCCACTGACTCTGGAGACAGACCGATGCCAACAACAAATTATGTGTACAATGTTATGCAGATACTTTCAATGGCGCAACAGCTACCCCTAGTGGCAAGCAGAGGCTAGGATAATATTTTCAAAGAGGAATGTTTCTGTCAATCACGTATCCATAAATTTGTTTACAGAATCATTTTATGAAGAGATGCTGAAGTTTTCAAAACAGCTATGAAATCCCACACTACCAAAACCAGCATGGAAGAACCCCAAACAACTATAATTTTATTCTTCATATTCTGGGGCTGGAAGCAGACAATAGTTTTTCAGAGGCTTGAAGGAGCGACCATTACTCATGGTCCACACAGTCATCCCCTCTTCCGTCAGGTCAGACAGGTGCTGCAGGTATTTGCAATGTTTCAAAAACCTGCACTACTTATTTGACAGAAGCGTTTATACCACAGGAACCAAAATGCACTCCTAAACCACTATCAGATCTTATTTTTAAAAATATTGCCTGCCTTTAATCCAGGAAGAAACTTTCTTAGGTATTGACTGAAGGAGCACTGTACTTACCGGGATAAAATGTAGAAAAAGATAGTGAGCAGGCATGCAAAAGCAGAGATACTGCAGCCTATGTTGGTGATATAGGTCAGAGGAGCCAGCAGAGATTCATCCAGAGTAGTTGGGGAGATTTGCTGAATGAGCAGAGAAGGAAGAGGATGCAAAGACAAAAACAGAAGGAATTAAGATGAAACGGATATGTATTCTCCCCAACAGGCTAGTTTTCTAGGTGCAAGAGACATTTTTTCATGGAGGAAAGGTCAGTCCTAGGAGCCTGTCTCTGCTCCCCCACCAACCCCACATCAGCTGCCTGAAGTGTTGCAGCCCAGAGAGAGGACCTGGGCCACAAGAGAGCCCCACACTTACCACAAGGACAGCAAAGTAGGTGAGGTGGTTGCACTGGCACAGAACCATGCCCTCCCAGTTGATGTTAGTTGTGCAGCCTTCCTGGCTCCAGCTCCCCATGCTGCCCTCTTCTGCCAAATGGGAGAAACCCAACCACACTCAGAAAGCAGCAGGAACAAGGGCCAAACTAGACAAGGGGCCACTGACACAACAAGCAATTGCATGCATACTTTTTTAAAAAGCAGGCAGCAGGATGTGAAGGAGGGGCACATGTGTGTCGAATCCATAGAAGGACCCTAGCAGAAAGGAGAGGAGGGCTTTGTCCCCTACTGTAGTCCTAATTCAGAGGTCAGGCACCCCATGCCTGCTATTTGCATTAGGGAAAGAGGGTATTTCGACTGGCACAAATGAGAGGTTTCCTTCCAAAACAATGGGGGGGGGGATTTTAAATCCAAATCAGGGTCAGTGCAAGAGGCAAAGGATTACAGGGCCCCACCTTCATCTCCCCATGATGTTGTTGTTGTTGTTGTTTTAAAAGAAACCATTCACACATTGGCTAATTGTGTGAATGGAGTCTCCTCTAATTTGGTCCTAATTAAGGCTGATGCCTCCAATCCTGTGAACCGTTCCATTCAGGATTATCACAGCAACAGTATCACAGCTTTTTTTAAAAAAAAAAAACCACTTGCATTTGTTCCTTTCCCTTGCTTATATGCTGCTTTTGTTAGTTTGTAAACCACTGGTGTGGAAATAGGAAGGGAAGAGGATGGATAAGAGGCAAATTCTGGCCTTACCTGTTCCTTCCAGCCAAAAAACACAGGCCACGCTGGCATTGGCCTAGAAGGGAACAGAGACAAGTTGATGAAAACACTTTCCTACCTCTAGGGCAGAATTCCTTCAGTGCGACTGAAGAGTGCTTGTCAGGCAGATGGTGATGCCCAGCAACACAATTCCTGCCCTCCTCAGTCAGACAGAGCTAATAATAATAACAATAATATAATAATAATATTCTTTGCCCCCTCTTTACAGCTAAAATATAGGAATGCTCAACCATGGCCTGTGCTTTGCACAGCAACCAACTCTTAAACTTTCTCCTGTGTTCCTCATGTCCTGCATTGGAATGTAAAAAGGGAGAAGCCAGAAGCATGTGCCTTCCTCTGAAGAAGGGCTTCCTCTGCAAAACTGCCCCTCCTCAAAAATTATTAAGGACTAGAGGATTTACAGAAATACAACACTATTGGTGAAGCGCAACTGGAGATCATGGCTTGATCATCCAGGTAAATGAACACTGGAACATAAGGAGCCTGCTGGATCAGGCCAGTAGCCCATCTAAGCCCAGCACCCTGTTCTTATAGTGATGAACCAGGTGCCTAGAAGCAGGACGTGAGCACATGAGCAGTTTCCAGCCTCTGGAATCCAGAAGCATTGCTGCCTCTGACTGCGGGTGCAGAATATAGCTACATCTCCCTGAATTAGCCTGTCTTGTATGGTCGAACAATGTAGTTTTGGAGGTCAGGCATGTTATGCTGTGCACAGGGCTTTGCAGCCCCCCCCCCCCAGTTGTTGGTGCCTTCAAATCCCCCTTTTGGCCCAGCCACACCTTTAGCTGCCCCACATTTGATGTCAGGTACAGGGCAAGTGGGCATGGCAGGGTCAAAACAGCCTCACAGGCCAAGTGGGGAAGCCTGGCTGAAGGTTCCCCTCTGCTTTGCTGCAATGTTGGAGCTGCAGCCTCACTGCCCTCCCAACTGCTTTTTGCAGAAAAGCTTTGCTTCATTCTCTCAGGAGCTGGTAAGAGGAAGGCAGGGGCAGCTAATGGGGTGTCTCCCATGCACTGTTGGCCTGCAGTTCTCATCATACCTGCCGATTGGCTATTGGGACTGATGGGAGGCGGAGTCTGACAAATCTGATTCCTGCATTACAGGGAGTTGTTGCTGTTGATTTATTTATAACCCACCTTTCCCCCTGACAGGGATTCAAGGCAGCTCACAGATAAATAAGAATAGCAAAATAATAATAATAATACCCAGTGGCGTAGCGTGGGGGGTGCAGGGGGGGCCGGCCGCACCGGCCGCAACATCTGGGGGGGGCGCTCGCACTCGCAGCTCTCTGCCCCTACCTGGCTCACTCACTCTCTCTCACTGCAGTGCTGGCTGTGCGAATCCGATCCGAGCCGCTGGATCGCCGCCCACTGTGGAGGGGGTGGGTGCCAGGCGTGCGGTGCGGAGAGAGAGCGAGGGACTATCTGGGGGAGGGACAGTGCAGCGGCCACCCAGCGCAGCGCTGAGCGCGGGAGAGAACCACACCAGACCAGACCAGGCAGCAGCAAGAAGAAGCTGGCAGCAGCGGCAGGTTAGGGGTTAGGGGGCGCAAATTACTTGCCTTGCCCCGGGTTAGGGGGCGCAAATTACTTGCCTTGCCCTGGGTGCTGACAACCCACGCTACGCCGCTGATAATACCCCACCCTTTTTATCATTGAAAAACAAATAAACATTAATAGAATTAAAAACACCATAGGGGTTCTATTAAAAACATACACATACAATAAACACAGCACAGCGCCAGCTGTACTGTGATTCCAAAACCTGGAGGGCACCACACTGACTAGTCCGGCACAGGATAAACGCTTACTGGGTGGCAGCTGTGGCCACAGCACAACTCACCAGCGTATGGTTGTGCCAAAACCTGATCTCCACCGGTTGACTGAGTTGAGTAATGCTGATATTCCCAAAGGTGGCCCCTAAGATGTCATCATTCAGCAAGGAGTGGTTCTTTCTGTCCTATAAGATAAAAAGCGAAAAAGACTTGGCATGGGATGACTGGGGAGGGAGTCTTTAAACACCCCTCCTCACATTCCCCCCCCCCCGTTCAGCCAGTAGAGCTGATCAACAGCAGAGCAGTCCACTCCATTGGGAACAGCTGCTTTAAGGCACTCCAGGCACCTCAAGGTGGTTACTGCCAACAGACCTGGCTTTCCCCACCCTTGTCCTTTACAGATGGAAAAGATGAAAAGGGTGGGAAGCCGCTGGGAATCTGTGGCAGGGAGACAACAAAGGAAGTGTGAGGAAACCAATGCAGTGGTGAACAGGGGGGCTCATTTGTGATGGCTGCCATGGTATTCAAGTAAACCTAGGCTTTGTACATACGCTCGTGAGGCCACCCATTCTGCCCTCTTCCAGGTCCAAAAGGACCCACGTATTGGTGGTTGGGCATCAATTGGAGGTGCATAAAATAGTCACTGTCTGTAAACCTTTAAAGGACATTCTTTTCCCTCAGAGAATTCTGGGCACTGCAGTTTGCTAGAGCTGCTGGGAATTGTAACTGCGAAGGGTTAACTACAGTGCCCAGAATTCTCTGAGGGAAGAGAATGTGCTTTGAATATGCTGTGAAGGTACAATGTTTACACCACCTTAGTCACAGCAAGGCATGGTGACAGTAGTTGCACCCAAGTTTCTGTGGGAAGGGGGATTTTGAGAAGAGATGTAAAGGATTAAAAAGAGAGAGAGAGTTGACATTGTGTAAGAGCCAGCAGATGGTGCAGCAGCCACAAAATTAAAAGACCCCTGCTTCTTGGGAGAAAAGCAATGACAAACCTAGACAGCATCTTAAAAAGCAGAAACATCACCTTGCCAACAAAGGTCCGTATAGTTAAAGCTATTGTTTTCCCAGTAGTGATGTATAGAAATGAGAGCTGGACCATAAAGAAGGCTGATCACCGAAGAATTGATGCTTTTGAATTATGGTGTTGGAGGAGACTCTTGAGAGTCCCATGGACTGAAAGAAGATCAAACCTATCCATTCTGAAGGAATTCAGCCCTGAGTGCTCACTGGAAGGACAGATCCTGAAGCTGAGACTCCAATACTTTGGCCACCTCATGAGAAGAAAAGACTCCCTAGAAAAGACCCTGATGTTGGGGAAGATTGAGGGCACAAGAAGAAGGGGACAACAGAGGATGAGATGGGTGGATAGTGTTCTCGAAGCTACCATCATGAGTTTGACCAAACTGCGGGAAGCAGTGGAAGACAGGAGTGCCTGGCGTGCTCTGGTCCATGGGGTCACAAAGAGTCTGACACGACTAAACAACAAAGCAACAAAGAGCCAGCAAGGGAGAGCGGATGGAGTCAACAGGGAAGCCCTCCCCAACACACTCGGGACCGCAGCTGTGTTGACTGTTGCTGATGGGATTTGTAGGGCGCCAGAGAATACAGTGACAGAGCAGGTGATCTTCAGACGCCAAGGATAGACAAGGAGAGGTCAGAGGCAAGGATATGTAAGATAAGAGAGTCATTAAAATGAGCCAGAAAGAGTCACATGAATTGGCTTACCTTTCCTCCACTCTTTGTAGGCACCGTCTGAGCTGAAAAGTTCCATGTCTCAGCAGAGTTTTATTGCCCCAGAGTTTTCCCCATGAAAATCCGCTCTTTAAAGCTCAGTCAGCTCTGACGAGCTTTAAAGAGCGGGTTTTTGAGGGGAAAGTTGGGAGCGAAACAAAAAACAAGAAACCCCCCCTCAGACACAGAGTTTTTAAGCATGAATCTGTGCCTGGAAAGAGAAGGGCAAACGATAAGTGTGGATGTCTGCAGTGTAGCACAAATTAGGCTGGCTTTCCCATGACCCTTTTCAGAATGTATGTGGCCACTGTCTGGGCCCAGTCTCCACCTCCGTCACCCCATTAACCAAACCTCAAGTTCCAGGGAATGCCTACCTGGAAGAAGCAAGATGTTTTCAGGTAAATACAGGTGAGCCGCATCTCCTTTGCAGCTGTGCCCTGGGCTTTCTTCGCTAGCTCAGCGGGGAAATGCATGGCATGTCGGGTTTGGTTCTTCGCCGAGGTATTGCGCTGCTCAGAGCGAAACAGACATGTACACATTGGAAGGCGTTGTTTTTCATTCAAAAGTATTTATATGCCACCCTCCATTTAAAAAATAATAATGTCAAAACAGTTTGCAATAAATAGTAAGAACGATGAAAACAGAAATTTGTAACTACAGGAACTGGGGCTTGTTAGAACTAGCACAGAAGACCAAGGAATGCCTGGGCAAATAAGTGCTCAATAACTGGTAGAAACCCATCACAACTGATAGAATCATAAAATTGCAGAGTTGGAAGGCGCCCTGAGGGTCATCTAGGGTCATCTAACCCCCCACAATGCAGGAATCACAGCTTAAGAATTCCTGACATGTGGCCACGCAACCTCTGTTTAAAAACTTCCAATGCAGGAGAGTCGACTGCCTCCCAAGGTATATCTATGGATAAAATAAAATTTAAAAAGCAGCCATCTGTTTTTCTTGTTGCATGTTGCTGTGAGGATCATGTGATGAGGCTCCTTTCCATTAATTAATTAATTGCAAACTGAGGCTACTTGTCCACATTCTTGAACCTGATCTGCAGGACACAAATACCCAGGACTGCATTCTGGGGGCCAGGTTAATGAAAAAGTGACAGAGCAGTCATACTGGAGAGTCATCATCCAATGAGCAAGGAACATACGTGAAGGGAAGCTGTGAAATAATAGCAACACATCACTGGGGTCTCGTTTCACTTCCAAAAGGAGCATTTAAAGAAAAGCCCAGAGCAAATCACTTGCTCAAATATTCTTAAAAGCAATCTGTTTGGAGGCTGTCAAAGCCAGACAATGTTCTCCGCGGTTGGGAATGGCATCCAACTGAAAGCAAATGGGGCCACCTTTGACCTTTCACTGAAGTTCTTCTCTGCATGGTTTTGTGAACATATTCGCATTCCTGGCATACCAAGAGCCATGCAGAAAGGAAGCTAGCCAGGACAATGGAAAATAATGTAGGAGAATATTAATAGAGCAGAATCATAGAAATGTAGAGTTCGAAGGAAGGAAGGAAGGAAGGAGCGGTGGTGTAGCAAGGGGGGCACAGGGGTGGTTGCTCCAGGCACAAAATTGTTAAGGGGTGCAAAATTTCAACCCCCGGGAGCGGCCTCAATACAGCTGTGCGCTTCCATCACTAGGCTCTGTTGAAAACAACTTCTCCATGCAAACCAGGAAGTGACCTTTCCAGACAACGGAATGTCTCTTCTTTTCTTATCTATATGGCTGTGATCTCTTGGGTCATGCGGACGTCGTTAGGCAGTTGAATGCACATGAGTACTCTGTCCATTTCCCTCCAAGGAAGGAGAGTCCACCACCTTCCAATGCATTTTTTAAAAAATTGCATTTACATCCCACATTTTTCTCCCACCCACTGTCCCCTCCTCTGCACAGCCTTGGGGGCTGGCAACCCATGCTACACCACTGGGAGTGAGTAGAGGAGGAGGCCACTGCTGTCCATGAGCATGCTGCCAGAGTCGAGGAAGTAGTACGCACTGAGCAGCCATGTTGAGCACCCAGCAGTGGCGAGTGTTGGGTGCCAGGTGGTAGCGAGGAGCAGGAGGTGGGGAACTGTGCAGGGGCTTTTGCCTCTAGCAGCAAAATGTCCTGGGCTAGTCCTGACCGCTTTCCTTAAAATCAGTCATTTGAACACAAATATAGGTGGTTCCAGCAATGGGAGCCCATCCACACCTGCCCAGAGACATTGTAGACATATACCAAGATCGCAATTGCCACTTCCTTCTTCCTTCTCCGCCTGGGGGATGAGCAGGGAGGGAAAGACAGGGGCAATCTAACCAAGGGGAGGATTTTCAAGCCTGTATCACATAACCACACCTAGCACTGTGGGCAGCAGGATTGCACACTGAGGGTGAGCATGCTTGAGTCTGGATTGAGGGAAAAGTGCCTCTTTGCGCTACAGGTGGGTTAGTGTGTACACAGCCCCGGTCAAAACTTGGTGCATTTTCAAAGCATGTTCACCACTCTGCATGTCTCTGCTGGGTATTCATTCTAGATAGCAAGAATCAGCAGCAGGGTGTGAAGATAGCAGGAAAATACTAACCATTAAGCTGTCGCTGCTGATATTCAGGCCTCTGAAATCGCTAAGATTTATCCTGAATATTAATGTTTGAATATTGTCATGCACCACAGTGAGATTCTCTGTCAGGAGACTGGTTTGCAGCAGGGTCTTCTCCAAATTTTCTTTGGCTCTGAAAGTGGAGAATTGTTGAGAGAAAGCGTGTAAATGCTTAAGGGTTGCACTTGGAAACACAGAGCTGCCAAGGGCCTCAATGGATGCTGGCACAGATTGTGAGGATTATTTACATACTTATCTCATTACATTCTTCTAACACCTTTCCTCAAAAGAGCTTAAGGTGCTGGTCATGTTTTCCCTTCTCCTCAGAGTCGTTTAACCCCCAACCCCATTTCTTCTCAGGGCACTTTGGAAATTGTAGCTGTCTGAGAGGAATAGAGATGGCCTAACATTCTCAGCATTCTTAACAAACTACAATACCCAGGATTCTCTGGGGGAAGTCATGACTGTGGTACAGTACTGCTTTTAATGTATCATGCAGATGGGGCCTGAGTTGTGTCTGGGTGGAGTTAGGACTTTCCCACTGCGGAATCTAATGTTCAGGTACAGCATTTGCTGAGAGAAAGAAACATCTGTATCTGAGATAGGAACTTACCTCATCAGCTCCTTCCTTTCGGAGACACATCCTTCTTTCAGGTGCCTCTCAAATATTCTCATGGCTTTCTCCACATCACTCTTCGCGCCAAGATCCAAGGGTAGCCTGGTTGCTTTCCCGCTGGGTTCTGCCCCTTAGCAACAGCGAGGGAAAGACAGGCCGTCAGTGTAGAGGAAACGGCACATGCTCCCACCATGAACGAATCAAAGAGTGCCCACATCACCTCCAGCAACAACACAGACCAGTGAGTCCCACACCATGCACAGGGAGAAGGGACACATAAATGTGGACCTTGGAAAATTTAGGATTCCGTAAGGACATAAGAAGAACCTGCTGGATCAGGCCAATGCCCCACTTAGTCCAGCATCCTGTTCTCACAGTGGCCAACCAGATGACTGTGGAAAACCTGTAAGCAGGATCTGAGCACAAGAGCCCTCTCTCCTCCTGTGGTTTCCAGCAACTGCTATTCAGAGGCAGAGCATAGCCATCATGGCTAGTAGCCATTGATAGGCTTCTCCATTAATTTGTCTCATCCTCTTTTAAAGCCAGCCAAATTTGTGGCCATCCCTGCATCCTCTGGGAGTGAGTTTAACTGTGCACTATGTGAAGGACTTCCTTTTCTGTGTCCTGACTCTTTCAACAATCAGCTTCATTGGATGTCCACAGGTTGAAGCGTGATGAGAGAGGGAGGAAAAACTTCCCACTCTCCCCTTTCTCTATGCATCATCTTATACACTCCTCTCATGTTGCCTCTTACTCCCCTTTTCTCTGAACTTAAAAGTCCCCAAAGCTATAACCTTTCCTCATGGGAGAACCACGAGGAAAATACAGAAGGATGTTAATTTGATGGCCATGCCATATGGAAAAAATGAAGTGTGGCACCCCTGGGTCTCCCTGACACACAACTCCCTCTTAGGAAATCAGGACTGCCCACCTCCTAGCCCCTAATAAGACATCTTTCCTACCTGGTATCTGGTCCATAAAAGCTGCACACGCAAAGAGAAAAAGGCAAAATCCTGTGCCCATCTCTGTATTGCCGGAAATGTAGTGCAGGTCCCCAAACACCACAAATGGCTGGGAGCTGTTTCCAATGTGAAGAAGAAACTGAAATGAGGTAGAGTAAGGTTATGGGCCCATTTGTGTATTTGGGAGCTGCAAGACAAGAAGAAGAAGAAACCCCCTTTCCAGACGCATCTGGGCTACATTAAAACAGGATAAAATATAACAAATAACATTTTGTGGATGCACTCAGCTAAAAGCAGCTTTGACTCCTGCTGCTGGAACTACCTGATATGTCTGAATTTGCTCTCAGCCATGAACCAGTAGTGTTCTTTGCTCCCAAAACTGATCCAAGGAACCTCATGGGGGAGCAGAAATACCACCCTACAAATATAAGGCGAAAAAATTAAAAACTGGGTCTGCAAATGCATGTTTGGGCTACCAGTGGGCCCCACATCTGAAAAGTTTAAAGGCTGCTGCTGGAGTTAAAAAGCGGCCTTCAACAAATACGCTTGCCATGGCGAGGATGGTGCCGTCACCTAGTGAGAAGGGAAAGTGGCCAACCTGCCTCCTGACTCTGAAGCCACAGAGGAGAGCAGGATCATTCAAGCAGCTGCTTGGCAAATCCCTTCCCCGCCTCCAGCTCTGAAGCTGGAAGGATGGGGGCTGTTCGGCAGCTGCATGGCAAATATGGAAAGCGCTAGCCACGCATGGCTAAACTGGCAACCCTCCTCTCTACTGGTCTTGCCTCTTCAGAGTGCTGGATACTTCCTGCCTGAGAGCATCCTGTGCATCTTAGGGAAATGGTGCCCAACATCGCCCACTCCTAGTCTCTCAGGTCTTCGCCTCAGGAAAAGCTGGGTGACTTGGCAACCTGGATGTTGGTGACTTTATTTTTTGGCTTGGCCAACAAGGCCAGCCAGAAACTGTAGGCCTTGGGTGAAAAGGATCTTGGAAGAGGCACTGTCCGTCAAATTAAACCATTCAGAGGAAACCCAAATTGCAAGGGACCTGAAAAAAGGCATTTGAAGCCGGTTTGGGCAGGATAAAGAAAACGAAAGAAGAAAGCTTATAAATGTGTGAAAACCAAATTGGGGCCTTCCGATATAGCAGCCTATAAGCCTAATACTTAAACAATCAAGCACATATTGCGCCTGGGCATGCAGTTATGCTAAGGGGGTGGGAGGTAAGCAATCTACACGATGGAATTTTTGTGTCCCTGTGTGGGCAGTAGTGTGCCTATGTTCTAGCATCAAGGTGCCCACAAAGATGACATGAGGAAGTCAACAGTAGCGTGGTGCAGGGACTCGGGCTCGGAAGGGACATTGTGGCATTTGATAAGTTCCAGAACTTGCTTTTATCCACAGTAGATCAAATTGTGACACACATTCTCAGCTCAGAACTGCAAATCTAAGCAAATAAGAGATGCAATCTAGTAAAAAAAAACCACATTTTTTTTTGTTAACTGATACAGATTTTGTCATATGCTTAACCTCAACTGTGACGCTGTACGAAAGCGAGCTTTCCTCATTAATAACTGCATTTCACAGAAAAAAGACTTGAAATTCAATTGTTAAAAAAAGAAAAGAATTATGACTCACTTTTTCCTTTATTTCTTTTGTGTGTGTGTGCCTTATTTTGCCTTAATGTACCTTCAGTTTTCTGTGGCTGCATTTATTATGGCTAGGGGCCTCAAAAGCCAGAAGTGGTCCAGACCTCCAAAAACCTGGGATGCAAAGAAAGTAGAATTGTGGAGGCCTATGTGGAAAGGTTGGAGGAGTTGGTTATGCTTAGCCTGGTGAAGAGGCAATTAAGAGGCAAAATGAGAGCCATCTTCACACATCTGAATGGGTCTTGTCAACAAGATGAAGCAAATTTGTTGCTCCAAAGAATAATAATACCAGAACCAACTAGAAAAGAGGAGATTGAGAGGTGATATGATTGCCATCTTCAACTATCTGAAGGGATGTCACATGGAAGATGGAGCAAACTTCTTTTCTCCTGCTCCAGAGGGGAGGGCCTGAACCATGGATTCAAATGACAAGAAAGGAGATTCTGACTAAGCACCAGGAAGAATTTTCTGATAGTAAGAGCCATTCAACAGTGGAATGGATTACCTCAGAAGGTGGTCAGCTCTCCTTCATTGGAGGTTTCTAAGTAGAGGTTGGATGGCCATCTGTCAGGGATGCTTAAGATGGATTACTGCATCACAGGGGTTAGACTAGATGACCCTGAGGATCCATCCCAACTCTACAATTCTATGATTCTATGGAACAAACTACAAGAAAGAGTATTTGGGCTAAACATTAGGAAATATTTCCTGATGGTATAAGATGTTCAAGAGTGGGAAATACTGCCTCCAGATGTTAGGGATTTTTAAAGGAGAAGCTGGATAGCCACCTATAACATTTGAAATCCCTTTCAACTCTGTGAATCAAAGATGCATTCACACACACTGAACCTCGGGGGGTGGGGGGTTAACTCCAGACTGGGAACAAGGCTGAAACCTGAAATATTCTGGTATATGCCAGGACACTCAAACACAACTTCTAAAAAACAACCTGAACATATTCCCCGAAAGCAAAAATAGGAAAATGGATTTACTAGGGACCAGTATCAGTACAGTAGGGGTCGCCAACTATTTTGGACCAGGGGGCACTTCTTAAATTTTGAGAGAGTTCGGGGGGGGGCACGCCAGTCACAAAATGACTGCCATGGGAGGATGGCATAATGCAAAATCAGAGAGAATACAATCATGGTGAAGTTTTTCCCATGATTGTATTTTCACACGATAATTCTGCCTAGAAAATAAGACAGAAGCAGGAAAAGTGCATTAAAGGGGATGGCGAAACAGCAGAACCAAACAACTAATTTATCAATCACAGCTCTGACTTCACTTGTTTGCTACAAACAGAGGTGGGAGTAGGCAGGCCTGTTCATTTCACAGAAATGACTTAAAAGGGTACCTGCACATTTTGTTTCATAACTTTCTTTCTAAGGGGGCCGGAGACTTGCTTAAAAAAGAAATAAAGTGCAGTGCCTGGGGTGTAGAAAGACACCTGGAGAATATGATGGGCTGATTTGGCCATGATAAAGCACTTACGTCCAACAGAGTCCTCAAGGAGAGTTAGGTCCCACCACGATGATTTTAATTTGTTTCTTTTGCGTGGCGTTCTTCTTCCATGTCAGCCTCACTGTAAGGTGCATTAGCATGTCATTATTAAAAAAAATCATTTCCTGGCCTATACAGATGGCTTCCTGAAGCAGGAAAAGGAAATTCTACATCAAACACTTGATCAAAATACACATCACTATGCAAAAAGACTCAAATCTATCAGAGCTGAAAATGGGTGTGGAGGGCAAATGTTGACAACTCACCCGCACTCTGTGGAGTGTGCTGCTGCTTTCAGTTGTTCAGACCACTGGAAATTGCACGTGGCTTGTTTCCTCTGCTAGCTTGTAAGCAAGTGAAGGCGGGAGGCCTCAGATGCGATTTAGCAGCAGCAAATTTTGGACAAGCCACTCCCCTCAGGCCATAACTTCACCAGCTCCAGGACCTTGCAGAGAGATGTGAGCTGAGGTCCATTCCCAGAATGCAAACCACAGACAAGCAAAGGCTGCGAAAGGGGGAAGGAAGAGGATGGAGATGACCGAGATATCCGTGAAAGGACTGCAGAGCTAAGGAGAAGTTCAGTTGAGGAAGTTGAGGAAATGCAGCAAACAGGCAGAGCAAAGAACGCATCTGAAAGCAGCACCTGCATAGGGAGATCTTTGTCAAACAGAAAATAAAGGCTTTTTCTCTCTCCCTGATCTGTAATGGCTATATCACCTCTCAAGAGGAATGCAATGGGATGTTTCTGATATTAGGGAACAGATTAACTGGTTTTAATATTGCATGTGTACATTGTTGCTTAACTAGAGATGAGGGTGGGGAGGATCTGCCAAACTCAGATTTGCCTGATTCAGTCTGGGCACAACATGACTCTGAATTGGATCCAGAGCCCACCTCTTTGAGGTGCCCACAGCCTAAAGCAGCTAGGAATCACACTTGGAATTACAATGGAGCAAGTCCCCTTGGGAATGACAGGAGCTGATTATGTTCTGTCACTCTCAGCAAGAATTGTTTGAGGAGGAAACATGGAAAAAGGTAAAAATGTTAGCTCCAGGGGGCTGGCTAAGCTATTTTTGCAGCTTTTGAAAAAGCAACTGTGCTTTAGAGTGCAATGAGTGCACAGAGCGCAACGACACTCTATGGTTTACAGTTTCTGATTCTTTGTTTTCTTTTTGTTATGTTTGCATTTTTCTTTTTAAACAATCAATAAAATATGTAATATATATATTAAAAGGCAATTCTAAATAAACCATATACAGTATCACAAAGACACTGCAGGTTTCACTGTCCCTAATTCTGAGGAAACTAAACCCTGGGACCCTGGAATTTCACACAGCTCAGAGATTGGGGTGATGTGCAACAACACTAGTCATATATCGGATCCCCTCTTAAAATCTCATTTCTGAGGTCTGGCAAGAATGATCTCCCCATTTTACTTTGCTAGCCAGCAGCCAACATTCCATGGCTACTGAGCATGCTTGGGCTTCTCTGGGCAGCTTTCTGGAGGTGTGGAAAAAGTGTTGCTTCCTAGGTTTTTAATTTTTTGTACTTCTGCCAAAACTAGGGTCCCCCAAAGAATATTGACAGCTCCCTCTTGTTTCTCAGTGGCCCCATTTTGGCTACAATCCCTGTCAGTACTCACTACCCATGTTTGCCATTGGAAGAGATGATGCTACTAGGTCCCAGAGGATGAGGCCACTGCCTTGCTGAACTTAAGTGTGTCTAGCTCTGCTCAGTGCCTGGATGGGATGCTAGGTTCCATGAAGTAACAAAACTTGGATATAAATGTAAGAAAAAGCTTTGCATAGAGGTATGAAGTTAACAGAAGCCCAATCAATGTTACTGAATGCGTGGAGAGGACACTTCTTCCTATATGTGCAGGATCCCTCTCCCATTTCCTGGAAGGCAAGATTATGAGCCAGCAAAGCACTCCATAGAGATTCAGTATTACAGATCCAGGTGTGACACATGAGAAATCCAAATTGAATGACTGAGGAGATGGAGATAGAGGATTATAAGTCAGGGGTGGGGAGCCTCTGGACCCAGGACTCCCTGTTTGGTCCACAGGGCCATTCTGGCCATGCCATGCCCCCCCCCCAAGCATCAGCTGATTGTCGGGTCTTCAAAAACTCTGTTCAAAGTGCAGGTCAAAATAATGCTTTGAACAGGGCTTCTGAAGACCCCTAAAGCCAAAAACTGTCTCCATGGTTATTATGATGCCAGGTGATTGTTGACAGGTCATTAATTCTGCCCATACGTCACACTTGGCCTGTGGGGGGGGGGTGAGATGACCATAAGTTGTTTTTTAGAATTGTTGTGAATGTTTTAAAGTGTTTTAAAGGTATTTTAGGTAGTTCAGATCCACATTGTGGTATTGTAACACACTGGCACACTGATTAAAACAACGAAGGGTTGGCTTATTTGTTTATTTCCTTAGTTTTCATAAATGATAAATCGGAGAACCTGCCTGGGAAAGGGAGATGACACAGAAGAGTGGGGGGCCGAGGAAAGAGAAAATGGCCTATTGTGGCTCTTTTTTTGGTTCTTTTGAAAACCACTATCATCTGAGAAACCCAAGTCACACGTTGTGAAATATTGCCTGCATCCAGGGAAGCAAAGGATGCCTCCTCCATTGTGCAAAGAGTTACTGCACGTCCAATAAACACAGCTTGGAGGCAGAGGCATAAAGGAACATCTGCCAGCAGCTGGAGAGCTCCTCCCAACTTGGCCCACAGACATATCTTCACTTCTCTGAGCCTTCCCTTGAAAAGAATAGCAGGAATATCACACAAGGCAGCCAGGAGGTATTGTTCACTTCTGAATTTTGAGTTGTTACACTGACCTCAGCTCCTGCTGCCCTGCCAGGCCATGGGAGAGAGAGCAGGGCTTGGAGGCAGAACAAGATGGTCCCAGATTTAGTCACTGGAAGCATCTCCCATAAGGAGGAGGAGTTGGCAGGCAGGTGATGGAAAAGACCTGACCCTGGAGGGTTGCTGCTGCTGATCACAGAAGACAATATTGGACTACATGAAGAATACTAGTCACCCTCTTCTGCATCCCCTGATCAGCCAAGCCTGCCATACCTTGCCACCACAAAACACCATTCCTGTGGAAGAAGAAAAAGTGAGGAAAGGAGGCATTCCTGCACACACATGCCTGGCACTTGGTGCAGAGGCCAAATCTACTCTGGGGTTGTACCAGATCATTGGACTCTCTGGGATGCTGCTCTAGGACCTGAGCTCTGTGGGTTTTGCAGTGGACAACCAAGCTGAAGGCTGCCTCTGTGCTGGCTTCACACTGTTCAGCAGCACTACCTCATAAGTTGCTGGAGAGTTATCCTGGTTTACAACTAATGGAGGCCCATTGGGTGGAAGGCAGGGAGACTAACACTAGGGTGGAATCTACACACATATAAAAGCCATGCTGAAAATGCTTTTTTTTAAAAAATGCATTGAATTTTCCATAAGGCTCACCATCGCCATCTAGTGTCACATTGTATATTGCACTTAAAACACACTGAAAAGGTTTTATTTGCAGCTGTATAGCTGAGTCCCAGATGAGATGCGAGTGGCTCTGTGGCCTAAACCACAGAGCCTAGGACTTGCTGATCAGAAGGTCGGCGGTTCGAATCCCCGCGAAGGGGTGAGCTCCTGTTGCTCGGTCCCTGCTCCTGCCAACCTAGCAGTTCGAAAGCACATCAAAGTGCAAGTAGGTAAATGGGAAGGTAAATGGCATTTCCGTGCACTGCTCTGGTTCGCCAGAAGAAGCTTAGTCATGCTGGCCACATGACCCGGAAGCTGTACGCCGGCTCCCTCGGCCAATAAAGCGAGATGAGCGCCGCAACCCCAGAGTCGGTCACAACTGGACCTAATGGTCAGGGGTCCCTTTACCTTTACTAGCTGAGTCCCTGGGTGGAATTAGAACCAATGCCTGACAGAGCTAACTAAAGTGGCATTCAAACACCCATTCCCTATGCACACACTGCATTTCCAGTGCTATTTTGTAATCTGTGTTCACATAATGGTATTCATTTGTAGCTGTACTTTGTTATAAAATACTACAGATCAATACACACACTGGGGTCTTTAAGCAGTTCCTAACTGATCTCTAGCCAAGGTTTGAAAGCTTTATACAAGGTAGATAGATCCCCACCAATGCCGAACCTCCCCTCAAACGAATCAGAATCAGCGCTCCAGAAGTAGCTGTTGTTGTCTAACTGGCCACAAGCCTTATGCAACCAGGACAAATGTTCAATAAGTGACCGAAGACCGTGGCCAAAAGTAGGAGAAACTTAAGAGATGAATATCACCCCCCAAAAAAAGAGCAAGACATGGAGTAGTTTTGCCAGCAGTTTTTGCAGAGTTCTGTGAGTTTTGTATGTCACAGGAAAAGAGGAGCCAGCCTTTATAAGAAAAAGAAAACTTGCCTACTGGCCTGCAGTGAATTATTGATAGGGCAAAGTCACACTCATCTATGAAAGAGGAATGAAATGCAACCTCCGCAAGGCCACATGTGTAATGTGGTCCAAAGTTTAGCAAGCACATGCAGCTGCTGGTCTCTTATGCTCAGTTGAGCTCATGTTTGCCAACTTTGCAACCAAAGGAGGAGGTCCCTCAATAAAACATGCAAAATAAGCCACAAACCAACGAATAACAGATTAGTAATGAAATACATATATATAAGGTACAATAAGAAAATACACAACTATGTCTCACTGGAATAAATTTTATAGTAAGGGGGGAAAGCATCCGCCACTGGAATATAAAACTGTGCAACTGAACAAGTTTGTTTTTTCCATTCTGCGCAAGTCTGATTTTGCTAGTCAGGGGGTGGGACAAAAGGCCCATAAGTGTAGAGCAGCCTTCCCCAACTTGGTGTCCTCCAGGAGGTTTGGACTACAACCCCGGTGCTGGCCAGGGCTGACTGGTGTTGCAGTCCAAAACAAATGGAATTGGGAAAAGCTAGAGTGGACAATGTGAACTAGGTAGACTGGCAGTTCTGACATGGCTTCCTAGGTCCCTATACGTAATAGAAATGCAGAAATGACACAACTAATTTGAGTATTCTCTTGCAGACTGTGAAGCAGTGAGAGCAGCCAGAGGAACAGTCAGCAGGGACTGGGAGAGACAACCAAAATAGTTATCTGTTGACACAATTGCCTCTCCGTTCTGCATACTAGACCAACGTTACTGAAACTTGCCAAGAGAATCAGCGATGCTTCCTATGAACTGAATCTCAGAGGTTGGGACTTCATGTTCAATGTACATGTGCTCAACCTCAAAGTTGAGGCTTTCCTCCTTTTGCTCACGGGTGATTAAGCCACAGAGCCTAGGACTTGCCGATCAGAAGGTCGGTGGTTCGAATCCCCGTGACAGGGTGAGCTCCCATTGCTCGGTCCCAGCTCCTGGCAACCTAGCAGTTTGAAAGCATGTCAAAGTGCAAGTAGATAAATAGGTACCGCTCCGGCGGGAAGGTAAACGGCGTTTCCGTGCGCTGCTCTGGTTTGCCAGAAGCGGCTTAGTCATGCTGGCCACATGACCCAGAAGCTATACACCGGCTCCCTCGGCCAATAAAGTGAGATGAGCACCACAACCCCAGAGTCGGCCACGACTGGACCTAATGGTCAGGGGTCCCTTTACCTTTAACTACAGCAAAACAGAGCACTGTCGTCTTGCAAACTATGGGTGACACTATTAAAATGGGGGGGGGAGCAGCCAGCCCCCACCTGTCTGCCTTGGTACTTACAACCAGTCCAGGGGTTTTCAGGCCTTGGCTTTCAGCTTCCTCCTTAGTCTCTGTGTTGCCTTTGTAAAATTCAGCAGGTAAAAGGGGATAAAGCAAAATTAGTTGGCTCTGCCTGTCACTGACCCCGGCTCCCTCATCTGTTGGTCTCCCTGCTTTCCACCCCACTAGCCTGAATGGGCACCAGCCATCACTGCTTGGAAGTAGACAGATGGGCAGGTAGTTTTTCCTCGGAAAAGTCATATGGGTTTTCTCTTAGTCCAGCCCACTGCTCAGGACAGGAACCTTACAATTACAGCACCGGGACAAGTGGCCATCCAACTTCTGCTCAAATGTTTCCAGTGAAGGGCAGCCCATCACTTCCCAAAACGCACAGGCATAGGACTGTTCCACTTTCAACCAACCCTCAAGGTTGGGACATTTCTCCTCAAGTTTAACTACAACCTGCTTTCCCTGGCCACTTCCACCCATTGGTTCTAACCCAGCTCTCCAGAGAAGCAGCCCGCTCCATTGTTTGCGTGAGAAAAGCCCTCCAGATATTTAAAGGCTGCTACCATGTCTCCCTCTTAATCCTCTCTCCTCCAGGCTAAACATACTCGGCTCAACCGTTTCAACCGTTCCATATAGGAGTTTTGTTTCCATAACAGCATTCCAGAAAAATGCTATAACTGCCGCATACACACACAATCCCTAGAACGCTGCCAAATACAGTTCATAAATCTTCTCTTGTTAATGACAAAAGCATCGCTCTCTTGGAATGATGTTGCCTGGCCAAGCAGCTGCTAGACATATATAGAGAGTGTGTGTAACAAACACACACACACACGAATGAGAAATAGAGAGTGCTTCATTGTGTATTATTGGCATGATCCAGCAAAACTGGGGCAGCCTAGCTGTGAAGGTGCAAACCACACCTGGGGTCCCATGGACAAGAGCCCCCTGGACCTGCCCCTTCTTGTAACCTTGATGGCTATGCTCTGCCTTCACATTTGGAGGCAGCAATACTTCTGAATCCCAGTTGCTGCAAAGCCCAGGAGGCTTATGCTTGGGTCCTGCTTGCAGGTTTCCCACAGTGGTCGCTCACTGTGATGCTGGTTGGATGTTGGATGCTGAACGAACTAGAGGAGCCACTGGCCTGACCCACCAGGCTCCTCTTACCTTCTCTTCCCCCATTGCAACCTGTCTTGCCCAAAGACCCTCCAAAGCCTAGAGCAGAAACTGAAAACATAGCTATGCAGATGGTTAAACCATGTCCCACCAGTATCAGTAGTGGCTGGACATTACCCAAATAAATATTTGTTTTTACATTTATATCCTGGGACCTGTAGTTTACCCTCACAGAGATAGTGCTATCACAAGAGATAGCACCCTTAGCGAAGTTCCCAGGATTATTTGGGGGAAGCCATGTGTTTTAACTGTATGATGTGCACACAGCTGTTGCTGCAATGCAATACATTTACCTGAAGACATCCCCATTTGAAGTCAATGGTGCTTACTCCTGAGTAGGCATATCTGAGATTGCTTTCAGCTTGGTTTAAGCATCTGGTGTGCCAGAAGTCCCTGCAGCTTGGTCCCACACACAGGTTACCCAGAAGTGACTCTCCCTCCACACCATCAGGGCTTCCTCTTAAGTGATGGTGGCAGAAGTAGGAGCCATGAAGCCCAATTCCATCCACAAGTGCTTGAGAATAGCATTCCAAGGTGCACAAGATCACTCTTTTTACCTCCTCTGAAGTGATTTTGTAATCTAATTATTTTTGGTCTTCCTCACGTAGTGAGATGGCCACTATGGGCGTAGCAAATATTTTTGTTGAGGGGGGGCAGAACCAATGTGATTGGCCAGTTAGTTAAGTACTTCTATTGTTTTACTTGATTGGGGAGGCAGCTGCCCCCCCCCCACGGTCATACATGTAAGAAGTCTTTAATCTGAACAGCATTTGGACAAGAAGATGTGTAAAGGAAGAAAAAGAATGAAAGAAACGCTATGCAAATATACTCTGAAGTGTATTTAATTTCCCACCAAACTTTTTTTTAAAAAAACAGTTTAACATATAACAGGTCCACAATTGTTTGGTTAATTTCCATAGTCAACTTCCTTCTGCTTTTTCCCCCTATTTTGTATGTTTCAGTTGACAGTCCTCTCATATTCCGGTAATAGCAAGGAAATTTCTTGTGCGAAGTTGTTTTTTAAAAACATTTTCTTTTACACGAACTCCCCTGAGCATGGCCTTCATCACGTCCCAGATAGTTTGGTGTTATAAACTGGTTGCTAAGATATCCGAAATGAGAAGACTACCCCCAAGAGGCTGGCAATCTTGTCGGCACTTTGAAAAATCTCCAGACCTGAGGAGCACCCATTCTACAATACTGTAAATACCCGCCAGCGAAGCACCAGTGAAGTAAAAAGAAAAGAAAAGAAACGGTTGTCAACGACCTATTTGCAGTCAGTCCCTCCCCTTACCCCCAAAAATTAATCTGGAAGCCCCCTCGTTTATTTAAACATAAGAACTCGACCCTGCCGCAGCGTCATGTGCGAAGGCGCCCCTTCCCTCGCCTTCTACCTGCTCCTGGCTCAGCCTTCCCAGACAACGCCAAGCCCCCCTCCGTCTCCCCCCGTGTTTCCTTCAACTCCGAAGGGGAGGAGACTAAAAAGTTCTCCCTCTCCTCCAGCCGCGACGGTAGCGGCAATCCGAGCCACGGCAGCAAGGCGGACGGAAAGCGCGAGCCCGAGCCGAGGCGCCATCGGGGGCCGCCGAGGTGAGGGACAAGTCGGGGATCGGAATGGGGCGCCTGAAAGCGGGGCGGGGAGGACAGGCACCCCCACTTTCCTCGTCCTGGCGGGAAGGGAGGCGGGGAGGGAAGGCGCGGTCATCCTCCATATGCATCCCCGGCAAGTCTCGACGCTGCGCTCGCGGGTGGGCTTTTGCGGAGGGGTCGCTTCTCTCCCTCCCCCCAGAAAAAGTAGCCCCCGGTCTTTCTCTGCCCGGTGCCTGCAGCGGGGCGGGGGGGGGAGGGAGCCGGGAAGAGCCGCCCGCGCGCTTGGAGAGGGTTCCAAGGCGCAGCTCTTGGGGAGGGCGAGGAAGCGCCGTCGCCTGTCCGGGCCGGCCCAGCTATGCGGGGAGGGGGGCGTTTGGAATGCGAGGAGGGCTGGCGGCGCTTCTCAATGGGGAGAAGCGCCCTAGGTGGTCACTCTCCTCGGCCAATGGTCGGGCGGGAGGACGGCGCCGGCCAATGAGAGGTTGGCGCCTGCGAACGAATGTAGCCAAAGAAGCCGCTCTCGGCCAATGGGAGAGCAGGTGGGCAAGGCCGGGGGAGTGTGAATGGGTGAGTGGCAGGGGCGCTTGCAGCCTTGTCCCTGCATCTGAGCCGAAGATAGGGGCTTGTGGGGTTTGTTGTGTAATAGGCCCACAGCCCTAGAGAAGGACTTTTCTTTCGGAGGGAAAGGGGTGACTCATGTGTGGCTTTGGTGGGGAGGCTGAAGCAGATGCTGAAGTCCCGGTATTTTTGGAGCTCTGGTTCCAAATGCCTGAGAGTCTTAGACAGACATGGGAGCTGATGTTTTGTATGCCTGAAGGTCCCAGGTTCACTGCGAGAGACTTCAGTGTTTAGAGCTGCTGCCAGTTTGTTTGTTTATATTTATATATACCACTATATCACCAAAATGTATCAAAGTGGTTTACAACAGTAAAAGTAAGATAAAGCCATATAATAAAAGCACAAAAAGTTGAAAACAACAAAGCTAGAAGCAAAGATCAGTAGACCATTGTGGAGGATGTACTCTTAATTGCCTACATAGACCTGACAGAACAGAAAAGTTTTCAGCAAGTGTTTAAAAGTTGGCACAGAAGATGCCTGCTGAATCTCCCTTGGCAGAGAGTTCCACAGGACAGGGTTTGGTTTCTTCTTGTTGTCAAACGAGCCTCACCAACTCTGAGAAGGACCAGAAATGCTCCTGCAGGTGATCTCAGTGGTCAAGCTGGGATATAAGGGTTTAGGCAGTCCATGAGTGTCAACGGTATTGAGCCGAATGAACTAATGGTCTGACTTGGTGTAAATGTGTTGATGGACCAGATGCATCTTTGGTCACAGATTTTAGCTGAGTGGTAGAGCATCTGGTTTGCGTTCAGAAGGCCCCAGATTCAATTCCCAGCATCTCCATGTAAGGCTGGGAGAAACCCATGTTTCTGAGCTGGTTTGGCCAATGATCTGATGTGGTATAAGGCAGCTTCCTATGTTCCTAAATTCAAATTGTACAATCAGCATTGATTGGGAGGCCTTACGCAACAGAGTCACCTCCCCAAAAGTTTGGACTTTATGTGATAAGAAATGTGACATGAAGATGCACTGGATGGTGAACATAAGAATAGCCAATGGCCCTTCTAGTCCAGCATCCTGTTCTCACAGTGGCCAACCAGATACCTGTGGGAAAGTGTGGGATGACCCCGATGCAACATCATTTAGCCTCCCCACATATATATGTGGATGCAAACTCAATAAGCAGCTTGTCATTTATTCAACTCTTGACATTCTATTTTTATTGCCATTTTTCTGCCCATTTTAAGACTCCAGTACAGCGTTTTCATGCATACTTTGTCCCCATCACATAAGACAATAAATTTGTGTGCCGGTAGTTCGTGACAGGCACTTTCTAAGCCCAGCACCTCAGACAATCACATTCAAATTTATTAATAAGGCAACTCAAATGCAAGCTGTGGCAAAACAAAAACACATGAGCATAAATTATACATAAGGGCAAAAACACCTGACCTATACAATAGATAAGGCATACATAAAAAAAAAAAAAAAAATCCCTTGGGGCACCTGCCGCTAGATCAGCCTCTGGATGAGGACTCCTGTAAATGCTATTTATAGCTGTGCCAGAGAAGAAATTGCAGGAGGTGCTGGTCTTTGTTCCTCTGTGCTACAAGCTGTGCCTCTCCGAATTCCTTCTGGAACATTGTGCTGTATTTATTTGTGAATACTTGTATGCAGTTCTGTGGTCCGAGGGCTCCCAAAATGCTCTGCATAAAATGTTGCGATAACAGTTGGTCCATAAAAAAACACAATGAAAAATAAAAACAGCAAGAACATAAAAAGAGCCTGTTGCACCAGCCTGTTGCCCATGGCCCATCTAGTCCAGCATCCTGTTCTCACACTGGCCAACCAGGTGCCCCAGGTCCACAACAGCAGCATCTAGCATCCCTCCCTAGTATCACAGACCTCTGATATAGCAGGACTCAAGAGCGTCATCACGGCAGCCATGTCCAGCAGCAGGTTCCTGCCTCCTTTATTCCTGTTCGTTGCGGTACATACATTGGGTTTAGGCAATTAGGCTGCCTTGACAGCGGTGGGCTGACCATCCTCCATGCCTTGTACTTATCCAATTAAGACTCTCCAGCACCCTCCCATTAAGGTTTCCTGGAGACTTTTCCAGCTTGGCAGAGCTGTTGCCTGCTGCACTCTGGTTGCAAATCCTTCAGGAGCTTGAGTTAATTTCAGCTCTTGGAAGCAAGAGGCGCTCTGCAGAGGGGAGTCTATGAAATGCACAGAAGCCCCCGCAGAAGTATTTGAAGAACCCATGCATTCAGGGGTCAGTCACACTCTGCCACAGATGCCTTATGGCTATGGCTGCTGAGCATGGCTTGGTTCTTCCACTGGCAGTGGAAACAGGGAGACCCACAAATCCTGCCTCAGTTTCTCGGCTAGTAACTAGAATTCTGTGCCACAAAAAGCTGCATTTTGTGACCTTTATAAATTATGCAGATTTGTTTTCTGATTTCTCCCACCTGCATTGTTGCTAGTCAGGGGATGAGAAAGAGCCCTGCAAAGCATATACAGGGATTCCTCTGGCTGCTTGGCATTTCCTTGGCATTGACCACAAACTTTCAGGCAGCCGCAAGGACTAGAAGCTTTCCTTGAAAACAGAATCTGCTTAGGAAAAGGAATTCTATAGTTAATGCCTTTTTTAAATAGCTATTCTGTGCTTCGCCAACCTTCCCTACAGACCCCCTTGGGTGTTAAGATCAACAGAGAGACCCTCATGATATTTCTGCTGCCTTGGACTACTGGCAGATGAAGACCAGGAAAGGGCATTATCTGGCTGCCCCTAAGCTGTGAAATTCCATCCTCACAGAGGTATGGCTGGTACCTTATAGTTTCCGTCATATGCTGAAGGAGTACCTCTTTACTCTGGCCTTTGGCATCTGAAATATACAGTATAGAAATATTAGGACCCTTTGGCATCTGAAATATATATAAATATTAGGAACCAACCTATTGTTCTTATTGTACATTGTTTAAATTAACTGATTTTAATATTGTTGTAACCTACCCTGGTACTGGGTTAAACCACAGAGCCTAGGACTTGCTGATCAGAAGGTCGGCATTTCGAATCCCTGCGATGGGGTGAGCTCCCGTTGCTCAGTCTCTGCTCCTGCCAACCTAACAGTTCGAAAGCACATCAAAGTGCAAGTAGATAAATATGTCCGGCGGGAAGGTAAACAGCATTTCTGTGTGCTGCTCTGGTTTGCCAGAAGTGGCTTAGTCATGCTGGCCACATGACCCAGAAGCTGTACACTGGCTCCCTCGGCCAATAAAGTGAGATGAGCACCGCAACCCCAAAGTCAGTCACGACTGGACCTAATGGTCAGGGGTCCCTTTACCTTTCACCCTGGGACTATATGGAGAAAGAGAAGTAAGATATCAAATAAATGAATAACCTGATGCCCTCCAGATGCCTTGGACTACAGCTCTCATCAGCCCCAGATGTGTTGGCTGGGCTTGATGGAAGTTGTAGTCCAAAGCATCTGGAGGGCACCAGGCTGGCGTAAGGCATATATGATGCCCTGATAATAGGGTGGCCAGGTGCTATATTATGAGAGGACTGGCCAACTCTTATCTTTGATAACTATATAAAAAAATGATATTTCAGTAGCTGCATATTTTCTGAGTCCTGAGCAGAGCAGAGTGGGGGCAGGGGGAGACCTTGCTACTGTTGTTCCTTAGCTTTTAAGAACATAAGAAGATCCTGCTGGATCAGGCCAATGGCCCATCTAGTCCAGCATCCTGTTCTCACAGCAGCCAACCAGATACCCCAGTGGGAAACCTGCAAAGCAGACCTAAATGCTAAAGCACTCTCCTCTCTGCAGTTTCCAGCAACTGACATTCAGAAGCGTTAACTGCCTCTGATCGTGAAGCCAGAGCATAGCCATCATGGTTAGTAACCAATTCTAACACCGCCACCACCCCAATCCTTGTGTGTTAAACACACCGGTTTCAGCCTTTGTGTGTTAGTCTCTTGTCTGCCTGTTGCGATATTACAAAGGCTAGAGAATCTTCAGGAGTTTCCACCATCTCTGCTACCCCACTATCTTGCTTGCATCTTGGACAAAGGAATAAGCAAAAGGGGCTGCCAAGCCTGGGCTGGTTGAGGGGGAGGGGGGTAGCTGTGGAAAAGGACTCCTTCCTCGTAGGAAAAGATGCTTTGTTCGCACAGCTGGTTTAGCCATTATGCGCTTGGGCACCAGCCAAACCAGGGTCCCTCTTGCGCTGCAGTTGTCTGCCACATGGTGCCTCCCTTCTTTCCTTCCTGCATTTGTCTCTTGATCCCATGGCAGAGAAGCATCCCACCCTGTATCTCTTGGGGAAAGGTAGTGGCATTGAGGTCATCTGCTAGATTTGATTTCCAGTATGGATCTTGTTCTTCTGCTATTGTCAGCAGTGATACTGAGCCTTCCTTATGACCCATTTACTTTTTGCTGGGCAGGAAAATAATCAGCAGCTAGGTGTGCAAAGTCCCATCTATCCAAAATCCACATGCGCATCGGAATGCAGAACCAAGTGCTGTTATCTATCAGTATTGCTCGTTCAATAGCAGACCTGCATCTTTGGCTATGCACAGCAATCAGAAATCAGAGAGTGACACAGAAAGCTGCCTTATACTGGGTCAGATCATTTGACAATGTAGTTCAGTATTGTCTACACTGACCAGCAGCAGCTCTTCAGGGAGTCTTTCTCAATTGGCCTTCAATATTGCAGGAATTGAAAGTGGGACTTAAGGCATGCAAGGCAGATACTCCACCACTAAGCTACAGCCCTTGCCTTAAAAATAAAGTAAGATTCCAATCATAGAATCATAGAGTTGTGGATTTGGAACTTGGATCCCTGAGGATAATCTAGTACAACCTCCTGCAATGCTGTCCCATAGGGGGATTGAACCTGCAACCGTGGTGTTATCAGCACCATCCTTATGGTTCTAAACAGTGGGCTGATTTAAATAGGAGCCAAGGAAGTTGCCTTATACCAAGCCAGACGAATGATCTATCGCACTCTGTATTGCATACACTGACTGGCAGCACCAATGGGTTTTTCCCAGCCCTACCTGAAGGTGCCTCGAATTGAACCTACGACTTCTGCAGGCCAAGCAGATGCTCTGCTACTGAGCGATGGCCCAACACATCAACTGGGAATACATCAATGGGCCTTGCGTGTCTGGAATCTTGCAGCACTGCAGAAATGCATAGAAACCCCAAAACACTTCCCTCTTGCGTTCCCTTTGGACGGGAGCAGCTGGCATTGTGGAGTTTGGTGGAGGCAGTCTGGGGCCTCTGAAGGGCTCGGTGGAAAGCGAGCAGACATCCCGCCCCTGAAACTGAGTAGACCCCTGCCGTCCTCCTCCTCCCTCCTGCAATGTCTGCTTGGTGTCTGGCTGCTAGCACTGGGGTCCTTTTATGTGGGCAAAGCTCTCTGCAGATGGGCATGCCTGCAAACAATTAGGACGAGCTGTGGGCGGCGCAATTTCTGTGGCTCTGGTCGATACTTTCCAAAAAGCAAAAAGACACACACACACACACACACACACACACACACCCCCAAATGGAGCAGAAACACTAATATGTAGAGGTGAGGAGATTTGGGGCATATTTTTTGCTGCCTCAGGCAAAATACCCCCCCTGATGATGATGATTATACCCCACCAATCTGGCTGAGTTTCCCCAGCCACTCTGGGCGGCTTACAGAACATACAAAAACATAGTAAACCTTGTCTTGTAGCATATTGAGTGATCAAGAGTGGTTAAGGATCTGATTTTTCTGCCTCTTTCTTCCTCCTCTTTGAGCTGGTGATGATCAAGAGGCTCTGGATTGTGTCCCCTAAAATACTATGTTAATAGTAGTCCTTATCCTTTTCAGACCCATGTTCCACCTGTTTCCCAGACATGCCTTTCAGGATCCACATCTTAATATATATCTTTTTGCCATTTATTTTTCTGATAGTGATTCCTGCCTTGCAAGGGGTTGGAGCAGATATTCCTTCGGGTCCCTTCCAACTCTGCAGGTCTATGATTCTACAGTAAAGATGCTGTTACAACCCACTTACGTTAGGCAGCAACTGAGTGGTGCAGGACAGGGGAACATTTTGCCCATGAGGGCCACGTGCGGTGATAGGTGGGCAGTCTGGGGCCACATGCCAGTGGGCATCATCCAAGCCAGTGGTGGGCAGCGTGGGCTGGGCTGCTGGTGAGAGAAGGGATGGAGGGCCACTCCACCAATGCATCTGGGGCACGAAACAGCTTTGCCTTCTCTTTGGAACTTCACCTTTTTTTTCCTAAATTGAAAAGCCCCAAATATTGTGGAGTTAAAAGTAACTGTAATGCAAGGCACACCTGCTGGAATTCCAGCTTCCAGACAGCAAATAACAGCACCAAAGTCTTGCCTTGTTCTCCAACTGACCATCCTAGTCAAGGGGGTGCAGCCCCTGGTTATATTGCACTTACATTTCCATACTAAACATTACCCCCCTGATCCTGGCTCAGTTTCTTCAACGTCTTGTTCCTTTTAGAGCAACTGCCATCCCTGCCACTCAGAACCAAATACTTCCTCCCTTCTGCTGCTTCCTTCTCCTCCTAGAAAGTCCTAAAAGGATTGAGCAGCTCAGCCCTTCCCAGGTGATGCATTTCCAGAGCAGACTTACCAGTATGTCAGCATCTCCTGTCCTGTTTGATTTATTTCACCAGCTTATACCATCATGCCTTTAGGCAGGCGGTGAGTTGGTGCTTAACAAGGAAGGCAACTGGCACAAGCTGGGTGTGCCTGGATTTGCAAAGCCCCTCTTGAGACATCCTCAGCTCATCTCTCCCTGCCCTGAGCTTCCCCTCTCTTTAAAAGGGCAGGAGGGGTAAGCAATGCCTGCTCTCCGAACCCGTGGGATAAGGGGGTGCTATCCTGGCTAAAATGTGTCTGTGAACTCCCATAATCCCTCTTGCTTCTCTGGATGAAGGGTAGAGAGGTCTCTCTCGCTGTGTGTGTGTGTGTGTGTGTGTGTGTGTGTGATAGCTGTCAACTTACAGATTTGAAAATAAGGGACCAGCAGCCTTGAAAATAAGGGATCAGCAGCCAAAATAAGGGATTTTAGTCAACCAGCAGCCAAACAAAGCTTCAAGCGGTGGTTCCCATAGTGCAGCAACCCTGCAAAGAGGATGCAGCAAAGAAAACCACCGTCACCTCTCTGCTGGGAAGCGCTGAGCAAAGGCGAGTCCCCAGGCAACGCGGCCGATTTGATCGGCACAAAGCATGCAAGCTCCACCCCCCCAGTCGTTCTTATACTCCTTATTGGGTGAGCAACGCAGCCAACCAACACAGTTAGAGCCTCCTTCCTCCCTGGCCGGCAGGGAGGGAGGGAGAGGAGCTGCTTCCTTTGAAACCCGGAAAATTTAAGGGACATCACCAATAAGGGACAGCAGCGGGACACGGCGCTGGGATAGGGGACTTTGCCACCAAATAAGGGACGGTTGACAGCTATGGTGTGTGTGTGTAAAAACTAGACAACTGTTGGGGGGGTTACATTTATAGCTCTGCCCACTTCTACCTCTGGCCCTGCCCACCATTGGCACATAGCTCTTGGAACCGCCACCCCCAGGTCCAGAAATATTATTGAAAAGCATTGAACTCAAGGTTCTGCCCCCTCTCCTGTAGAAGCCAAGTTCTCTCTATTGGGTTCTGCCCCCTCCCACAAAATTCCTGGTTGCACCCATGCTAACATTTACATTGTCTTTTCTGTAAAGGACTATACAGTATCTGTGTTTGCAGGGGGGCAATAACAGCAGTTTTAAGTGCTACAAAAATGCTACCTTGGGAGAAAAGGCCTTGGTCCTATTCCAAAAATGAGTGACAGTTGTGCATTTATTAAATGAAAAGATCCTGTATTTCTGTGGAAAGGAGAGCACGGTCTGTAAAGAAAATACCATGCTTTGTAGGGTGATTTTGCCATCCAGCTGGCATTAACTTTACTCAGGAAATTCCTACAGGATCTTGAGAGGTTTGGGGAGATGCTTACTTGTGGCTCCCTTTCAGCACTTAAAAACTGCATCCATTTGCTTTGATTAACCGATGCAAACAAGCAATGGCGGGCTCTCATCTCCCCCACTCTCACTTCTGGCACACATCTACACATGTGGCAGCTCCACCACAGCGCAGCCTCATGGAGTGTGTTTGCTTTGTGCATGGGAAACCTTGACAGCCTTGGGAATGTCATACTCTTCTCAGCCTTACCTACCTGACATAAATAAGATGAGAGTTCCAGAGCACTTTGCGTACTGAAAAATGCTTCAGGAATGGCTAGCAATGGCATGCTTAATGTGAAATGTTGAAAGCTACTAAACAGCAGAGTGTGTGTGTGTGTTTCGGCAGGGAGGGAGGTGTTTGCAAGATGGTTGGGCTGTGGTGGCCCCTCTTAGCTGCAGGAGCCCTGGGTGGGAGGGCAAAGGTCAGGCATGTTTATCTAGGCTTGCTCAGGGGACAAAGGCAGGGAGCCCCCGGCAGCTGTTCTCCAACATGGAGAAGGAAGATTTCGGGTGTTTGAAGATTAGAAGGAACAGATTAGTCATTTATCAGAACTGCTGGGACTGGGAAAAGATTGCTTTGTTGGCAGTCATAGTATACGCCCCAGGAGCCCACTTTCTATAATTTTGCACAGAGGAGCCCCAGATTCCATTGTTCATAACCTACCAAATATGATAAATCTGGCAAGGGTCCTGTGTAGGCCCCTTCAAAACACATGGGGACTGTGCAGAAGTACTGTTGTGTTCTATGCACGAGAGCCCTCTCTGCTCCTGTGGTTTCCAGCAACTGGTATTCAGGAGCGTTACTGTGGAGGCAGAACATAGGCACCATGGCTAGCAGCCATTGATAGCCCTCTCCTCCATGAATTATTTGACTAATTCTATTTTAAAACCATCTAAGTTGAGTTCCACACACTAACTGTACTGCGTGAAGAAGTACTTTCTTTTCCTCTGTCCTGAAACATCCAACATTCAGCTTTATTGGATTTCTACAAGTTCTAGGGACGTGGGTGGTGCTGTGGTCTAAACCACAGAGCCTAGGACTTGCCGATCAGAAGGTCAGTGGTTCAAATCCCCGCGACGGGGTGAGCTCCTATTGTTCAGTCCCAGCTCCTGCCCACCTAGCAGTTCGAAAGCACGTTAAAGTGCAAGTAGATAAATAGGTACCACTCCAGCAGGAAGGTAAACGACATTTCAGTGCGCTGCTCTGGTTCGCCAGAAGCGGCTTACTCATGCTGGCCACATGACCCGGAAGCTGTATGCGGACAAACGCCGGCTCCCTCGGCCTATAGAGCAAGATGAGCGCCGCAACCCCAGAGTCATCCGTGACTGGACCTAATGGTCAGGGGTCCCTTTACCTTTACCTTTACAAGTTCTAGCATTATGAGAGAGTGGTGGAAATTTTCTCTATCCACATTCTCCATGTCATTCATAATTTTATAAGCTTCTATCATGTCGCCTCTTCCTTGCCTTTTCTGTAAACTAAAAATGCTGCGAGCTTTCCTCATAGGAGAGTCACTATCCCGTTTCTGAACATGGTCACAGGGAGGTGGGGGTCGCTTATTAATGATGATGTACATCCCAGAATCCTTTGCACCCTTGCAAGTGTTTCGCTTGGGCAAAACTCCCCCATTGCACCGATGAGCCGATGGTCTTGGGTCAAACCAGCCTTGAAGCAGACCCTCTTGGCAACATCTTCAAGCCTTCCTGGTCTGCCAGCGTGTCTCTCTGTGGCCATCTGCTATGTCCTGAATGGCTTCCATTCCCCCGACTGCTCCCCCTTCTTGGCTGTGTCTCCTCCAGTGATTTACACACCTCTCTGTCCTTTTAACAGGCATCCTCTTTCTTAGCAGCCTTTTCCTATTTGTTTTTTTAAAGGGTATAAAGATGTGAGAGAGTGGGGAGGAGCATACTAGGTAGCAACGGGTAGGGGATGTTGAACATCCTGGATGAATTTTGTGAACACCCCAACATTTTTTCCTATATTTCCCCAACTCTCCTTCGGCAACTTATAAGAAAAAAAATGCTCCTTTTCCCTTATGGGGTACCCAAGAGCCCATATAGAGTCCTTTTGTAGGTTCTCTATCGGTAGAAGAAAATAGCAGAGGTCAACCAGAGAATAATGAGAAGCAAAGCAGCTAGTAAGCCTGATCTTTATTAACTGTTGCAACAGGTTGCTCACAACCACATGCAGGAGGCAGGAGGGAGCCTGAACAATGGTGCGCAAGCCCTTATATAGACTTTTGAAATTGTCCACCCTGCAGCCCAAGACCACCACCACCCATACATCATACATACATACATCAGAGAATCCTGTCTGGCAGGAAAGCTGTTGATGGGTTTACCTGGCTATTAATGGGTTTACCTGGACAACCTGGTTATTCTTTTGTGATAATAAATACTTAATTCCTGAGTCCAGGTCACAGGCTCGCCCTATTCATATCTTAAATGTGCCCTTAAGGCAGGATTTGTGAGCAAACAGACAATGGGGAGGTTTTCTCATTTCTTCCGTCCTTGCAGAGAAACATTTGAGATCAATTCGGGAGGGACAAAATGGTTTCAGGACTTTTTCCTGTACTGTTTCAGACATGTGGTTTATATATTTATGTATGTGTTTGCTTGATACATTTATTTTATATCATAATTCTCATAGCACAACTAATGCTAGCAATCACATGTAGCTGATGCTCACAGGTGAATCTCCGACTTTTTAGATGTTCACAACATTAGATTACCAGCCGTTTCATACCAACGCCGACAGCTGCTCTATTTCGGACATTCATTTTTAATGTATATCAAGTACAAATTGGGGTAGAGAAATCTGTGGCCTTCCAAATGCTGTGGGAATCCCATCAGCCCTGCCTAACGTTGCCAGGAACAATTGGAGGTGTAGTCAAGAAACATCTGGAGGACCACATCTGCTTGTTGCTGTGGAGGACCACGGCTTGTGTAAAAGCCAATTGCTTTTCAGCACAGTCTTGGAACATATATGCAGGAAATCAGCTGAGTTCGCAGTTTGATGCACCTTTGCTGGCAAATGCAAGGCTCGCTGTCTCCCTGTGGCTCTGTCAGGCTGCCCTTACATCCATTCCACCATGAGCACCTCTTGAGCCAGGATTGAAAGCTCGCAGATCTCAGTCCAAGTACACGTGGAACCTCCAAATTGGCCCTTTCTCACATGGTTTTAGAGCTGGGCCCAGAAAATACTGTGAATTGCTGGAAACCATCTGGGGCGATAGGGGACCAGGCAGGAGGAACAGGGCATGGGTTTGGAAGATCTCACAGATCTCTGCCTATTTGCCAGCCTCTTGAGACTGGGAAGGGTCTCCTGTCATCATTTAGGGGGCTTCTGCCTCCAGCTGCTTGTCTGTTAAGTAACTAGAGAGCAGCAGACTTCTGGACTGAGGCTGGGGGAAGGAGAAAGGCAGCCAAGGAATTTGGGTTGGAAAGATGTGTCTGGAAGAGGCTCCATCTTTCCTTGTTTTGTTTTTTGGTTTCTTGTGGGTGGATGTAAACGCAAGCCAGACTTCCTGTGAGAGGGAGGAAAGGGGCCCAGGATTTCTCTGGATCATCTTTAGGCAGCCAAGAGAGTGGAGCAGTCGAAGCAGTAGAGGGTGAGAAAGTGGTAGAGTTGGGATAGGTTTGGGGCAAATGCGGCGAATGCTGAGGGTGGGAGCAGGGCATGGTGCCTCCATCTCTGAAACAAGCTTCACTATTGCATGCATATATGAATGATTTAAACACACAGTCCCTCCTAACTGGGAGATTTGTGTACGTAATAATAGATTCCCAACAAAAATCCACTTTTAAAAGTGACAACAGTATCACACAACACTCCCTGCCTAAACTGCCCCATCCCAAGGCATCACCCCTGATTAATGCTGGCAGGAAGACATCACTTGTTTCTGTCATACCAGGGACAAATTTCTTTTGTATTGAATCCATACCCCGCCCTTCCTCCCCTAGGACCCCAGAGCAGCAAGCAAACACACAACTCAAAAAGAAAAAGCAAACACCTTCAGAACAGTTTATAGCACTGGTGTCCAAACTTTTTTCAAAGATGAAGTGAACATGCGTGAGGGCTGGACAAAGTTGTTGAGCTTCTTTTAGGATTGCTCCCCACAGAAATTGTTGGGTTTAACTTACATTTACACTTAGATGTTGAGGAGACAGAAGAGAACAGTGACTGTGGTCAAACGTCAATGAAACAAGCTCTTCATCATTGTTGGCATCTCCTTTCCTGGGCTTTAAAACTCCTGAGACTCTACAGCAGCCTTTGTCAACCTGTTGCCCCAGATGATGGGAGACTACAACATGCAGCAGCAACAGCAACAGATAGCATGAGAGCTGAGGCATGATTTGATGAAGTGAACATGCGCGAGGCCCGACCATTTTGCCTGACCTTCTTAGAATCATTAAAATCCAATGCAAATTTTATGCAACGATTTTATGCAAAGTTTATTGCAAATGGCATGCTTTTCATTTCGTCACATGGATGACAAATCTATACAGGTGTTAAATCACTCTGCCTTTCATATCTGAAGGCCAGATGAAAAATAAATCCCGAAAGCTGAAATATATGTCAGGAACATTGTAAAGTACATTACACAGTGATAAAGGTTGTCTGTCAACTTTTAAGTTCACAACATATGAACAGGAACATAACACCAGGTATACTTGTTGTGTCCAAATATATTTATACCTGATTTAGACCAACTGACATTAACTGGGATTTTACAATGTATTCATCTCAATTGGGGGGGGGGACATGCCTGCACTAATGCGAAGGGTGAAACAGAGATCTTCTGGACTGCAACTGAGGGATCCCCTCCCCCTCCTGCTTGCACATAAGTAGGAGTGGGATCGGGGCTGTTTTGATGGGATCCCTGTCCCCTCCTGCTTGCACGCAAGTTAGAGTTGGGATGGGGCTGCTCCGATAGGCAGTGCGAAGTCTCCCTTCCCAGCTGAGGGATCCCCACCCCCTCCTGCTTGCACACAAGTAGGAATGGGATTGGGGGTGCTCCGATGGGAAGGGAGGCACCACGTTGCCCAAGCCTCGCCACTGCCGCTCTCGGCCCTCCTTCTCCACCTTCCATGCCTGACCCACTGCGCACCACTTCCTCACCACCACCAAAGAACCAACAACTCAGGGGCTGCCCAGGCTCATGGAGAAAGGAGATAGAAGCCTGAGAGGAAGGGGAAACATGGCAGTTGAGGTCAAGGTGGTGGCTGCCCCTCTGCCACCGCCATCGCTGCAGCATCAACGTCCTGAATGTGTACTATAGTATTTATTTATTTAGCCACATTCCCCCCCCCCAGCTGACCAGATTGGTCGACCCAAGGAGTCACGCAGCCAGGACTCCCTAATGGCCACTCCCCCTGTGCAGAGGGGAGAGCTCATGACAAGCCCACAAAAAGGAAATGGCTTTGGTGGGCAGGCGCTTAGGGGCCGCAAGAGATTGTTTTTTCAAAATTGCTGGGGGCGGCATTTGAAACCAGCCCGGGGGCCACTTTGGACATGCCTGGTTTCTAGTGTTTTAAAAAACAATTGCGATCAAAAACAGTCCAAAACAGTTACAGTTAAAAGCATTCTTCCATCCAGTAATCTCAGGGTTGCCAGGAACAGTATCCTTCACCCACCAAATGTGCCTCGGCAAGCTGAATATTCACTTCCTTCTCACAAGCTGCTCTGTTCATCAGCATTCTATTGTTGACACGTTTCCCCTCAGCAGCTGGAATGTCCACAAACATCCCATAGCATCACAGGAACTCACATCAATGGCTAGGTTGGTGCCCCATATGCAGAAAGATATTTTAGCCTATGTAAAATGTGACTCTTTACAAGACTCCTGTTTTGCCATACTGTATGTGACTGGGAGTGAACATTTTTGCCTCCCAGGTAGGAAAAATGGTTCTCTCAAGAGCCGGTTCACTTCTCTGCCTAATGCCTCCTGCCTTATTTTTAAGCACAGGCGAAGGGCAAGTGATCCATTTTATCTTTGGCCAGTGGAGAAACTGTGTGGGTATTGCTTAATGACAGTCTCTTGGCAGGCCCGCTGGCCTCAGTCTGTGCCTTTGTGGTTTCCAATTTCCGTTGCATGTCTGTGTGTTTGTATCAGTCTGAATGCAATTATCCTCCTTGCTTTTGTTTGTTCCCTTTCTTCCAGGCTAAAAATTTATTCCTCCGCGCCCCCCCCCCCGCCCGCTCCCTCCAATTTTGTCCGTCTCCTTCCTACAATTTCCAGGCCAGGTTCCAAAAGGAGTTGGAAATGGCATGACGTCACCTTGTGCCCTGCTGCTGCTGCTGCTGCTGCCCCCGGCATTACGTTCCTCTGAGAAAGGGGTAGATCCCTTTCCAGGCTCCGTTGCCAAAGCACAAACTGAACCCCTTTGCATTAATTTAAACAAGGAATGATCGTGTGCTTTTGCAGTTTGGGATATACATTTTCAAGCTGCTCTTGGAGACCACCCTTTCAAACCATTTTAGCATGTGTGGGGAGGCAGGGGCATGTTGATATGAGCAAGTGAGATTTAGTAGCTCTGGCTTCCAGACAGGGACTATTGCAGACGGGTCCGTTGGATCTTACTTTTCTGTGTGTGCATTTGGGACATTATCATGCACACATGCCCGGTTTTTTGGCCCTGGACTTCAATTGCTATTCTGCTGCTTGTCTTCCACGTCAGTGGGAGGAACTTGATGGGAATGTATCTTGGATGTGCTTTCTGTCTCCCTCCTTAGTTGCTCCTCTCCCGTTCCACTACTCCTCCCCCCCATTCTGCTTATTTCTATATCTATGCGTACAAACATTTTTATTTTAAAAAGCAAAAACCCAGAAATTTTACAATAACTTAAGAGTGCAGATATTATCAACCTAATCTTGTAAGTTACATTTCAAAAAAGACAAAATAGAGGCTTGTGCTTTTGGATGTGGAGGGGCAATATCAGTTTCCATTTTGGGGTGGGGTAGGGGTAATACTGAGGGTTATAAAGCTTTCTTGCTTTATATTATTGCTCCATTATTATTGCTATTTTTAAAAACCTGAAGTACATACTGTGATTAAAATCTCCACATATTTCTGTGTGCAAATCTTGAGATACTTTTTATTTATTTCATAAAATTTCTACACCACTTGATTGTAAAATAAATAAAAAAAACTCAGAGCTTTTGACAAATGATAATATGTCCTCTTAAGTAGACATTAGGCAATCAGCACAAATAGGTTTATTTCCTTTGTCGTTGGGGGCTGCCAGAAACAAGGGGGCTAAATTGTGCTCAGTGAAGAGCAAGCATCGTCATGTAAAGGAATTTGCCTGTTACATTCCAAGCTGGCAACATGAAAGGCTGTTATTCCAATGAACTCAAAGTAGCAGACATGCTTCCCTCTTCCTTCCAATTTTAACCTCACAACAACCCTGTGAGGCTGGTTAGGCTTAGAGGCAGTGACTGGCACCCAAAGTCACCCAGTGAGTGTCATGGCTGAGCAGGGATTTGAACCAGACCACACACGCAAAGGGCTTTGAGCACCTGAAAAGCGTTATGCAAATCATAAGTTTCTATTCTTTCCTGTGCACACACCTCATTCCCTCATCCATTGTGATGGAAGACAGTAATGAAAACTAGAGCTAAGGATGTCACATGCAGCCATGTGCAAGTTCCACAGACCCAATGGTCTGACTCAGTATAAGGCATGTTCCTGCGGATTTGTAATATTTTTTCCTCCCTTAAAAAAAAGCAGAAGCAATAACAAATGGTGAAAGGCTGCAACTGAGAATTGCTTGTGTTTTAGGCCACAATAGTAGATTCGGTTTTAATTCCTTTTTCTTATTTATTTAGGTCTCTCTATCTGCTGGTTTCCACAGCGACACTGGACTCACTGAGAGGGAGCCAGAGTTGTCTTTCGGCCCAGAAGCATCAATAACATTCTCTTTGGACGTCTGGCTCCAACATGCTAGGCTTTCTATGAGGTGATTTTTGGAGAGGGAAGGTGGTGAGGCCTCGGTCATGCTGGCCTGAGTGTGTACAGTTGAAGAATTCCTTGGGGCAAAGAAGAAAACAACTCTTGCTGGGGAGCAAAATGGTGGCTTCTGCTCCCTCGCCATACACCTTTTGAACAGGCCAGGTGGCTGCCATTAACCTGAGACCACGTCCCAGACACAAAATGAGCCAGAACACCAACTCCCACTTGGCCGATTCACCCCAGCTCTCCAAGAGCAGCCTGCTCAATATCCTGGGCAGCCCTCAGCCCGAAAGGATGAGCCTCTCCGATTCCCTGCCTGCCACCCCAAAGAGTGGCACCCCTTCGCCCGGCCCCCCTCCACAGCTCCCCTTGTTGAGCGCCGGCTGCCTGGACGGTGACTGGGAGAGCCGGGAGGAGCTGCGCTGCGGGAGCTGGAGGAAGCGCGGGCCAGAGCCGCCCAGATGGAGAAGACGATGCGCTGGTGGTCAGACTGCACCGCCAACTGGCGGGAGAAGTGGAGCAAGGTGCGTGCCGAGCGCAACAAGGCCCGAGAGGAGGTGCGCCAGCTGCGCCAGAAACTGGAGACCCTGACCAAGGAGCTGACCGGCCTGAGGCGGGAGAGGCAGGAGGTGCTGAATGAGAATGAGCAGCTGGGCAAAGAGGTGGCCCGGCTGAAGGGAGAGGGCAAAGGGGAGAAGGAGAAGGAGCTGGACAACCGGGTCGCGTCCGAGAAGGAGAGCGAGGCCTCCCCAGAGCAGGAGCCTGTGCGGGATGTGGGCTCTGAGAGGCTGCCGAAAAACAAGGTAAGTAGGGGGATCGGGGCACAAGTGGCCTGTTTCATATGGAGGACTCGTAGGGATAGAGGAAGCTGCCTCATACCAGTCCATTTGGTCCATCTCGTACAATATTATCCACACTCTGGGATTTCAAGTGAGAGTGTCTCCCAGCCCTGACTGGGGGTTGAACCTGGGACCTCTTGCACATGGCGCAAGATGCTCTGTCCCTGAACTGCAGCCCTTCCACTGAAAACAAATCAGGGTTCCAGACCTCATGGTTGTGAAGAAAGAGATGACTTACTTACTTATAGGGGAGAAGAGTCATTGTAGGGTTAGGGGAAAGGCCTGTGTGTTTATCTCGTGCCCCAGTAATTGCACCAAGCAAGTGCAAAGTTTCAACTGCACAACCTTGCCAAAGTTCCTTGTGAGCAATTCTCAATAAATAGCCTGGAATTCAGAACTTGAACAGGTGGAGCTTTTCGCACCAGTTATTTCAGTGCCAGGAACAGCTTCAGTTAACTGCATTCTGCATATTTAAGGTGCAAGGGCTGTTTTAAAAGGTGGCAATCTTCTCCATGCATGACAGGGAGGCCTTGAGGAGGTCGCATGGAAAGTGGGGCCAGCCAGGATAATTGTCAGCAGTCATTTAACCTGTCAGTTTATTTCCTCTTGTTTAGCACAACAAGCCACACCAACTTCTGGTATCCAAATACTTTTCCTGTTTTATATCTTGATTTACTGAAATACAAGTAGAGCAAGACATTTTTGTGGGTGTACAAATTTCTTTGGGGGTTCTAAAAACCCAGCATTTTCACAGAAAGCCAGAGAAAGGTCTTTGCAGACCCTCATTTGTCTTTTGCTTTTACCAATCCTCTGGATGCCGTGCCTTGGATTGCTTGCCAGTGTGGTGTAGTGGTTAAGAGTGGTAGTCTCGTGATCTGGTGAACCGGGTTCGCGTCTCCGCTCCTCCACCTGCAGCTGCTGGGGGACCTTGGGCTAGTCACACTTCTTTGAAGTCTCTCAGCCCCACTCACCTCACAGAGTGTTTGTTGTGGAGGAGGAAGGGAAAGGAGAATGTTAGCCGCTTTGAGACTCCTTAAAGGGAGTGAAAGGCAGGATATCAAATCCAAACTCCTCCTCCTCCTCCTCCTCTTCTTCTTCTTCTTCTTCTTCTTCTTCTTGCCTTGAACGTCTCTCTGGCCTTTTTGTTTCCCCTCCCAAAAAACTGAATATTTTGGGGGGGATGAGGAGGCTTTTACAAAGCAACTGAAATGCGAAATAATGAGGCGTTTTGCTGTGAGAAAGTGCAGGGATGGGAATTTTGGCTCCCATAAAGAGCCAGCTGGTACACATCAAAAGGAAATTGCTTGGACTCAAAGGCAGAGGCCGATGGGAACTGATGGCTGAGAAGATAATTTCACATATGCAGAATATAGAGGGTAGAGCAATTTGTCGTCTTCAGAGTAGTTACAATTTGCTAAACTCCTCCCTGTTGCCTGTGCTCTAGGACGATGGAATCGCTCTATGGTGTCTTGGTTTTACTGGCCAAGCACAGCACTTTGGGCAGAGAGTTGCAATCAGGGCTAATGGGCAACTCATTCACCTTCGCATTTCGTTATATTTATACTCAACACTCTTAGATGACAATTTGGCAGGTTTCATTGAGTACCAGTAAATTGCCTAGTTCAGGCAATCCTCCAGTCATTGTGTGAAATACCAGAAATAATCCTTAGGTTCTCTCTCTCTCTCTTTCTTGCATAGCTTCACTCGCCATTGTTTTGTTCCGGTTGCCATGATGTCCAAATCTGTAACTATCAGTTGCACTTGCAAACCTGAATTGCAAACCATGGTTTGAGGTGGAATTTCAATTCCATTTTGGAGGACATTGGAAACCATGGTCGATTCAGATACAGGGACACAGGAAGCTTAAATAGGAAGCTTATTTTGCCTTATACAGTCAAAATGATTGATCTGTCTAGCTCAGTGTTGACTACACAGACTGGCAGGAGCTCTCTACAGTTTAAGGCAGGGGTCTCTCCCAGCCTTCCCTGGAGATAACCAGGTGTGGAACCTGGAACCTTCTGCATGCAAAGCAGATGCACTGCTACTGAGCTTCAGACATTCTCTTTTTCTTTTTTTTTTTAAAGAATATTTATTCCAATTTTAAGATTACATAGAGAGAAAAAAGCAAAAAAAGAAAAACAAATCACATACACCCTACAGAAAAAGAACAACACACGATACAGAAAAAAATACAAAAGACAAAAAATCACAATACAAAAATAACAAAAATCAAATTAAACCATTAAGATCATTTTCCCATTTACTTATTTCCGAGACTTCCTCTCACTTCTCTGCTTTGTATTCTAATTTAAGTCGTATCTCCAGCAAACCCTTCTAACCTTCTTTTCATTTACTTAATTTAACATTCAAAAATATTTAATTCTCCTCTATTTTTTATTTTACACTACATATTTACTTATTCCATTATACTCTGTCTGCCAATACGGTCTAATATTCTTCTCCAACCTTTTCTAACATTCTTTTATATTACAGTATTTCTGAAGGTATGTTTTAAATTTTTTCCAATCTTCTTCCATCGACCCTTCTTCTTGGTCTCGTATTCTGCCGGTCATCTCAGCCAGTTCCATATAGTCTATCACTTTTCTCTGCCATTCTTCTCGGGTAGGCAATTCTTGTGTCTTCCAGTATTTCCCAATGAGTATTCTTGCCGCTGCTGTCGCATACATAAAGAAATTCCTGTCTTCCCTTCGCACCAATTAGCCGACCATGCCCAAGAGGAAGGCCTCTGGTTTCTTCAAGAAAGTATATTTCAATACCTTTTTTAGTTTTTTTTAGTTCATTATATATCATTTCCCAGAAGGCCTTGATCTTTGGGCACGTCCACCAAAGGTGGAAAAAAGTACCTTCATTTTCTTTACATTTCCAACATTTATTATCAGGCAGATGATAAATTTTTGCTAGCTTGACTGGGGTTAAGTACCACCTGTATATCATTTTCATTATGTTTTCTCTTAAGGCGTTACAGGCCGTAAATTTCATACCTGTGTTCCATAACCGTTCCCAGTCAGCAAACATAATATTATGCCCCACATCTTGCGCCCATTTAATCATAGCAGATTTAACCATTTCATCCTGTGTATTCCATTTCAACAGCAGATTATACATTCTTGACAGAGCTTCAGACATTCTCCATGGCAAATTATGTTTTATGATAAACTGAAAATGAAGGTGTGCTGGAGAGAGAGGAAAAGGGTGCAAGGGAGACCGTGGCTCATTTCCTGTCCTTGAAACCACGGTTTGGAGTTGCCATCCCTTCCCAACATGTGACTGCGAGTCTTGAATAGAGCTTCTACCTTCCCCCTCCTTCTCTCAGTCCCCTACGCAGCACATAGGTTCTGCATTAAGTTTTCCCTCCTAGCAAACTTTTATTCCTTTACAGAATTTCGACACTTTCAAGTTCAATGATTCCTTCTTTGCAGATAGAATGTTCGTGAATATTCTGTGACATCACAGCAGTTCAGCCAATAGCACAGGAGCAGCTGCTTGCAAGCAAATGTTTTGTGTGTGTTTAACACGAGAAATTATAGATAATTAATCGCCCCTGATCCAATCGGCATTGTAACTTTGTTTGTATGTATGTCACTTTCCAACAATAAACATATACCTAAAGAATACACTGCAGCATGTAGAACATGCTAGAATAGCCTTTGCCAGCCTGGTGTCTTATAGTTCTTTTGGCATAGTTCTGACTGGGGCTGATGGCAACTGCGGTCCAAAACATCTGGAGGGCACCAGGTTGGCAAAGGCTGCACTATCATAACATTGCTGTTGTTGTTGTTGTTGTTTAGTCGTTTAGTTGTGTCCGACTCTTTGTGACCCCATGGACCAGAGCACGCCAGGCACTCCTATCTTCCACTGCCTCCCGCAGTTTGGTCAAACTCATGCTGGTAGCTTCGAGAACACTGTCCAACCATCTCGTCCTCTGTCGTCCCCTTCTCCTTGTGCCCTCCATCTTTCCCAACTTCAGGGTCCAGGGAGTCTTCTCTTCTCATGAGGTGGCCAAAGTATTGGAGCCTCAGCTTCACGATCTGTTAGTGAATTTCCTGGCAACTGGCAACATTCACTAGAAAAATCATAATAGCCCCTCCAGTTTCTCCCATGCACATTGTTTTGTTTTGTTTATAAACAGTCATCTAAGTAAAAGCCATTATAAGATCATGAAGCAATCATTAATATCTGCCCATATCCTGTTTTACTTGTGTGTTTCACCTTGCTGTGCATGTCTAGAGCAGAAATCCTGCTATGCAAGCCTCGCTTTTCCAGAACGCATCGATTTGGAGGACTGAAACAAGTTCCGCTCACTCATAGACACTTCTCAGAGAGGTGGAAGCAGCTTTTCCCTGAGGAGAGCGAGCTCTGGTGTTCCAGCCCTGGAGTTAGTGGTGCGTTCCTGGCCAGGGTTGCTGCTAAGCCACCCACAGGCTTAGCCGTAATCCAGGGTTGTCCTCAGGGTAAGGTGAGAGTGGGAGTCGAAACCTGCACACTGGTAATCAGCTGTCAAGCCCTGCGTGACTTTGTCATTTCAAAAAAGCATTTTATTGCTTTTTCACATATAATAAACATAATTTAAAACGCAAAAAACAATTGCAGCTAGTCTCTCATCTGTATTGAGAAAAAAGCGCAACATTTTAGAGCCTGTTTATAATACATGTTACAGTCTCTGACCCAGTAGGTCTCTGCTTCCGTGGGTCTGAGGTTGTCTCGATTGACCATCACATCTCATATGGGGAATGAACAGGGTGGATTTGATTTAAATCAAATCAATTTAAATCACGATTTAAATTACTAGTCAGTAAGACTTGATTTAAATCTTTTTCTTTTTTTTACAGAAAAACTCATTCTTGGTAGTATAATCTTAATATTTAAACCAGATGAAGGTTTTATTTTTGGAATAATAAATTTTCAGAGTAGTTTTTACAGTTATGTCAAAAATTACTGATTTGGTTATACTATAAGAAAGACATAGACAGATAATTATGAAATTGTTGTGAGGTTTAATAAGTTAACTGTATACATTTGGACAACTTTTCTGCTGCACTTTATTGGAAAGAAATATAATCATTTCCGTAATAACAATTTAAACAATTTATTTAAGTAAAACAGTAACATTATAGCATATGTACCCATGTTTGTTAACTGATGTGTTAAACATTTAAAGAAAAAACTTAGAATGAGTTTTAGCACACATAAAAAACTTAAAACAAATCCTTATTTACTGATGAATAGCCTTTGGACAATAAGGTATCTTAAATAGAAAACTACAGTATATTTAGAAAGATTTTTCCTCCAAAAGCATTTTATTTTTAAAATCCAATGTATTTTAAAAAAAAAAATCCAATGTAAATTTTAAAAATCCAGTTTTGTGGTTGTTGTTTTTTTAAAAAAAATCATTGATTTTTATCCACCCTGGGGATGCATGTGCTATAGAAGGATAAAGTACTCGCCTTGCCTCTGGCTGCCCTGACCTGGCAAGTCAATTTCTCGGCCAGAACAACGGACCACACCTGAGCATACCATGAGTCTGTAGACAGGCCTGACTTTGGCATTTGTGACCTCTTCTTATCCGCAGTCGCTACAGGAGTTTGAGCTGATGGAGAACCTCCTGAAGAGCAAGCAAGAAGGGCAGGAGTGCTGGGACCAGCGGAGCACAGTCAGCGTCCGCTCATCTTTCGCCCGGCAGGAGAGGAGCCGGCTGCTCTGGGAGGATGTCTCCGTCATCGAGGAGGACGCCACCAAGATCATGGCCCTGAAGCTGAGGCTGGACGAATCCCAGAAAGTGCTGCTCAAGGAGCGGGAGTGAGTGCTGCCTGTGCCACCCCCCTCGCTTGCTGAGGAAGCGCCCACAGTGTGGCCCTCAGTCTTGCCCTTTGTGTTGTTGTTGTCTCTTTCAGGGACAAGCTGTCCCTCAGCAAGAACATCGAGAAGCTAGAAGGGGAGCTGAGCCAGTGGAAGGTCAAGTATGAGGAGCTGAACAAGAACAAGCAGGAGGTGTTGAAGCAGGTGGGCAAGATCTGTAGCAGAAGGCCCCAGGTTCAGACCTCAGTGGCATCTCTAGGTAGGGCTGGCACAGTCCCCTGCAGGAAACTCATAGCTAAACTGGAATTGCATTGTTCCGGCAGTTGGCAGCAGCTACGCTGGTGACTGGGAGTGACCGCTGAGACCACATAACACCGGTTCTGAAAGACCAACATTGGCTCCCACTACATTTCCAAGCACAATTCAAAGTGTTGGTGCTAACCTTTAAACCCTAAATGGCCTCGGCCCAGTATACCTGAAGAAGCATCTCCACCCCCCATCGTTCAGCCTGGACACTGAGCTCCAGCGCCGAGGGCCTTCTGGCGGTTCCCTCACTGCGAGAAGTGAGGTTACAGGGAACAAGACAGAGGGCCTTCTCGGTAGTGGCACCTGTCCTGCGGAATGCCCTCCCATCAGATGTCAAGGAAATAAACAACTATCTGACTTTTAGAAGTGTTTTTAATATTCTGTTGGGAGCCACCCAGAGTGGCTGGGGAAACCCAGTCAGATGAGCAGGGTATTTTTTATTATTATTATTATTATTATTATTATTATTATTATTATTATTACAAGAGGCAGTGATGGTCACCAAGCACCCACTTGGATGGCTATAAAAGAGGATCAAACAAATTCACAGAGAAGTCTATTGATATGACTGCTCTGCCTCCATGTGTCTGAATACTAGTTTCTGGAAAGCACAGGAGTGGAGAATGATGATGATGATGATGATGATGATGATAATAATAATAATAATATGCCACCCATCTGACTGGTGTAGTTCAAGACAGAGTAACTTTCTGTGTTCTGTACTTCTGAGTTAAAGACTGCTTGACTGCGCAATCGCATCTGGCTGCTTGGAGTGGGGTGCTTTCATTGATGACAATGAAGCAAGTTGCAACCCAGGGATTCTTGGGGCACAGCTTTTCAACAGGGCAGTGAGGGTGGTAAGATGTCTCAAGCCCCTATCTGAGCCCTAGATTTTGGGTGTTAGACAGGTATGTCCCCAAGCTTGCAGAGAATTCCCCAAAGCCCCTCTTGTTGGACTGTGTTGTTGGACTCCGGTTCTCGTCAGTCCCAACCCCAGGCAGTGGTGAGGGGTGATGGGGGATGGAGTTGAACATCCGGAGAGCCACAGATTCCCCATTCCTGCTGCAATGGCTAGAACAGCCACCAACCCACCAACCCCAGGTTTTCACTTTCCAAGCACTTTGGACTACTTTGGGCTGGTGGGAATTGCAATCCCAAACATCTTTCAAGTCGGTCAGTGGTGATTTTTTACTATCATCCTCTCCTGAGTCAACATTCTTGAGAAAGTGCCCTCATGCAGCCACTCCTGCAAATCTACATTTTAAAGCAAATTCTTTTTAAAATGTGGGGAAAAAATTATAAATATGAGCACAGGGGGGTTCTGAAACATCGGAGAACGGCAGGATATTTTCTTATCAACACAGCAGCTCTCTGCATCCCCCTGCTCTTAATGTGGCTCTTTAAAGTGCTGCTATTGATTTTGCCCACAGACACCAGAGGTAATTTCCAACTTCTCTTTTCAATCTGTCTACAGCTGAACATTCTCAAGGAGATCCACCAAGACGAGTTGGGGCGCATCTCTGAGGATCTGGAAGACGAACTGGGGGCTCGATCAAGTATGGACAAGAAATTAGCTGAGTTGCGATCAGAGGTGAGAATTAGGGGAAAGTTGACCTGGAAACCTGCAAGAACAGCAGTGTCCTTTGTGTTTCCCCATTGCTCACTTAGTTGCCCCCCTAAAGTGTGGTGTAGTGCTTAGAGTGTCGGACTAGAGCGTGAGACACCAGGGTTCAGATCCCTACTCAGCCATGAAGTTCACTGAGTATGATCTTGGGCGGGCCAGTCAGTGCCTCTCAGCCTGCCTAACCTACCTCACAGGGTTGTTGTGAAGAGAAAATAGGGAAGGGAGAGGACCATGTACACCACCTTGAACTCTTTTGAGGAAAAGGCATCATATAAATATAATAAATAAATAAATAAACTGAGCTCCAAACATTTCTTTTGTGGCTCTGCTAGTACAAAAACTTTCAGACTTGTTCCTTTTGACATCTGGAGATGTGAGTTCAAATTCTGAGGCAGACGTGGTGATTTGTTTGTCTGTTTGCCGTGGTGTTTGACTCGGTTGCAGGCGGCCAGTGTTAAGTTGCCTTTTTGGTCCACACACAGCTTGGAAGAGATGTCACTGAGACATTGGGCTGCCCCAAATGGCAAAGTCGCAGAAAGGGTGGTGGAGGAGCATTCTTTGTAGACAGAAGGTCCCAGGTTAACTTCCTGGCACCTCCGCTTCAGAAGATTTCTGATTGCTCAGCTGGAAAAGATCTTGGCAGCGGCTCTCTAAGCCAGCATTGGCCTAGGTAGAACCAAAGTCTCCACCCTTGGAAAGCTTCCTGTGTCCATCCCAGTAACCCTTGCAGCATCACAGATTTGCACATCACACATGGCTTTATTGGATTATATATAGAATTATAGCCTCTTTGGTATGTGTTCTGTTCAGGCAGTGAAAGTACAGACCTTTTCACTGGTGGCCCCTTGGCTGTGGAATATTCTTGCCAAGGAGGCCCACCTAATGCCAGCATTGTCCACTTTTAGGTGGCAGGCAAAGACATTCCTGTTCTCTCAGGCATCTGGAGACATCAGGCAGCATGTTCAGCTTGCTCTTTTGAACTGGCTACTAATGCCCCATGGGTAGTCTAATGAACTGACCAGGACCTTGCAGTTGTCATCTGAAGAAGCCCTTCTTCATGTGCCCCCTCCACAGAAGGCCGGAAGGTGGCAACATGAGGAACGGGCCTTTTGAGTGGTGACTTCCCGCTTGTGGAATGCTCTGTCCAGCAAGTCTCTCTTGGCGCCATTGTTACATGTCTTCAGGCACCGTGAGAAAACATTCCTTTTTAACCAGGCCTTTGGCTTTTAATTATCTATGTCCTCTTAGAATGGGTGGGATTTTTCTAATGTATTTTTCTCCTTGGTTTTAATGTTACGTATGTTTGGTTCGTTTTGTGCGTCTCGTTGAGTCACCATGGCGGAAAAAGAAAAAGAGTGACTAGCAAATTTAATAATGGGGAAGCTGGTTCCCGCAGACATCTTTCCAGCAGCAAGACTGATCCCCTTACACCCTCCTTTCCCCAAAGATGGAGCGGCTCCAGGCCGAGAACGCGGCGGAATGGGGCAAGCGCGAGCGCCTGGAGACAGAGAAGCTTAATCTGGAGCGAGAGAACAAGAAGCTGCGGGCGCAGATTGAGGATGTGGAGGAGGTTCTGGCCCGGAAGAGGAGGCAGACGGTCAGCGCCCTCGACACCGATTTCAAGACCATCCAAGCGGAGCTGTTTGAGAAGAACAAGGTGACATAAGCTTAAGGGAGGGAGATCACCCTGGGGGCAGAAGGTGGTATTTCAGACCTCAGGGAACCTCACTTGTCAAAGCTGACCTTTGGACACTGCAAGAAGCTGATCTCACTGCTGCTTTACTCAGCTGTGACTTTCCTAAATAAATAACTGGGACCCACTCCAAAGCACTGCAGTAGGGAGCTCTCCTGTTCTTGTGTTCCAGCCCGTCAGCTATGTGTTCTTCCAGGATACTCCAATCCGTTCTATTTCACACGCAAGTCAGTATTCTGCTGCCCCCTGAGCATGCTGGAAAGCTCACTGGGCTGTTTTTATTTCCTTCTCCATGCCAGGTATTTTTTCTAAAGAGTTTTGTACTTCTACACACACAAACATACACACATTTCTGTTCTCCATCCAGACAAGGAAGAATATTATCGGAGTTCGGAGACATATTTCAGCCAGGCAGAAACACTCAAAGAGGAGCCAAGCCAAGTAGAGCATGAGACTCTTAATCTCAGAGTTGTGGATTTGAGTCCCACACTGGGCAAAAAGATTCCTGCATTGCAGGGGGGTTGGACTAGATGACCCTTGTGGTCCCTTCCAACTCTACAATTCTATGATTCTATGAAGGCTGATGGGGTTTATTTTAAGAGGCGCATCAAAGGTTGCTTTCTCACAGTCAACACCAGGGGGCAGCCAACCCTTTCCATTTGCAGAGATAAAGATAGAAGACCAATTCAAAGTAATTTCCACAGGGCTGCTGCCTTACTCTGTTGCAGCAAAAACAATATAGAGCAGCCTTCCCCAGGCCTCTGCCCTCCGGAGATGCTTTGCACTAAAATTCCCATCCGTAGCACTGAATGAGACCGATGGGAGTTGCAACCCTAAACATCTCTGGAGAAAAGCTGACACAAGAGTCTTGTGGCATAAACAGGTGCCTCATTAAATCTGTTCGTCTTTTAAGTTGCCACAGACTTTGGTTGTTGTTTTCTGTGCAGAATAGGGACTTGGTAAGAGACACTCAGGATTCCTCTAGATGACCTGTTTATTGAGCATTTGTCCAGATTTAATTTCACAAAGCTTGCACAGAGGTTTATACAGTGGTACCTCGGGTTAAGAACTTAAATCGTTCTGCAGGTCCGTTCTTAACATGAAACTGTTCTTAACCTGAGGTACCACTTTAGTTAATGGGGCCTCCCGCTGCTGCTGCGCCGCCGCCGTGCAATTTCTGTTCTCATCCTGAAGCAAAGTTCTTAACCCAAGGTACTATTTCTGGGTTAGTGGAGTCTGTAACCTGAAGCGTCTGTAACCTGAAACGTTTGTAACCCGAGGTACCACTATACAATATTGGCACTTTTGGTTGAATTTGTTTGCAGAAAGGTTACACCTCTTCTAATCAATCGATGGTTATCCCATGCTTTTTGATGCATTTCCTCATCACTTCCCTAACTGCAAAAACAAACTTGTATTTCCAGTATGCAATTAAATTCCTCTTGCAAAATACTGATAGTTTGGGGGGTGATGCTCAGAGATCCTTAAGAATGAAACACACAAATTGCACATCCTCTTTGAAGGTGGCACAAGAGTAGAAACCACCACTTTTCCCTTTAAAATACAGGGTGGGGGTGGGGGACTAGGCAAAGTGGCGCTATTTTTTGTAGCACATGCAAAACACACCCTAAGCAGCAGGCTTCCTTTCTCGGAGAAGATTGAGTACTCCCTCACCGCCGTTCCCTCCCACAGGAACTGGCAGATCTGAAGCATGTCCATGCCAAGCTGAAGAAACAGTGCCAGGAGAAGATGGCCGAGCTGGCCCACGCGAACCGCCGGGTGGAGCAGCACGAGGGCGAGGTGAAGAAGCTGCGCCTGCGAGTCGAGGAGCTCAAGAAGGAGCTGGCCCAAGCGGAGGACGAGGTAACCCTTTGCACCTTCCACACTTGTGTCCCCTTTCCTTGACCTTGCAGCAGCTTCTACTCTGGGGAACAGGTGCTCACTGTTCCAGGATGGTTTGGGACCTGCTTCTGTCCTTTCACTCAACTCCCCACCCACCTCCTCCTCCTGCTGTTGTCCCTATATGATGACAGCACAGGCTGTTTCATCTGGACAGGCCTGCATATTTCAACAGTAACACAGCAGCATCAGTTCCTCCTTGCTCAAATATGGGTACCATTCAGGGCATGGCTTTTGAAACTCTAAATTCCTATGGAGCCTGGCATATTTAAGATAATGTCTATTATCTCACGAGCCCAGGGAAGTGATTTGCTTAGGGTTACCCTCAGTTTGGGTAGCTGGATTGGTAGAAATCATCCTTCCCCAGCCTGGGTATCCCCTCCAGATGTTCTGGATTACAGCTTTCGAAATGATGCAGTTATGTGCCTTTGTATGCCACATTTTGCATGATCTGTGTGGAGAAGGGCTTGGCTCAGTGGTAGAGCGTGTGCTTTTGCATGTGAAAGGTCCCAGGTTCAATCCCTGACGTCTCCAGCTATGGCTGGGGAAGGGTCCTCTGTCTGAGATCTCAGGGTTAGGGCTACCAGCCAGAGCAAAAATATACCAGTGATCGGACTCAGTATATGCCCAATTGTGAAAAGTCATATGAGAGTCAAGAACAATTCTTGGCTTTTCCTACTGCCCATTTGTCTGCATGGCTGTTTTATCGCAAGCTGGGCTTGCACAGCTTGGTGACCCACAACTAATCCAAACACAACCTCACAGTTTGGTAATCCCTTCTGCTTTTTGTTGGCTGCCTGGAACTGCAAGGATGATGGGAGGGGAGGATATCAAGGAACCGGCAGGCTGGCAGATGTGGCTGCAGGGTTCTGCATTCTGCTTGGTACTGGCCTTGTTGCAAGGTATGGAGATAAGTGAAGATGGATTGGACCTTTCCCGGAACCCCAGTCCCCCAAAAAACAATGTACTTGTGTTAGAGGACACTGTGTGTTGAGCCCAAAATTCATTTGAATTACCCGTGCACGAGCTACCGCTTCTGAAGAGGCAAGCAGTATTTCAAAACCAAACAGCTGATTGCCTCTTTGGGAGCGAGAGCTGTGTCAGAGCAAGATCAAACTGCACACAAGGTGTGTGTAAATTACCACTATGGCTTGTGTGCTGCTGATTCTAGCATCCAACTTAAGACTTGGCTGCTGGTGTCTGGCTAACAATAAGGCAAAAAGCGTGCTGGTGGTGAGGGTTCAACTCCACCTTCCCCGACTGGGTTGCTGCCCTCACTTGTCTTGTGTTTCTGTCTGCTCTGCAGCTTGACGAGGCCCACAACCAGGCACGGAAATTGCAGAGGTCGCTTGATGAGCAAACAGAGCAAAGTGAGAACCTCCAAGTTCAGCTGGAGCACCTGCAGTCCAGGTAGGGGGAAGCAAAGATCAGGCTAGGGAAGGTGAGAGATGAGCTCAGGGATGGAGGAAAAGGGACTCGGATGATGTGGTGGGCATGATAAAGCAAGCGGTGGATCTACAGTACTTGGGGATTGATGTATTAAGAGGCAGAGTATTTGAGGCAGGGGAATGAAATTCTATCCCTGCAAAGTTGTCTTCCGCTTTTGCACGGTGGGCTGTTTATTTTACACATACACATTCATTGTTTGATGACTGTGACATCAGGTGGCACAACCAGATGCAAAACCCAAAGTATTCATCCGTGCACGAGTAAAGGTGCTGCGTACGCAGCCAGTTTTTCTTTTGCGGTTTTCTCTGCAGCAGCTCTTGAAGAGGCATGCCATTTTTCAGTGTTTTAGAAAGGCTTGCCTCTTTAGGAAGCTGCTGCAGAGACAATTGAAAATAATTTATTGCTGGACATGCATCACATCTTCTTCATTTGGGTATGCCCAGGGTAGAGAAATTGAATGACACCTTCCTCCTGTGTGCCTGCAGGCAGGGGTGGCTTTCTTCTGCAGCATTTAGCTTGGCTCACTTACTTGAGTGGTCTTTGGCTATTTGTTCTCCCTGCACTTTTCTCTCTGCTCTCTGATGCGCTTGCTCTCTGTTCGTAGCATGCTGTGGTTCAGATTGCATAATCCAGGGCTGGTAACAGGGTGATCCACAAAGGCAGAATTAATGGACAACAGAAACACAGACTTCCTGGATTAGCAAACTGCTTTAGGTGGCTGCAAGTACAATCCTAACCTCTGTCAGGCACACCAAGTAGACCCCAATACAACCTCTTGCTCACTGAACCAGTTTAGGATCCAGTGGATCCGTGGCTGTCTCAGCTCTGCTCTCTCCTTGCCTCTGATGGCTTTACACAGATTTCTGTAACCAGGTGCCCTCCAGACGTTTTGGATTACATCAGCTGGCTGGGGTTGGTGGGAGCTGCAGTCCAAAGCATCTGAAGGACAGTCTGTTGCAGACGGCTGCATTATTATTACTTACATTTGTATCCCACCTTCTTTCCTCCAAAGAGCTCACAGTTCTCCTCCTACGCATTTCAACCTCACAACAACCCTGTGAGGTAGGTTAGGCTGAGAGCGCATGACTGGCCCAAGGCAACCCAGTGAATTTCATGGCCGAGTGGGGATTTGAACCCAGATCCTAGTCTGAAACTTTAACAACCAGACTAGCATCCTTTGCCTTTTAACTCCCTTCCTGGATTTGTTCCACGCATCCTCCAGTTCCTAGTTTTCCTTCCCCACCAGACGCTGAAGTTGAAATCTTGACCTTTTTTAAAAAAGCATCCTCCTGAACCAACTCCTGGTAGTTTGCGAGCACAAGAGAACATGCAAATCAGCTGTGGGTTAATTTAGACTGCAAACGAGAGTGAGTGCTGGGGCGTTAGCTCTTAAGCGCTGTTCGAAGACTAATTGGACGAACTGTTGTCTCCCTGGAGGCTTTGCAGAAGCGGGAGTCCTTTCCAGGAAAGGAAGGTTGCATCAAAGGGTTGAAAGGGGGTGGGGAGGGGAGCCAGGTGGGAGAATGATCTCATTGATAAATTGGAGGAGAGCATCAAGGGGAACTCTTCAAATTGCAGCCATCCGTTTCTCAGCAGCTTACCTGTCAGCCGCGGGCTGCGGATGAGAGGGTGGGAGGGGGGAAGGAATGTCGTGCCTGATCAGCAGAGAACAGTGATGGATGCTACAGAGCCTGGAGGGTGGCTTTCGGTCACCCTCGCCCCATTTCTCTCTGTCATGTTCGCTGGAGGCAGGTTGGGAGGTTAAATGTGGGGGGGACTCAATCCTTTAACCCATGTGGTTAGGGCCTTGTCAAATGCACTGAGTCAGTTCCAACCCTGGGGTCCCTTGCAATCTCCCTGTGGATACTAGGGTGTGCCGATTCCCCAGTGCCCTTAAAAACATTCCCCCGGCACCACCGCCTTCAATGACAGCTGCAGCCGCTTCTGCAATCAGCTTGGCCCTGCCAGTGGTTGTGAAACAAAACATGACTAAAGGCAGGGGAAAGCTGCTTGATTTTTAGGTGATCATATTTCGCCCCACTTAACAGGGGGAACAAATGTGAGCAGGGCTTGTTTGCAGGTCCCAGCCTGGAATTCTGGGGTTGGCTCCAGAGGCTGGCAGGCTTCAGCATTTTCCTGTGCCCCCGAGACTGGTAAAGGGCTCACAGACTCAGCATTGCTCATCAGCTGGGAAGAACCAGCTGAGGAAACTCCAAGGGAAGAAGGCTCAGAGCCCAGGGGGGGACAAGGACGAGTGGTCAGAGGGAGAGGAGGGAACAGAGTGAATTGGACAAGATGACGCTCAGGGACCCTTTGGCCTGATCTTGCAGGTTTTCTTACAGAGGCCAAAATGAGCTCCTGTCTTCTGAATTGCAGGGATCTCATTCCTTCCAAGTGCCCTGGGGGAAAAACAGGACAGCCTGTTTTTCAATCAAGATCTCGGCAGCCATTTCGGGTGCCGTGATCTCGCACTGTGCTCTTACCCCAAAAAAGTGCTTTTTCCAGGGCTGCGAGAGATCTTGCCACCCCCCAAAGTGCTTTGGGAGTGGGAAAGACGAGAGTGAGATCTGGGTCAAGTGACTCACCGGGAGCACATCCCAGAAGACCCACGTCCCCAGTTTTGCCTTAGAAAAAGTTGGATGGTATGGAATCTGTGGGGTTCTCAACAAGTTCTTTAAAAAAAATGGGTTAGGTAGAGCGAGGGGAGATACAGTAAATGATCAAAGAGTTGGAGCTCCTTCCCTCAAGAGGTTAGGCAGTAAAGGAGACTGGATAGACATTTACAAGAGTGGAATGTTGCCAAGGAACTGGAAACACTGGACCAGCAGGAGTTGGAAGGTGAGTGGCAGAGGCCCCTTGCACATGCTCTCCTCTTCCACTAGAGGGAGTGGAGGGCCTTGCGTGGGAATGATGAACAGCAAGAGGGAGAGAAAGGGGTCTCAAGGGCGCCACCCACTTCCTCAAGGAGATCTAGAAACATGGAAGGATGAGGGTCAGAGGGCCCATGGCATGCTAAGTGAAGCACCTTTAAGAAATACTTTCGTTTTATTGCCTTTAAAAAGTTTTTTTTTAAAAAAAATGCATGCATGTTTCTCTAGCAATAAAACACTGGGTTGCCTGCCAGACAAATCGATTCTGCTCGATCCAAAGAGCTTTTGAGGAGGCAGCTGAGCTCTAAAAGAAAGAAAGGAAAGAAAGCGATGATTTTTATCTCCTCCTTTTTATTGGGGAGGTTGGCATTAAATCATACGAGAATAATGGAGCCTTCCCTCCCCCTCCCTCGCCAAGCCCACCACCCTCTTTCCTTAAATAATTCATGCCTTTTTCCAGTAAAAAGCAACTGGAGTCAGAGGCTGCCACACCTAGAGAATTATCGGAGCGGCGTCCTCGCGAGCTCCTGCATGGCTTCAGATGGGAAATCCAGCACATAAATTTCCATGGGTGGAATTTAATGCTGGGATGATCAGGGAGCTGACAGTGCTGAGAATGCCTCACTGGCGAGGCTGAAGGGTAACAAGGCCCCCTAGGAAGGGAGCAGAGGGGCTGAGACGCTGCTTTGCTGTCTAGGAACCGGCGACAGTCTCCGGGAGCTATGGGCTCCTCCAAAACCAGTCCCAGCAATTGCTCATAGCAGCAAACGTTTTCTGCGTTCCCACCAAAGCAGAGCCTTGGGACCCCTCTGCAGTGTCATGAGTCTGCCTGCCTCTTAGTTCCCAAGCCAGGCTCAAGGCCTTTCTGTTGACATGAAAAGCCCTAAGCAGTTTGAAACTGGGATACCCAATACAGGGAGTGTCTCCCCAAGTGCAGACCAGACTGAGGTTTAAAATCCGCTGGTTGTTAGTGGGCCTTCTCAGTGGTAGCACCACCACTGGCCCCTTAGGAATGCCCTCCTCTGGGTGGTTCGAGGGGCAGAGGCAGAGTTTTAAATGTGTCTTAAAGACCTCTATGTTTCCTTCAAGACTCTTGATTCCTATTTTTAAAACTCTACTGCCATGCAATTTGACCTAGGTTATAAAGCAGGCACGGGGGCCCTCTGGCCTGTGGGCAAATTAGACCACACCAAGCTTCTAATCTGGCCCACAAGGCTGTTTCCCAGCCCCACGGCCATGGCTACCTGTCACTCATCCGATACCATGTGTGGGGCAGGTGAATCCACAGCTGCAAAGGCACAAGCCTATACCCTCGTCTACAACAGCCAGGTTTGGGGATCTCCACAGGCTGCTGCCAGGCAGGATCCTGCACATTCAGTGTCTGGAACAGGAAATTCCACAATGGCAGAGGGTGGCAGGACTGGCTAGAGGGGCACATCTACCCAATCCAACACCAGACCAGCACAAAGAGGTTTTGGATTACAGCCGAAGACAGAGGGAAGGCAACTTGCCCAGAGCTACCCAGTGAATTCATGGCAGAGGCAGGATTCGAACAAGGGGCTCCCTGATTCATAACTCACCACACTACACCAGAAAACCAAGCCTTTCGTGAACCTCCCCAGATTCACTGTATCTACACAGGTGCTGCACCTAATGTGTCCTCAATACCCACTTGTTAACACCCGTCTTTCCTCCACCACTGTCCCATCTGTCTAAAAAGGACATCTGGGTAATTGCTTCTCTCTTTGGTTTACAACCTACTACACCACCAGTATTAAACAGCCATGATTTGTAGCAGAAGGGGGTTTTTTGAAGGGGGAAGGAGGGCGCAGGATTAGCAACAATTCTAACAGAGAGGTTTTCTTTCCCTATTGTGTTGTAAAATGGGAAGGGTCAGTTCTCTTCTACGCAGACACAAGAATAAGAACTGTACAAATATAAACAATTCTCACATAAAGCCCTAATTACGTGAGACAACTAATTGCTGGCGGTGTTTATATTATTAGCGTATTATTGGACTACTGAATACGGGGGTGTTAGATGTCTAAGTTCAGCCCGCAGGCCCCCGTGTCTGCCTTCCCACTCCTTGATAAAAGCTTCCAGACAATAATGTGCTGTTGGTTAAGCACCCTGAATCTGAAAAGGGTTTCGAGTGAACTTTGCTTGCTTTAATCAAAAGTCTATTAAGTGCTGCTTGGAGCCACTGAGGGACGGTCTGTCCAGATCTGCCTTTATCAGCATGTAACACCCACTTAGTTGGATGAAGTTTAAACATGAAGCAGTAGCTGGGGGTGGGGGAATAGATTTATTTATATCTCATAGACCTTAATGGGAAAGGTTAGTTTCTTGCTGAATATCTAAGCTAAAACAAAAGGAGGGGTTGGAAATTGATGAATTATTCAGTCTCCTCCACAGCCTTCCCCAGCCTCTGAATGCCTCTGACCACAGTTTGCTGGGAATCGCAGGAGGAGAGTTGCTCTCGTGCTTGGGTCCTACTTGCAGGTGTCCCATTGGGGCACCTGGTTGGCCACTGTGCAAACAGGATTCTGGGCTAGGTGGGCCTGATCCAGCAGGCTCGACTTGTGTTCTTAACCTGCTGCCCTCCAGATATTTTGGACTGCAGCTTCCATCTGCCGGCATGGGAGCTGATCTGCACATGCAGGAAAAAGAAGTCAAACGTGCGCTACCACTTCAGGCTGCAGGGGGTGAGGGGGCAAGGCTCGCATATTTCTATACTATGTACAGTGTTCTTTTATATTTAAAAAATGCCCTGCAAATCAAAAATGAGCACAACAGGAATGGTTCTCTCCTGGCCTTTTGCCAGCTATACTGTTTTGCTACTTGCAGAGGATTTTTAATGGGGGAGCATTAAAAAGGTGATTCCCCTACTTGTAGTTCAAAGCGATGCAATCTGCTGTTCTATATTTCAAATGTTCTGCCACTTCATTCATTGTATAGGACAGACCAAGCTTGATTCCCTGGGAGCTTAAAAAAAGGTACTTGTTGGACCAGTTATAGTTCAAACCTCCTTGAATCAAGCTTTTGAGTTACACAGAATTCCTCTTTGGGAACGTACCTTAAATTCAGAACAAAGATGATGTTACATGCCTATGTCATCCTGCACTTGTGTATATACTGTGGAACAGAGAAGCATGCACAGAGGGCTCCCCCTGGGAGCGCATACCATGAACATGGTTGCAGCATAGCACCAGTGCAAGGGGTGCATGGCCCAATAGCCCATATAGGGCTATCTTCAAACATTCCTGTTTACCCCAGCATTTGATAGCTGAAATATGCTGTCGCTCTTCTGTTTTATTGACTGTATCACATTGAAGGCCACTGGGTGATGGGAATGAAGGACACAAATGCAACACGACCACCAATAATAATAATAATCATTGTTTAATAATAATAGCCAAAAATCTCATTTCTCCTGGGACAGGCTTCGCCGTCAACAGAACATCCCCCTTTTTGGGAAGATTCGCGGTTCACGCTTTGGCCCTGACAACCCTGGTGATGGCAACAGTGACCTGGATGAAGACGAAGACCTGCAGATCCAAGTTCCTTAGCAGCTGCCACTGGAGAGACACTCCAGGCTGTGACAGAGACACCAGATGCTGGTGGAGCTGGGCATGGCCTGTGGGCTTAGGACAAGTGACTGGAGCAGCAGAACGGTCTTTGGCCTCTTCTTTTGCCAACCCCAGGGAGAACGAATGCGAAGCTGTGAGGAAGACTTTGGGAAAGGGGAAGCCAGGCCTCCATGTTCTGGTCTCCACAGCAAGAAGGTTTGGTGACTAGGACGGGGGCTAAATTGAGGCCCTGGGGAGATTTCATGGAGGGAGTTGCTAAACTTTATGGAAGGCTCCCTTTCTCTACAGCTCCAGTCCATAAAACATCGCTGATACTTTAAAAAAAGCAAGAATCATCTAGACCTGAGGGATAGCTCAGTCAGTAGAGCATGAGACTCTTAATCTCAGGGCTGTGGGTTCAAGCCCCACATTGGGCAAAAGAATCCTTCATTGCAGAGGATTGGACTAGATTTTTGTTCAAACCCTTCCATTGCTCTGGCCTTAATTCCTGTCCAGCTAATGCCTCTCCACAGCTGATCGACACAGTTTCCGCAAACACAGCACTCCTCTGGAAGTTAACCACAACACCTCTGACCTCAATCCAGATAGATGGAGATAATGAGTGATACAGAGCGGGGAATCAACACATTGGAAGGGGGAATCTCGTTGTTGAAATCTCTGAGGTTCATCCGCCAAAGTGGTTCTTCCATGTCTCAGGAGCTGAACTGATGATTGAATAAAAGATCTAGTGGGAATGTGATGGAAGAGACCAATGGTATAGGGAGAGATACCCCTGAAGATGCATCTCATCCTCTCAGACTGCCCAGTGTGTGTGTGTGTGTGTGTGTGTGTGTGTGTGTGTGTGTGTGTGTATGTATTTGTATATGATTTGTATTATAAAACTTGAGATAGCCATGGAATCCCAGCCAGCATTGCAATTATTGGTCTCGCTCCCATGCCATCCCGGTGTCACAAAAAGAAACAGCAAGAAGCTGGAAGGTCCCCAGTCCAAATTTCCAACAACCTCTACCAGAAAGCTGCAGGCTTCCAATTCTCTTGTTCTATGCAACAACTACAATATGGAGATGATCACACTCACATGCCGTTTGGGGTTACAAGGATTGCAAGGTGATATATATGGAGGGCTTTTTAGGACTTGAAAGCTCTATATGGAGGCTAATTAATATTAGTATTGCAGTAACAGCCCCCTCACCCTATTTCTGAGTAGTTCCTGCCTAATGCCCTCTGCCAGTTCATGTGCATTCTGCTCCTAGGTATGTGGAGTTAAACGATGCAACTTGCTCCCACAGGAGATGCAGTGATGGCCACCAACTTGGTTGGCTTTAAAAGAGGATTAGACAGATTGGTGGAGGAGATGGCTATCAATGGCTATTAGCCACCATGGCTACTATGGTTGGATGCACCATGCCTCCACAGTTGGATGCAGCAATACTTCTGAATGCCAGTTACTGGGAACCACAGGAGGGGAGTGGGCTCATGTGCTCAGGTTCCCGCTTTCAAGTTTACCACTCAGGCATCTGGTTGGCCACTGTGAGAACAAGACTAGATGACCCGATAAAGCAGGCACTTCTTGTGCTTTTATGAGTTCAAATCGTGAGAAGGTTGCTTATAAAAGGTAGCACAGCCCAACTGAAGACCATCCATCAGTCATGTGTGATGGTCAGTGAGATGCTTGACAACCCACCTGTTTGTGTATCAGAACCAGGAGTACATGGAGCCCCTGGTGGGTGGCCACACATGGGCTGATGGGATGCGCTCGGCCTGGTAACTCACAGGTTCTGCAGGCCCCTTGCCACAGCATTGTGGACTGCAATAATGGGGGAGCCTGCTCACCCCCCACCTGCTGAAATTTTGCCTTCTCTGCAATTCTTAAAGGGGTGGGGATCATCTCAGCTTCTAGGCCCAGAGATCTGCTGGATAGTAATGCCTTCATGGAATTTGACATCTGGTGTCAAATTTCCCATGTAACTCCATCTGTTCCCCCACCCACCCTTTAAACAAACTCTTGGGGCTGCGTTTGGCAAACTCAGGGCAGAAAAGGACTGAGGGGGACTTGTGGGACTGGGCTTTTCCTGTATGGGTCCCATTTCTTGGCTCCCTCCTTCCCAGCCTGTAAATCTCTGGACCCTCCCTGTGTTCCCTCATCCCATGCTCGAGAATTCCAAATACTTTGTGGTTGCAATGCTGACTCTTGGAATCAAACGATCAAGTGCATGGAACTGCCCGTGGTTTGCATTAGGAATTCAGGCTGGTGGATTTGGGTTTCTAAATCGGACATCCTTAATGCAGAATTTGGTTTTGTTTGGTGCAGAGTGTGAGTGGCCCTTCATTTAACTGAGCTGATCCCGATGTGATGAGAGGGGGCCGGGCGGGGCTCAGGGGGGCCACAGCTGCCTCTGACAGGTATCATTTACAAACAGCACGGCAACCGTTCAGTCAACCTTTTGTAATAATAAAACAGAGTTTATACTAAATGCCTGCACGAGGTGTAGTTCAGTGGGAGAGTTGGATATTGGAGAATAAAAGGGTGTGTGTGTGTGTGCATGTGTTGCCATCTCTCAAAGCAGGGTTCCCAGCAACTAGACCCCATAACTTCCATGGAGCCCCAGGACTATGTTTTTTTCACAAGGAGGCTGGACTATGTCCCTCTATGGCGTCATTTGGCTGCTGTAGCCTGCCAAACAAGCCTCTCTGCCTGACTCAATGCTGTCAGCCGACCTTGAGGACCAATTATGAGGCACCACCAGACCTCATAAAGCCCCAGCCTCGGAGTTTGCTCTGCAACTCTGAGCAATTTGCCCTAATGGAGGGGACCACTTCAGGTCATTGGCACATGCAACCTAATCCTTGCCCTTTCTCGTCTTGACACATTAGGAAGAACTTTCTGACAATAAGAGCTGTTTGACAGTGGAGCGGACTCTATTGGGAGATGGTGGACTCTCCTTCACTGGAGGTTTTTAAGCAGAGCTTGTATGGCCATTTGTCAGGGATGTTTCAGCTGTGATTCCTGCACTGCAGGGGGTTGGTCCAGATGACCTGGGGTCCCTTCCAGCGCTACAATTCTATGATCCCTCTCTAGGTGTGGTATTTAGTTAAGCATCTGGGGCAGCAGAAGCTGTAGAATGGAGAAGGTCAGCCGTTCACCCCATTTTGCTTCATCTGGCAAGTATCTTCTTCTTCCCAGTCGAACATCATCTCCTGCACCCCTTGGACAGAGAGGTCTCTGATGAAGAAAGAGTATTTGGGTGCCCTCTGCCATCACCTAGCAGCGCCGTTCTGAGATCTGCTTTTTTTGGGGGGGGAAACAGGGGTCTCCATTTGGCAGCCTTTCGATCAATGTTCTGACAAAATCAAATCCCCTCTTTCTCCCCCACCCCCACCCCCTGCACTTCTGTGTGTGCACAAAGGATCTTTTCCATGAGTTGCTCCATGAATAAAACATCATTGCTTGCAATTACCAGGCTCACCGAAGCTCGTTTGGCTTTACGGCTAATATGGTTCTTGGAGATGAGCCTAAAACAATGGTTAAAAATTAAGCAATAATGGCCCGTGATAACAGTTTTATAGCAAATGTGAGGTTTATATTTCCATCATTGCCGAGTGATGTAATTGGCGTGAGCTCACTTCCTCCACACACAGAGACACACAGTCGCTCAGAGGCTCCCACCAATCATGCAGGAAACCTAACAGGGTGGAAAAATAACAGAGTCTTGCGGCACCTTAAAAGATGAACAAATTTATTACGGCAGAAGCTTTCAAAGGCTAGTCCTCCATGGGAGTTTGCTCCGTCCCAACATAGTGCCTTGCCAAGAAGGGGCACTTTAAGGGAGTGGAACGGGATGCTGACATCTACACTGGCCCCTGCATCTCCTGTCCAAAATCCTGATTTAATGGTGATCAGGCCCTTGTAAAAGCACAGATGGGCCCTGAGGGAAATATTTACTTTCCCCTTAAGAGGATCCAAGGTTTGATTCACATAGTATAGTGGCAGGGCGGGAGTTGATTCTGTCTGATCAGACCCTGCATTGCAGGGGGGTGGACTAGATGAACCTTGGGATCCGAAAAATACTGCTGCTTTCCCCAGCGCTTCCAATATTGGACACCTTTAGCATGCTCAGGAATCAAAAGTTTTGTGTCTCTTTAGTAGGAAATGTGTGTGTTGTGCATTCTGCGATTTCCATTTTTGACACTGCTGGGAAGGAACCATTGCTTAATTTTGTTCTGCATGAACAGCACATGCTCTGCCAGTGAGTTACAGCTTGTGGGAGCTCCTGTTCCTGCCATGTTTGAACTGTCATATATAAAACCTTTGCCCACCTGCTTCTGATCACCCCCACCTGTAACAGCTGATAATGTAGAACCACACCTGTGACAGGCAGGTGGGCAGATCAGGCTGCCATTGCAGATGCATCTCAGAACAACTGCAGTCACACAAACCGGGTGGGCCACAGGGAGGCATTGCACACAGTGCAGCGGTGACAGTCCTAAGTAAGTTTTAAATAGGGGTGATGAGGCCTAGGGACAAATATGCCTCCTGACTATCCAGACACATCAGGGATAAATGCTCATTAAATCCCACAATCAAGCAACATGGCTCCCCTAAAATAAAGAGACCCGTTTGCAGACTCAAGGTGGCGGCGGGACTCAGAGCTTAATTCTAAAATAAATAGGCTGTTAAGTTCCTTTCTGTTCGAAGGCTTTGGGAGGAAGAGAGAGAGAGCTATATACAGTGGTACCTCGGGTTACATATGCTTCAGGTTACATACGCTTCAGGTTACAGACTCCGCTAACCCAGAAATAGTACCTCGGGTTAAGAACTTTGCTTTAGGATGAGAACAGAAATTGTGCTCTGGCGGTGCAGTGGCAGCAGTGGGAGGCCCCATTAGCTAAAGTGGTGCTTCAGGTTAAGAACAGTTTCAGGTTAAGAACAGACCTCCAGAATGAATTAAGTACTTAACCTGAGGTACCACTGTAAGTGT